ATTTCCTATGACCACCCCCATAATTTGCGGAGGTAGATAAGGGTAGTTTTAATTCTCACATATCTCTTGAAATATAAAGTTATATGTGGCTCTATAATCCACCAATATGGTAAGATCCTTGTCCATGATTTGTCCCTTCAACTTCATTGTTCATGACATAAGTAGACCAATGACTGAATTTAGAGAAATTTTAATATTAACTTCTTTAATATCATCTTAATTATTTACTGCATGGGCCAAGGTGCATGGATCAACAACTTCTTCCAAGTTGTCCTCCTCTTCATGGACTTGAAACAATTGTAATTCCTTTTTGCAAATATGTATGAGTTAAAATTATTTATTCACATAAAAACTAGGTCTCTTTGCTTGCCTATCTTTTAGTTCTAATTTTGTGAGGGTCAATCTCCATTTGTTGCACGTGGCGCTTGGGCTGATTTTGGTGCCCTTTTAAGTAAATGGTTTGTCCTTCTGATTGTTAACTTTATTTGAGGAAGACTCAAGGTTTTTGGTCACTCTTGTTGGGTTTATCAGGCATGCTCACCCCATAATAATAAAGTTTCCTAGTTTGTAGCTTCTTTGCTCCCCACAGCTTTAGTATCCAAAATTTCACCATCCTTTTAGTTTGAATAATGTAGCTTCAACCTTAATCTTAGGCCTAAGTCTTTTACAAAATGTATTTTTCAAATCTTCCTTTGAAATGCCTTAAATTGCATTAGATTACAATCTGAACTTCTCCCGATAATCAAAAATTGTTACACATTATTTGAGATCCAGCAGTTGCTCCCATAGTGTCCCTACTAATTGCGAACTGAGTATCTCACATAGATGATGTTTAACATCTTCTTAGTCATTAAAAGACTCTCTAGCATCAACCCACTTGTACTAGACTAGGGCTTCCTCATCCAAATATGTTGCTGCACTTTTTAGTTTATCTCTACTATTGATTCCTTACACTTCTAAGTACATTTTCATTTTGAATATCTAACTATCTAGCCAACATTGCCCCCAAATGCCTACAGTTGGGAGCTTCATCTGACAAAGGTCAGGGTTTGCTGATCTATGTTGCCCAAGTTATGGTCCCTTGCTGCCACACATTTCCTTGTTGTCAGCCTATTAGCTCCTTGTCCCATCATTGCATCTTCCACTTGCCTTATTTGTGACTCCAAAATGCTGCTCATCTACTACAAAATCTGTGCCAATGAGTGCATCATCTCTATCAACTTGTCCTCTAAGGATGCTACCCAGTGCGACTGCACCGTCTCCTTCAAAATCTCAACATCTTTCTCTAGACTCTCAAATTTTCCTTCGTTTATGGATGCCATGTGCTCTAATATAAGTTGATAGGGCTTCTAAGATAAAGGCTTGAGATTGAAGGGAAAATAAAGGGGATAGAACAACACTATAATTCAAAAAGAACAAGATGAAATAGAAATAGGAAAGAAAAGAGGTAGAGTAGGTCCCATATGAACCTCAAAATCAGTTTGGAGCTAATTTGAGACCTCCCAGCTCTCCCCAATATGACATCCAAAAGTCCTCCCCTTTGATGGGGCCCTTAAGGTTTTATACCAGCCTCCCTATTAGGTCCATTGGCCCACTTAAGGGTTTACCTTCCCTCTTCTAGTATAACCTCTAGTGTAGATTTGGTAATCGATCCAATAGATTTGGTCCTAACATTATCCTCATGGGAATTTCTCGTTATCAAAATTACTATTTTCACAAAACATTCATTGTCAATTCTCAATGTGTTTTGACAACCTCTAGTGTGTGCTCATGTTTTTACGAAACTTGTATGTTATGTAATGGAACTAGGGATGCCATAATTATTACATGTGTTCATGAGATGGTGCTTCAATTGCACTAATTTTGGCTTTTTTCTGATCTTTTTGTTTCTTTTTATAAATCATGTTCTCTTTCTGATTGTGTGAAGCTGTTAAATTCCTTCTAAAATGTTAAATTCCTTTTTAAAAAATCAATTATCATGTTTTCATAAGATGCAATAGAGATCTTATAATTTCCTCATTTGTTCAATGATGAATCCATATCATGCTTAACACTATATATATACCTCGATTTATTCTTGTAGCTTGATATTAGTAGCTGAATCAACATACTTTTTAGGCATCAATTTGTTGTTCATTAATGTGATTAGAATATGAGATAGGGTAAGCTATTATTGGGTGGGGCAGGAGACATGCTGTCAAGACTAATTTATGTTCAGAAATATGTTCTTGCCCAATTTGTTGGCGATTATTAATTTTATCACATAATTTTTTTGACATGGTTATTTCCTTTCAGATGAATCATGGAGCCTATTTTTGGCACATTATATTATATAATTTTTATGTATGTGGGCCCCACCATTGCTAGAATATGGCCAAAGTATGTTGATACGAGCTGGGTCAACTCTCTCTCTCTCTCACTCCCCCTCTCATGGGCTTTTTTAGGGCGTTTGACTGACGCCCAGTCAACCCCTGACAGGATGATTTACGATTTCATTGGATTACCTTAGTGGGTGGGTAAATGCCAAGGGGTCTGCCTCTTCAAGGCGTACCCAATACAGCTGGGCTCACGGCCCAACTCTTTTCAGGCCCATAGGTAAAGTGGGCTAATTCAAGGAGAGCCCATTATAGGATTTTTGAGCGGGCCTCGTAGGAGATCCCAAAGCCTGAACTCGACATAGGCTTGCCATACCTCCAAGTTAGAGAGAGATGCTCAACTTCTATTAGAATAATTATTTTTTGTGTGATTAATTGTTTTAAATAAGTGGTAATATAACTATTTAACATATAGTAAGAATTAAAAAAATTATTTAATCAGTTTCTAGGTGTCACAGAGCCGTTTTTTCCGACGTCTTCTTCTGTGATTCAAATGACGTATCTATGGGATACGTAGAAAAGACCTAATTACCCCCACTGTAATTCTATGGTTTCTCCTCGCTCTCTTCAGCTTCTCCCTGAGTAAACCTAGCCCTACTCTCTCTCACACACACACACTCTCACTCTCTCTCTCTCCTTCGCATCCTGAACATCGTCTGCCCCAAGAGTTCCGCATTCTCAGGTAAGCGTCTCTCTCCCTCTCCCGCTGTCTCTATCTCTGTCTTTCCCCTAGAGGATTTGTCGCAGCGCCAGGCAAATATTTTTCGCTTTCTTAACGAAATAGGCTGAACCTGGCAGTGTAGTTGCAATGTGGAGGCAGCTAACACCGGATGAAATCACCAATTTTTATGTGATTCGGGAGCGGAAATTTCGTTTCTTTCGATAACTGTATGCATTCCAATGTGCGTTGAGTGTGTAACGCCGTCTTCTTAGTAAACTTCAATCTGTGATCAGCGAAAACAACTCATCCTAGCGGCTGATCGGGTCGAAATTAAGAGGCCTAAAGTTTTTGGTGTTTCGATTTCCCGAGCTGGAAGAGCTCCTCGCCCGTCGATAAGCTTTCAGCGATGAGACAATGGAGATTGCTATCATCATTGCGGGAAGATGCTCACTTGAAAGATCGCTTCGGCTCACTATCCAAGCCCCCATATAACTGAAAATTTCCCAGAAATTTGAAGGTCCTTTGTCAGACGAGGCCGATGAGTTGATATTATGCAATCGTTACTGTGCAACAGCAGCAAATAACAAAACATTTCCTGTGTTTCGAGGAATCCTCTATTTATAGAGTTAGATGGGTCGGAATATAAGCATCATTTTGTGACACCTGGGGCATGTTTTTTTTTCTTTTTCTTATAGGCAACATTTCATCTGAATGTGTTCTAACTGTACAAGGTTTTCCGCAAATCTCTCTCTGGATTTCTTCGTTAGAATATAATTTATTTGCACAAAATTTTCATATTAATTAATGTTGCCATGTCCTAGATATTATTTTCTCATATTAGAAGCCTTTCATTGGCCATCGTGAGGAATCCATCTCTTCGTGTAATGCCTTTTCTGGAGAAGTCCTCGTATTTTTTAAGCAAAATGGATATGTTCTTGAGTTTTTCATTCTTTCTTCTGAAAATTTTGGCTGTCAAATTTAAAAAATTCTAACCAAGGCATGATGATTTCATTGGGAGTTTTGAATCTGGAAACTACTGATTGTATTTTGCACTCTGATTATGTTTGAATAGAAATATGAGCATAGAAGATCTAATACTTGTTTTAGGAGAACTAACAGCTTGCAATTGCAGGGCTGCACTTGCGTCCTAGAAGAAAACCCATTGCACTATAAAACATGCACAGAAATCATACCAGTTGTTTCACTAGAAATATGAGCAGAGGTTCTCTGACTTTCTTTTTAGGAAAACTACAGTGATGGAATCATAAAAGCTATCCGTGGACTCATGCCAAAAGATCCCACTTCCCCTCTACAGCTGTTGGTTATGGGGGATATGTGTAGAGGAGTTCTGGCAATTGGAATTGCCCACTTCCCATAGACATACATACAACCTATAGCAGTTGAATTGAGTAGAAATATGAGCAGAGAAGCTCGAGCACTTGTTTTGGGAGAACTAAAAATATAGTATCACAAAAGGTGTGTCTACTCAGGTAAAAAAACCCACAACCTACTTCACTCAAAGTTATGCATAGAAGCCATGCCATCCGTCTGAATAGAAATACAGGCAGACAACTGTACCCCTTGTATAAATAGAACCATAAACATGGACTCACGAAGTTATGTGCCCGCACATGTATCAAAATAATCCATTTCACTAAAAAATCTATGTAGAAATCATACCAGCTGTTTAAGGACTACAAACCTAGAATTTCAAAGCGATGTGTTGACACGTGTGCCGAAAGAACCCACGTTGCTGAAGGATAAGAAACGGGTTGTTTCAATGGAATAAGAAACGGAAAAAAGATCTCCCATTCGATTAAGTAGACCAAAAAACACAGAATCATAAAGCTCTGTTCTGTACTCTTGTGCCCAAAAGATACTCTTTTTTCTCAATGCTGCATTTCATGTCTGTGCCTGCTTATTTCTCTTGGAATCTTCTCAGGAGTAAGGAGAGAGAAGGAGCAATGGTTATCCCTCCCCCAATTAGGCCAGCCAGAATCACCCACTATCTCAAGCCATATGTGCTGAGGATGCATTTCACCAACAAATATGTCAACGCCCAGGTCATCCACACACCAACAGCTGAGGTGGCATCGTCAGCCAGCTCACAGGAGAAGCTGCTGAGGTCGGCCATGGAGAACACCAGGGATGTTGCCGCGGCTGCCAAGATAGGGAAACTCCTGGGAGAGCGCCTGCTGCTCAAGGGCATCCCGGCAGTGTCCATCTTCCTGAAGAGGGAGCAGAAGTACCACGGTAAGGTGAAGGCAGTGATCGACTCCATGAGGGAAGCTGGCGTGAAGCTGCTGTGAGCTCGTTAACAACCATAGCTGCGGTACGTAGAGGAAGAAGATAGCATGGGTCCTCTCCTTAGATGTTCTATTTGTTGTTGCTGGAAATTATACTCGCGAGCTGCTGTGGACGCTGGAAATTCTTGAGAATTTCAGAGCCCCTGAAGGTTTCGATGTCATGGAAGAAATCTTATCTGATTCCTTCGTGAGATATGAGCTGGGGAAGTGTTGCTGAGGTCAGAAGTTGGAGTTGACCTTAACTGTGCTGGCTGGCTGTGGCTATGGACAGCAAGGGTCACTATGTTCTAGAGAGTTACATGAAATGATTAGAATATTGGGCTGGCAATGAGTGAATTGGATGGGCCTGTTTACATAAACTGTAAATTTTTTATTCCCTGACAGTTGACGGAATGAGATTGAAAAATGCTGGTATGGCGTTCTAGAGAGTGACCTAAAGTAGTTATATACGACTGGGTTTTGGTCAAAGTCCATCAATCATAGGTGGATTAGATGGAGGCATTCATATACTTGTGATACAAATTTGTGGTGTAGATGCAACCCCCCTCAAATATAGGAATCCATAGCTGCTCTGCATGTGTTGAAAGATTATGGTTCAAATTAGTCAACAGTTGTGAAAATATGCTGAGTAGAAGCTATGTTAGCTAAGGCGTCCATGCAAAAATAAGCACACATTACAAGAGATGTGAAAGATTTTTATAATCATTTAGTCAACCCTTGTGCCTTGTCAACTCCCCAAACCTCCCACTGTGTAGCTTCTCAAGGTATCAGCAGAACCCTCAAGTCTTGGCAAGGAGCAAGCCTATAATAAAAAAGCCATGAGTTAAGATATTAGTCTTGTGATCCATTTAGCTTTGATTTTCTAGAAAAACCAGTTATTAGGATCCTACAAGTGTACGGCACTTCCCTTATGCTAGCTATCATTGGCCCTTGTGTTTTCCTTTCTTGGCCTTGTGTAGGTTGACTTTTTTGTGGGTGGGGTTGACACTTTTGTGTGAGTTATCTATCCTTTTCTGGCTCTTCCTCTCTTAGGGTTGACACTTTTATGGAGAGTGTCGATTTTTTTCCTTTCTTATGTTGACCTACCTCTCTTTTGCCGTTGACTTTTATGTTTATTGCTTAGCTATGTCAGCTCAAGGCATTTGCTTCCTCTACTCACCAAAATGTCAACACATTTTGCTCATGGTTGGCAACGGAGGTGTCATCACTTTTACCAAACCAAACACAATTTTGATTATATGAATGATACCAAATATAATTGGCTTATCATAGTAAATATTATAACATTGTTTTAAACATGGTAATTTTGTGAATATATCGATGCTTAATATATATATATATATATAATGAAATTTTAGATAACTAAAAGGTCAATGTGAATGCTTATTATATTTAATGATCGTGCGCTTAAATGATAATATAATTTAGAAGATCTAATATTATATCATAATTGGGAGATGTCTTGATAATTTATTTTTTCCTCATTATTATTAATTTAAGTGATACGTATTGGCATGCCCTTTAAAAAGAAATGCCCCTTTGAGCAAGATCAGGGAGGAAGATAATCGTGAATAATAATAATAAATTGCAATCTCTAGGGGAGGGGTTGAGGGGACGATGAAGTGAGGGTAGATAATGGAAAAATGATCAGCTATTTTTTTTTAACGAGGCTAAATACTATGCAAACTCAAGCATACTTTAGTATTAATATGATAATAGTTTATTAAATATTAAATACTAAGAGGTGGAAAAGGATTGGACTTTCTTCTTGATCATGGTGAACTAGTCCTTGCGCTGTGCTGCGCCAAGATCCCTGGGGTACCAGCGATTATGCTCACCGTAAACTGAACTTCAGGTGCCGTCACCTCCTAGGAACACTCAACAGCAGAAGATATCCTCCGCCGTGAAAGAGCTCCTGTGTGTGTCCGCAGGCCGCAGCGATAATGGCGTCGTCCTCCTCATGGACGGCGGTCTCCTTCCTCCCATCCTCTTCTTCTTCCTCCTCTTTCCTCGGAGACTTCTTCGCCGCCGGTGCCGGTAGCTCGAGGGGCGAAGTGGCTTTACCCCGCCGCCGGATTTCTCCTCTGTGCGGGCCCCTCAAGTACCAGCCCAGAAGGGCCCCGTCGAGCGCCCCGGCAGAGCGCCGCCGCACGGCGGCGCCGAGGCGGTCCTCCGGAGCTGAGTCTCAGCGTCCGCCGCGGCGGTCCCCCGCACCTCGCTCTCCGCCTCGATCGCGGGAGGAGGTGAAGAGGAGGCACTGGCGGGAAGGCGAGTTCCCCGGTGTGTCGGAGGGGTCGACGGCGGCGGCGCCACGGGGGACACCGATCAAGAACGTGAAGAAGAAGTTGGAGGACAGGGAGGCCGCCAAGGCGTGGGTCTCCACCGTGACGGAGTCGCTGGCGGAGAGGATCCAGAAAAAGGACTGGGAGGGCGCCTTGGAGGTAATGGAAGATTAAACCCTAGGATGATAAATCTTAGACGTTGCTATTTTTTTCGAGATTTTAACTTAACCTGTATCGTAATTAATCCATTGCCTGGAAAATGTGTGCTGTGGATCTCGTCGTCTCGCCAGTTTGATTGGAGTTTGGGACCTCAGCTTCTTCTACACAGGGCGGAATTTTTTAAGAAAATGGCACGAAACTCTGTGAAAATCCGTGAATCTGCAGATCCATTCGTCCTGATAATGTTGACGAGAGTTGGAATTCCCTCGTTCTTTTCGTAATAACATACCCCCGTTCTTTTTTGTGTTCATTCACGCCGATTGATTGATGTTGGGAAATCAGTTCTGCATACAATCGCGTGATCATTTCCAGAGCTCTGCAGCCCTGATGCATCCTCTTTATGGAGATGAGAACTGTTATTTCATGCGGTGGATAAGAATATGCCTGTTCTTCGTGTTCATAACCCATCCATTGTATTTCTGCGACCATGATCATATGAGATTTTGTGACCTGATGAACGGCCTGCCGATTGATTCGAACGTTCTGTAGCTTCATTTCACCATGATTCTAGGAAATCCGGCTTCTTCATTCAACTGCCGACAGTTTTGATGATTCCTTCCCTGGTGTTCATCCCTCTTCTGGGAATTGAACTTGAAACAGAGAAGAACATTTATCCCCCTTCTTTCTATCTATACACACAAACGGCGGCCAGCATGCTACCTCCTAGAGTATAAACCCATTTCCTGCCCCCCCCTCCTCCTCCTCTCTCTCTCCCTCTCTCTCTCCCCCCGCCCCCCTTCCCCCTCCCCTGGACCCCCTTCTTTCCATCTATATAAACCAAATGGGAACACCCTTCTATGTACTGGACTGTATAACTGTCCCTCTGTCGGCTTTGGGCTTGTCTGATGATCCCCCACTCTCACTTCTCCTTTAAACTATCCGACATTTTAATGGGCAGGAGCCTCAAGAGAGACTATTTGAGGGGATGGATGGTTCAGGTTGGCCTACCTGGTTGGTTCCCCATGCCATCAACCAATGTCATTCTCTTAATCCAGTTCTTGGCCAATCTCAGTCATCCCATGAACGATGACTTATCTTCTTTCCAGGCTGTTGACTTTCATCACTGATAAAATTGGGTTTTAATAACAGTGGCCTTTCCTTTTCGGGGCGAATGAATTTCATCCCAAATAAGAACTGATCATTTTTTTGTCTGAGGAATGATCTAATTACTGGTTCAATTCCATCGCTGATGAAATCCATAACTTTTTGGTGCGAGGCACGAGATCCTTAATTTCTGGTAGCTCTCTCAAAAATCAGTTTAAGTTCCATCACTGATGAAATCCTTATCTTTTTTTGTGAAGAATGATCTGATGTCAAAGATTCTTAGTCTATCTTCCAAACAATGGCTTCATCACTCTTGGCAAATAAAATTTCATCGCTGATGAAATCCATAACTTTTTGTGTGACCAATGAATGTTCTACTTATGTATTACCCCCATCGGGAGGGGAGACTGTGGAATTTCATGGAGGTGGAACTGATTACTCGCAGGTGTTCGAGATGCTCCGCGTGCAGCCGTTCTACAGCCCAAAAGAGGGCACCTACATGAAGCTGCTGGTCCTGCTGGGGAGGTCGGGGCAGCCAGCAGCAGCCCAGAAGCTCTTCGACACCATGGTGGAGGAAGGCTTGGATCCCACGGCAGAGCTCTACACAGCACTGCTCAGCGCCTACTCCCGGAGCAACCTCCTAGATGAGGCCTTATCGGTGCTCACAACCATGAAAGCACTGCCGCTCTGCCAGCCTGATGTCTACACCTACAGCAACCTCCTCAAGGCCTGCGCTGATGGTGGCCGCTTTGATCTGGTTGATGCCCTTGCTAGTGAGATGGCAGAGCGGGGCATCACCCCAAACACAGTCACACAGAATGTCGTGCTGGGTGGGTATGGCCGTGCCGGCCGCTTTGAAGACATGGAGAGGGTGCTCGCTGAGATGGTGGAGAGCTCTGTTTGCCCGCCAGATGTCTGGACGATGAACATCATCCTCGGCCTCCTTGCCAATGCTGGCCGCATAGAACTGATGGAGCGCTGGTACGAGAAGTTCCGGGGGATTGGGATCGAACCAGAGACCCGCACCTTCAACATTCTCATTGGCGCATACGGCCGGAGAGGGCTCTACGACAAGATGACCTCAGTGCTGGAGTACATGCGGAAGGCCTCCTTCGCATGGACGACAGCAACGTACAACAACGTTATTGAGGCCTTTGCCGGTGCTGGCGATGCCAAGCACATGGAGTGTGCCTTCGAGCAGATGCGAGCAGAGAGGATGAAGGCTGACACCAAGACCTTCTGCTGCCTGATCGCTGGGTACAGCAATTCTGGCCTGTTCCACAAGGTTGTGGCTGCCGTGCAGTTGGCAGAGAGGGCCGAGGTACCAATGACCACTGCCTTCTTCAATGCCGTGCTGTCGGCCTGTGCCAAGGCTGGGGACCTGGTGGAGATGGAGAGGGTCTTCCGACGCATGAAGGATGCCCGGCGGTCGCCTGATGCCACCACATACACCATCATGGCTGAGGCCTACAGAGGGGAGGGGATGACTGACCGGATCTATGAGCTGGAGCAGGAGCTCCAGAGTGTGACCGGAGTGGCCCCACTCGTGGCGCTGTAAGTGGGACAGGCTGCCTCTACTCCCGTGTGTGGGAGGGAGGGGAAAAGAGAAATCCCTCTAGCACTCTGACCATTGGGGATGACCCAAGGAGCAACAGAGCGTTCTGCATACTCGCCGGCCTCTGCCTGCATGAGGCCAACCTTTTGGCCACTCTCCGGCGCTGTCCGCTCAGAATGCAGCAGCTAAATTCCTGTTACCCACAACAGCCTGTCTTCGAGCCCTAGCTCACAGATCCTGCAACGTACCGGCTTCCTGTGATTTGCTCTCTGGGAATATTCCAGAATTTCTAGAAGAAACACGGTGTGTTTTTGCTGAGACCTCCCCTGGTCACAGAATTTGATTCAAATCTTCAACTTGCTCTGTCCTCATTGTGTGATTATGTGACAGCCACATGGCGGCAGATAATGTGGCAGCATGGGAACTTTGGGTGGACTGGGCTCGGGTGGCCTGGGCCTGTAGAGGGGGGCCAAACCAACCTTTTAAAGCTTGACGTAACCTAATTAGTGTGGGCTTACCTCTGAAGGACAATCATATGCAGCCTTGGATGGTTGCCCAACAACCAAGCACTCTCTCTTGGTACCATAGAAGATTTCAAAACTTTGCTCGTTGAAGGGAGTTATGTTCTACTTCTCAAGGGGGATGCAACACTCATGGGGAAGAATGTGAAATGCCCTCTAAGGAGACATTATCAACACACTCTCAAGTAGTGGATGATTACCATCATCTCTTTCTCATGGACAAAGTAACTACACTCTATATCATTAAGCTTATAACTCGCATAAGCCAATTAGTGTTTTGTTTACATTAGAACTCCTTCAGTAGTTAGGTTAAATATATTTGTGTGTACCCTGAACAGCTCACCGAAGTTCAACAATCACATAACTAAGTCTTTTATAATTGCATCCTTGAGCTTCTTAAAAGCTTGATAGCAATCGCCTATTCCATGCCGCTTGGCTCACTTCTTTAACAATCAAGTCTATCAAAAGTGTTTCTAACTTAGAATATCCTTAAACATACTTTTGATAGTAATTGGCACGTTAAAAAAGAACTGTAGTTCTATATATAGTACGATGGTGCCTTTTAGCAAACACCTTCTAGGTAGCTGTTACACTAGTTGAGTAGTTGTTGAGCGATGCTTTGAGTGTCCCATTGCCCATTGGGGCCACACCGTGTCACCAGAGTTCACATTCCTACCATCACATGAGAACAGCTTTATGCTCACTCTTGCATGCATCTCGTCCCTCACATGCGTTGTCATGTGCTTTGGTTCCTACTTTTCATGAGAATGTTGGTGCCTCTATTGCATGCCTTGCCACCGTCAGTTGCTATATCAATTCTCTACACCATGCTGCTCATGTACATTGTATCAACTATTTGCATCATGTCATGCTGCTTGCACCATGCCACCCATGCTCATCATGTCAATTTCTTGCAACATGCTACCTGTGCACATTATATTGGTTGCGCAAGCCTTGTCCACATATGTTCTTATGCTATTCTCATGACATTCTCTCTCTCTTGAAGAGTTCGATATTCATGTGGCTCATCATCTCATTATATTAGGAAGTTTGTGTGACAATAGAGTTAATGTTGGCTCCCTTCATCAATTACCTAGTAATTGAGTATCTTTCAATCTCCTTACTGAACATGGTAATGGCTGCTGATGGTTATTATTGGGGCTGGTTTTGCTCTGAGTTTGGTGAGTCTACCTTGTATCACTTCATAAGCAATACGTGGAAGACAAGTTAGATGGGTAGGTGCAATGATAGCTTTAGCTTGTAACCCACTCCCTTATTATTACCTTAGGAGGAGGCCCTAATTCTTTGAGATGTCTCATACACATGAATTTCAAAGTGCATTCATAGTAGCACTCGATCACCCACATTGAATTCGATATTTCAATGGTGTTGGTCAATTTGTTTCTTCATTCCGTCTATGACTTGCTTCTTCTAGTACCTTCATCTGTTTGCAGGCGAACCGCAATATCATGTGACATTGTTTAGGAGTGTTCAAGAGTTGTAGAGGCATTATCGACTGAGATCTCATTGCCAACTATAAATTATATGCCATTTGTGTCATGTCAAGAATTTATGCTTGATTGTCGTAGAGGATTGTTACATAATGTATGAGATATTATTATAGGATTGTATTGAGGTGTTCGATCTAACTATCCATCTAACTATCCATCTACATGTGGTAAGTAATAAATAAGTGTCCATTTATAGGTGTGCCTAGCTTGGTGAATAATACCTTCAAAGGTCATCATGTGAAGCGAGTGTCATGATCAAAGATAATTATCTTTAGTACGTCTTAATTTTTGACAACATTTCTTAATATCAGTTGGGACACCTCCTCTATTATATAGTCATAGTTTGTTAATATGAATATATCATACTTAATATAGAGACACTTTAGCTATTCCTTGAGAAGTATGTGATAAAATCTGAATTAATAGTATTCCAAGGTACCCCCAAAATAAGAGAGTTTCTATTCTTCTCCCAATAAACTCAGCACTCATGACAAAGACCTCTCCTCCTAATCTACCTTATAACTAGCACTCGTCCTTCTAAGAGGCATCATCATATCGTCCTAACTTGTAAGAGAATGGGATGCATGGACGATTAACTGCCCTTGTTAATCATCTGGACATGGTCCCTTAATCTGCATTGACAAGTGACATGATCATCGCGTGCATAACCGGCACACCCATAGCCTACACTCACATAACCGTCCTCCGTCGTACACCTCGTCGCCCAATCGATGCACCCCGCATGCCTAATCGTTCATATCACTAGTGCCGAGCCGTGTCAACTCCACCTTGGTCACATTTGGGTGCTCGGCTTGAGCTCTCCATGCCTCTGCGCATATCTTGTGCATGATACCTACGTCGTCCTGCTGTGCACCGTGGTGTACTCGGCAGGCATCCGTTCGCGCCGCCCCGTGCCCCGCCGTGTTGTCTCGCCCCTGCGCGCGCACAGCATAGATCGCTACCCCACCTACGCCGGCAATCATGTTCTGCTCTGAATCTAATTGGGTCTTTTACCCGATCGATGTAAGTACGGGTGACCCGATTGTGGGGCTTCACGCGGATCTGATAATCCCCGCCAAAAATATCCACCTTCCGGCCGGTGACGCCGCCGGCGACACCATCCTCCTCTCCTCCCCCCGTGAAAGAGAGCGAACCAGAGAAAGGTAGAGAGAGAGAGAGGGGGGGGGGTGTGTGTGGGGGGGGGTAGGGGAGCGTCGTCGGCGCCGGCCTGTTGAGGTCGCCGGAGCGGGAGCCATGCGGCATCTGGCGAGCTCCCTGCCGCCGGGGATGATAAACCTCTTCTCATCTCCTCCTCCCAACCCGCGAATCAACGAGCCCCTCCGCCACAATGTGCCGCCGCCCCCACCGCCGCTTCCGCGGAGAAGACCCGGGAGGTCCCCGGAAGCTCCTCCTCCCAGTGACCGCCCTACGGCGGCGTCCCCCGCTCTGAGGGCCGCCCACAGCAGGACCAAGTACTATAAGCCCGTTCCCCTGGCCGGAGGCATCATCGCCGCCGACGACCACGACAGGAAGGTCGTCGTCGGTGAATCGGGTGTCTCCTACCTCGTCCCCGGTGCCCCATTCGAATTCCAGTTCAGCTACTCGGAGACGCCGAAGGCGAAGCCCCTGGCGATCAGGGAGCCGGCTTTCCTCCCATTCGATGCCCCCTCGATGCCGCGGCCATGGACCGGCAAGGCGCCGCTCAAGTCGAAGAGGGAGAAGGAGCTGAAGAAGCAGAGGAGAGTCCGGCTGCTGGATCCGCTTGGTGGCTCCGAGCAGGGCGACGAGACTGCTGAGACCGGCACCGGGAAGGTGCTGAAGATGGCGAGGCCGGTCTCTGGCCTGGTTCAACGCCCCACAGACGGGAGGAGCAGGGAGGAGATCCTAGGAAAGCCTCTGACCAGAATCGAGGTCAAGGCCTTGGTGAAACCTCATTTGTCAGACAATCGCCAGGTGAACCTCGGTAAGAACGCTGCCCTCTGGCTTTTTGTCCTCTCTACTTCCTTTTGAAGATGAAGATGCCATGATATACAGAGCATTACCTCAAAGAGAAGGACCAATCCCCCAGGCTATGCCTATTTGATACAAGAGAGTGGGCATCCATCCACAAAGTCTGGTGGTTACTGTGAATGATTTCAGACTTCCCCATTAGACATTGTCCCAGTTCTATACCGCCTCCGACCTAAAAGTATGTATAAAATTTTTGCCGAGTGGAAGGTAGATCCAATGGACTGATCTCTTAGCAACCTGTACTATTCACGAAGGTGTATCGAAAATGCTTAAAGAAAAACCACATGACCGCTGGATGATGATGAACAATCAAGGTATTTGATCTTGCATTTCCTTTATATGGTAAAAAAGGATCATTGTATCTCTCAATGTAGAGCCCTGCGCGGTTAGTTTTATCTTTCTTTGAGAAATTGTAAGATGCCTGGGTTTCTATACAAGTTTTGAAAAAAATTGAACCTGGCTAGCGACAGAGTCTATTCTCGTCGTCATTTTCTTTGGTCAATAAAGATCATACTTGCAAAGAGCATAGAATGGGCATGAATCTGTGGTGTTTTTACTCATTATTCATTGCTCAATGTTAGTCTCCTCATAACTATTTGCTCAACACTCAGGTAGGGATGGTCTTACTCATAACATGTTGGAATTGATCCACACACATTGGAGGCGCCAAAAAATTTGCAAAGTTCGATGCAGAGGTGTTCCAACTGTGGACATGAACAACGTTTGTCGTCACCTTGAGGTTCTTATCTTCAACATGTGTGATATCTTGATGATTTCTTCTCTGGAAATTAGTTGCAATGAAAATATAAAAGGAATCCGCTCTCTTACTTGCTCTGCTCTCCTCCTCAATGTCTCATAGATTCTCGTTTTCCCTTGATTAAAAGAATAATAATTCATATTTAAAAGTTTTGAACCACTTCATGGAAAGCAAAGAAGAGACTGCCTAGATCAGACCACTGAATCCAAATAGTAGTCTGGGCTCTGAGAGTATTCCTCTCCTCATGAAGGGGGTCTAACATGGAGGAAATAAATTGGCTATTTAATGATGAAAATGGCGAGGCTGTCCAATTTAGATTGAGGGTACTGCCCTGACTCATAATTATATAAAGAGGGGCTTCGAAGTTTGTGGAATGAAATTATATGCTTATGATTTCTTCTCCTCTATGGGAGGGAACTTTTAACTTCATTTTTATGTAAAAACTGCCAGACTAATGAATGTTTTGTTACCTCAGCCTCAATGATGTAATTTTTAATATTCGTATTTTATTTTATTAGTTGTATATGGTTGTGTGCTCTTAAACCCAATGTGATGGAAAAGGGTTCATGAGTCCTTTGTTATTCATGGGATGGGTTGTAGTTTTCTGCATTTATATGGAAAAATTATCAATTTACGGATACCATATTACTTTGATTTCCTTCATTGCATTATTTATTGCATGTGGTACTCTTTTTACATATATTGTGCAGTAGATCATTGTAAATCTTGCAGAAAATTATGTATCGTAAGTTGAGTGGACGGCTGTGGTAGGTAGGGAGCTCATTTGATTGGGGACCAGAAATACATAAAGAGATATAGATGGGGGCTTAGTCCGGCTGATGTAATGTAGTGGCAAAAGAGATGGGAGTTGGAAGATTAGATTCAGCTAAGGACAACGACCCATTATTTATTTACTATTATGGAGAGGATTTTTACTTGGTTTTAGAGCATAGAGCATGGAAAACATTTATTGGAGCTTTTTTTTTTATACATAAACGGTCTTGCCTTCTCCCTAGGGACATTTTTACCCTTCTATTCTTAGTAAAGGCTTGTCTTCTTGTGGAATGAATATCAAGATTTCTCTGTTCTTCGTGATCATAAGATTCACAGTGTGCCTCACATTCTTTTTCTGTGCGTTTTTTTTTTCACTTCAAATGTATGAAATCCGTGAGTCGAGATCATGACCATGGACCACCTGCAACATTATTGAATGCCAGGAGAAGACCGGAGGCAAGATCATATACCGAATGGGCGGTGTTGTTTATCTTTTCCGTGGTAGAAACTATGATCCTCGCACTCGTCCACGCCTCCCAACAATGCTCTGGAAACCGGCTACACCTGTTTATCCGAAGTTGATTCAGGAGGTCCCGGAAGGACTGACAAGAGTTGAAGCTGTCGAGTTCAGAAAGAAAGGAGAAAGCCTGCTCCCTATTTGTAAACTAGGTAATAATAAAAGCCATCTTGCCCGTATCTTTTCTTTAAGATATTTCTTAGAATAATCCATGGATTTAATAGAATAAATCTGCGTACCTAAAGAAGATGCATTCACCCGCAAACGGAGTTCATGGACAATCCGACGGGTTTTTTTTTTCCCAATTACCTGAAGTTACTTACTCGAGATGTTTGTAAAATTCGAACTAATTTTCCTCTCACCGTATAAATAATCCAAGGATGAATCCAGATATCCATCATGCTACTCAAATTCCTTTTCTTTTCTTTTTTACAACATCAGGTATCTTGCCGTTGTGCATTACTTCGTGATACAAATTTTTTTATTTAAGAATACTTTCAGTTATTTTTACGTCAAGTTTTCAAGCACGAACTAATTTACAAGAATCTGTGTGGTGTCGTTTCTATTTTTGATGAATTTCTATCGATCTGGTGAATTTTTGTGCACATCTTCTTCCCTTGGGCTGAAAATTTGATTGGATCGAAAAAAAAAGAGGAAAGAAGTCTAGCCATGTGCTCCCATGACACGAATTATGTCGTCTCTAGAAGACCAAGATTCAGAAACTTTGGCATCCATTCTCTGCAGATTTGACGATTTTATCTCTCTTCATCCATCTAAGCATAAGTTTTATTGGAAAAATCTACAGATACGTTTACAAGTTCTCATGCAGGAGAAGCCAATTGGCGTTATTTCTATTTTTTATGAGTGTTTACAATTATCTGATGATCAAATAATTGTGTCCTCTATTGGGCAAAAAAAAAAAAAAAAAAAAACATGCTCGTATGAGATTTGAATGGATGCCTCCATGGGAACAGGATCGAAAGATTTTTCATACCCATTTTCTGCAAACTCAGTGGTCTCAATTTCCCTTTCTCTCGCAGCCAAAAATGGTATATACATTAGTCTGGTGAGGAACGTCAGGGACGCTTTTGAAGGAAGCCCGCTGGCCAAGATCGACTGCAGGGGACTTCATGCCAGTGATTACAAGAGAATAGGGGCCAAGCTTAAAGTAAATTCTGCATCCATGAGAGCCGATTTTATGTTTCTATAATTTTTTATAAATAGTAATAGAGAGAAAACAGAAAATTAATGACCAGAGTCTACTGGAATGAATAATTTTAATATTTTTTCTATCAGGAGCTGGTTCCATGTGTTCTTCTCTCCTTTGACGAGGAGCAAATTCTGATGTGGAGAGGCAAAGGCTGGAAGTCAAAATACCCAAAACCCCTTTCAACGGACCCAAGCGCAGGTATGATCTCGGTTTGCTTCTTTTTTTTTTTGTTCCTGCTCCGACTCATTTAATATTTAAAAAAATTCCACGTCATCAAAATGCATCCGCTTGTAAAACCAGAAGGAACCAACCTTCCTTGGACTGCCTGATCCGAGCTTGCTCCCCTCAAATTGTGTCTTTTTTGCTAAAAATGGCATTTAATCCTCCACATCAAAGAAAGAAAAGAAATTAGCCCTCTTTTTTAAAAAAATTCAAGCATTTACTGCAGTGGGAAACAGAAGAACCCGATTAATTTCTTTTCTTAAAAAACTCGTTTTTTTTACATATTGCATCTGTTCACCGGGTCCTATCCATAATTGACGGAAATCGATAAAGAAAATTTGGGCATTTAAAAATAAATAAATCAAGCTGCTGTGTGTTGCAGTCGACTACAGAAGGAAAAAAAAACATGATTTTTTTATCAAAAGTTATTAAAAAAAACACCGACCTCTATCTTGCATCTGTTCTCCAGGTCCATTCATCAGTTAATCCGAAATCAATAGTAAATAAATAAATAATTAGATGGCCTGGGCCATTTCTTAAAAAAATTCAACCTTTTTTGTTGTAATCGAATACAGAAGAAGAAAAAAAGAACCCATAATTTTGTTGTCAAAAATAAAATGAAAAAAAAAACGATCACTGATCTCCATCTTGTTTGCATATACATATATCTGTTTGTACAGACCCATCCAGGAAGGAGGCCCCCAAATCGGCGGAGGAAGAGGGGAAGAAAATGGAGATCTCCTCCAGCCCTCCGAGGTTGCTGTCGCTGTGGAGGCGCGCCGTGGAATCACGCGCGGCCCTGCTGCTTCCCGAGGCCGAGCTCAGCCCCGACGATCTCCTGCGCCAAGTCGAGCTCTTCGAGGCCGCTTCGCAGGCCGCCGACCACTCCTTCCCCGCCCTAATCTCCCCCGACGACGGCGACGACGACGACGACGACGACGCAGAACGCCGACATCTCCACGGCGGCGATGCCGGCGATGCCGGCGATGTCGGTGGAGGGCTGTCGGAGGTTCTGGAATCTTCGGTCCCCCTGGGTTCCTTGCCCGTGGATTCCCTCGCGAGGTATCTTCATCCTGAGTGATCCCTCCTACCACCTCCTGTCGTCGTCGTCGTCGTCGTCGTCGTCGTCTTCCTCTCTAATCCCGGGGGGTTGTTGACGTGGAAATTCTTCCGGCCATTTCTCTGCTACTTCTCCTTCCCCACCTGCCCCGAAGTGGGGGAGAGCGGCGGCGGTCAAAGGCAGCTGTCTAGAGAGAGAGAGAGAGGGGGGGAGGAGACGACAGTTGGCCTGCCACCTTGTACTTGGCTAGAGATGGAACGACGAAATGGTACTTCTCGACCTCAAGGAGCATTTGCTGCAGTGTGGCAATAATATGAGGACTTGAATGCGGAGTCAAAGACAGAAAGAACTCTTCTTGTCCAGCCATATATGGTCAAGTGGAATAAATAGTTCATTGTGCGCACATGTGCCACCTTAAGAAGAGGGTCGGTGGGTGGGGGACACTGCTGGTCCCAATTCTCTCGCACACATTGAACAGAGAAGAGAGAGAGAGAGAGAGAGAGATGCTCCACTCGCACTTTGTTTCATTCAATCACTAGACGGAATAGTAATAGGAATAGGAATAGGAATGACTACCGACAGCCGAACGAACAACCCTCTTAAGGCGGGGTAGAGAGAGAGAGAGAGAGAATGACATGATAACAATATAACGGCAACTGAGGGGGAGGGTAGAGAGGGATTTGAGAAGGGGATTGATTTAGGCGGAGGCGGTCTTGGTGGACTTGAGGGGCTTGACGACCTCCCAGGTGAAGTCTGGGTCGTCGCGGCCGAAGTGGCCGTAGGCGGCGGTCTTGATGAAGCGGTTGCCGCCTCGCTTGAGGTCGAGGTTGATGGTCATCATACCTGGCCGGAAGTCGAAGTTCTCCTTCACGATCTGGAGGATCTCCTTGTCGGGGATCGTCCCGGTGCCGTACGAGTCCACGAAAACGGAGAGGGGCTCAGGCACGCCGATGGCGTAGGAGACCTGGACGATGCACCGCCTCGCGAGGCCGCCGGCCACCACGCTCTTGGCCGCCTGCCGGACGATGTAGGCCCCGCTGCGGTCCACCTTGGTGGGGTCCTTGCCGGAGAAGGCACCGCCACCGTGGGCGCCCCAGCCGCCGTAGGTGTCGATGATGATCTTCCGGCCGGTGAGCCCGGCGTCGCCGTGGGGGCCTCCGATGACGAAGCGGCCGGAGGGGTTGAGGTGGAAGATGGTCTTCTCGTCGAGGTACTTCTCGGGGATGACGGGCTTGATGACGTGCTCCTTGAGGTCGGCGGCGATCTCGTCGTTGGTGACGGTCTCGTCGTGCTGGGTGGAGATCAGGACGGTGTGGACGCGGAGCGGGATCATGGCGCCGCCGTCGTTCCGGTACTCAACGGTGACCTGGGTCTTGCCGTCTGGCCTGAGCCAGGCGCAGGTGCCGTTCTTGCGGACCTCGGTTAGGCGGGCCCCGAGCTTGGTGGCGAGGACGTGGCTGAGGGGCATCAGCTCGGGGGTCTCGTCCGTGGCGTAGCCGAACATGTGGCCCTGGTCGCCGGCGCCGATCTCCTCCGGCCGCTTGGTGAAGTGGCCGTGGACACCCTGAGCGATATCAGGGCTCTGTTGCTCGATGTTGACCAGCACCTTGCAGTTGTCGGCGTCGAGGCCCACATCGTCAGAGATGAATCCGATCGAGCGACAGGTGTCACGGACTATCTTCTCGTAGTCGACGTTAGCCTTGGTTGTGATCTCGCCGAAGACCATCACCATGTTGGTTTTGGTGCAGGTCTCACAGGCCACCTTGCTGTCGGGGTCCTGGGCCAGGCAGGCGTCCAGCACCGCGTCAGAGATCTGATCGCACAGCTTGTCGGGGTGACCCTCGTTCACGGACTCGGAGGTGAAGAGGAAGGTGTCCATGGTATTAAAACTGAAAAGAAGACTGGATCAGCCTCTCTGATGAAGATTACAAAAGAAGAAGAAGAAGAAATACATGATGAAGACAGAGGAAGAGAATAAGCTGAGGCGGAGAAGAATAAAATAATGCCTATCGAATAATATTTCTATGAAAAAAAGTGCACCACAAGGAAATTCTTTTGATTCCCGCATCTAATAATGCACAAAAAGGGAATCCATCCTAGGCAGGTACGCAGGATGAGAATATTCCAAACGCAAATAAAAGATCCTTAGCCGCAAAGAAAGATCGAGGTATACTCAAGAGGTAACATCCTTTGTTCCCCTTGATATCACCACTTCCCTCACGAACATTGTCCGAGATCCAATGGAAAAAGTTCATTTTTACGCATAGGAGTAGAGATCTGTACTCTGAATTGTCTGGTGAAGAGCTGGAAATTGATGGCAGATAAGATCCAAAAGTTTAAAAGCTCAAGGAGCACCAGAAAACTGAATTGGAATGACATTATCGAAAAGGATAGGAGAGATTTCCTCACTTGCCACGCTCTCTCAGTGGAATAGATCCCAGGGAAATCATAAGGAAAGATTTGTTAACTATCGCGCTTAAAATACGGGAAAACAAATCATGAGTTCTCCTACCTCCGCGGTACCCGCGGGATCCGACCCAGAAAACAACAGATCTACAACGGCAAACCTCACCAGGATGTCTCCTACCTCACACCAAAAATCTACAAAGGTCTCACAGTTCCAATGCCTGAACAACTCAGCAACCGATCAGATCCACTCTTCCACGCAGGAGAGCCATCGATCAGGGAAAAAACATCATCCAATTAACAGTGGAGGAAACGACCACAGAACTCACTTCCGGGGCAAAAAAATACGCAAGACCAATCCAGATCCAGATCCAGATCCAGATCCAGAAGACGAAAACGAGGGATGGCGAGGAGCTACATCCAGATGAAGAAAGAGCGAGAGAGAGAGATAGAACTAGGGAGGGAGGGAGGGCACCGACGAACCTGGTGAAAGAGAGAGGACCGAAGAATGGAGGAGATGGGAGGCCGCCCTAGCTTCGTCTCCTCTGCCTGCTAGCGGCGCAAATAACTCCTCACCCCTTGCACGCCCTTGAAGCTCGTTCCCCCCTCCGTTTTTATAGGCTCAATCCCCACCCTCTCTCTCTCTCGCACGTTCTGAAGCAGTGGTTGGCTCATCGGGGGCTCGAACCGGGCAGAACGGCCTCTGACCGTCTGATTTCCCCGGCGACCTCTCTGGGTATCCCATGTGCAACCGGCTATACCCGGTCGCCACCAACCCCAACACCCTCACCAAGTGCCCCTTAGTTGAGGCTTGCTGACTGCGTGGGCCCCGCTTTAAAATAATCGGATTACTAGTTCCCACCAGCCCGGTCAGCCAGAACCCTTTCCCAGCCCGACCCGGCCCACAAGAACACGGACTTTGCTTGGGTCAAGGCCAACCTCGGGCCCCGAAATTGATTTTCGGGCCTGGACTGAGCCCCGCCCAGTGACGACATCCAGCACTGCTGCGGTCTACTGACCGACTCACCAAAACGGCGACTTTTCTAACAATAAAATACGAAGTGCCGGAGGGGGGGTGAATGGAGTGCGGTGACGGCAGCCCGGTCCAACTACCCCCACGGTTGGTGGTGGGTTGGTGATGACGATGACGTGGCTACCCGGAGATTCGAGTCCACCGATGTAGCTTGTCAGGGGCTGACTGGGGAGGACAATTGGACGGTCGAGACGTCCTTGATTCCCTCATCTGACGGACTGATCGGACGATGGAGGCGCGTCCTAGCAGCTGTGCGGAAAGCTCCGAAAAGCGGGGATTTCGAGAAAATGAATCCGGACTTTTTCCTGGGAAAATACGTAGACGGGGAACCTCGACCAGTTAGAATGTTCCCCGTCAGGATTTTAAGTTATCCGAATGCCTAATAAAACAGGCAAAAAATATAATTTTAAATAAAAAGATAAGAAGAAAATATCACGTTGTAAATATGTATAAGCATAAACTTGCCGCGTAGCAGCCCCAGATTATCCACACGGCGGTGAGGTGGGTCAGCCAGCCCCCAGAGCTCCACAAAAAAACCCAAAGTCTTAATGCATAAAAATAAATATTTACATTTATTTATTTATTTATTTATTTATTTATTTATTTAAAATTTAAAAAACGAAGCCAATAGAAAAACGGGCCCGGGCCTGTCCTGGGCTTCAGCAAGATACAGCCCACATAATATGCGCCCATTTCTCTCGGTCACAGTACTGGATTTTCCTCTCTCTCTCTCCAAGAAGCTTGGAAACTAAGAAGCTTGGAGCATCTTCTGAATTGAGAGAAAATAAAAGAGCATTATTCGCTACAGATTGCAAAAAAAAAAAAAAAAAAAATCTCTTCCTTAGGGGGAACCCACCAGGGAGAGAAGAGAGGAGCAAAGAAAACCTTCTACGGCCTATCTCTTAAGCTTCAGCTCTGGGTCGCAGGGGAAGGCCCGGGCCCGGTGGTTGAACGTCAAGAAGTCAAGATTGGCCGGAAGAGAAACCATCCTGCAATTTTAATGTTTTTATTGATACAAGTGAAAAAATGCCGTAGTGAGAATACACGGATTCATATCTACCATCCTTAGATTCTTCTTTCTTTCTTTTTTTCCCTTTCATTCACTGAAACAAAAGACGTCAGAGATTGGATTCCTGGGTTTATGTGGGCTTCGAGGAATTCAAATAAAAACTATAGATCCTGAAGCCACATCCCGAAATTCCTTTCTTAGTTCATAGAAATTAATATATGTCAAAGATTGAATCCCTGGGTTGAACAAGGATATAAGACTCTGGATTATGAAAAACCATCCCGCAATGCATATTTTGATTAATAGAAATGTGAAAAAAAATCAAATCGAATTACCGGGTTTATATGAACTTTGAAGAATTATAAAAAAAATAGAGACTGTCCGACAAGGTTTTTCTCCTATAATTTCGTCAAACATATTCAACTCAACTGAGTGAATGACACACACACAGTTGTTGTTCTTCGGAAATCCCCTAGTCTTTAGAAGAAAGGAGAAAATCCCATCTCCTCAGCATCAATGGTGATAGATTGATGAGCAAAGCAATAGTGACAAACTGATTATCCAAAATTCAGGCATCAAACGCGGTTTTTAGCAGACTAGATATTTTCAGCAGATTAAGATTTCTCTCATGCCATCTAAGTGATGGGCTAACTCTGACGGATCTCAGGATATGGAAAATATTCCATTCAAGAAAGGAGTCACCTGGTTTCACCCCCCCATAAATCACTTTAATTATAGACTAAACAAGCCCCTCTCTTTTTCACTTGGGCCTTTGGGTCCCCACAACCATTACATATTTTACCATTTAGTCCCTTGTTTCACTGTCACGGTTGAGATTGGTTAATATTAACCAACTTAGAGAAAATTAACTTAACCTCACTTGGTTAAGTTACCTTTTCCCAAGAATCATTGTTTCTAAGAAAAGAAAGCATAATTATTCAAAAAGAAATTAAATTTTCTGTAAACTTTCATTGTAGCAAACGGAAGACTAATTGGATGATTAACTGAGAGGATATGCGGTTATAGATCACTAAAGATAATCGATTTAACACTGGCCGGCATTGGTAAATACTGAACCAGATTAGAAGAATATTAGTTACCCTCATTTATTGTCATCAAAGAAAAATAAGCATAATCATTCACATAGTGATGAAACATTCCACGAATATTTTTCGTAATTCATGGAAAATTAATTGAAGGCTTAAACGATAAGATGTGTATAGTTTGAGGGGAACTAAAAGTCCAAGTGAAATAGAGAGTTTCTCCGTAATTCAAGTTTATAGAGAATAAAAATCGCACAACACTAAAAAAAACAATGAAATCATATAATGACAGTTTATGCAAAGATAAATAGTCATGTTTTCTATCAGAAGTCATATCTTGAGTGGATGGAATAAGACTAAACTAGGGATCATGAGTATGTCAATGGCTGAGATATTGCGTTCGTGAAATTCAGCTATGGGGACAACATCCTCTTCAGTCTTCCAGATCCCAAGGGTTGTGGAGGATAACCTTTATAGAATGGTAGAGAAAAATGACAAAAACCCTCAATATAACGGACGGGAGGAAAAATATGTGAGAGAAAAGACAGTTATGAGGCAATCGTAATGGAAACTAGAGAAACAGAATGCAGTGTGGGCGTAGAGAGCAGTTTAGGAGCTACACCAACTGGTTCATATCGCCCAGATTTTATTCATATGTATATCCCATTTTGAGAAATTGTTCTAGTCTGCAAGTTATTTTATTTTTTCTTATACTAGCCAGCTTTGTAAACGGATGCATATTATGTTCTGTAAGAAATCTGTAAGAAAGCGGATGTATTCCATTATAGAAATAATATAAGGTAAAGGATGGAAAGAAAATAGGGATGAATGGAAAATAAAACTGACGAGAGGACTCTGGAAGATTTTCAGAAAAAGTGCAGCAAAAGCTGTCACATTAAATAATTGACTACGAGAAGTGAGATCTGAGGAAGTGCGGGATCTTTCTACTGAAAATTTATAAACGAACTAGTTTAGTGGGTCAATCTTTCCTCCCGTGGACTGTACTCCGAAAAGAAAAGGCAAAACACCAAACACAGAACCTGGGTAAATGCATTTCTTCAAGCAGCTCCACACCACATTCTCCCAATTTTCATCATAAATTATGAAAAAATAAAGGCCATCTAATGAATAGCCTACACTCCAAATCGACGTGAATTCTGAACAAGGAAAAGGAGCTGACCTATTTTCGTCTGAGTCTGGGAGTATCGAAAGGAACTTGCCCGGGGCGGACAACCCCGCCCACACCGACAGCGCCAAACCAAGGAGCAGCTCAATCACGACCTGCGGGGGGCACAACCAGAAAAGATTGAACCCTAAATTCGACAGCACGGCAGCGCAGCCTCGCCAGATGAGCAAAAAACAGGATAAAAGGATCATATCGCTCACACTTATCGGCGGCCCATTGAATTCCTCCTCCACGATCTTCAGCATGCCCCGATCTGCCAAGGAAACACATACCAAAGACACCAACGTCAAGGGACGAGAACGGGATGCGAAGAATCACCATACGGAGGGGATGAGGGATCGGAGAGGAGATTTACACTGGACGGTGGAGTAGGCAGCATGGGACAGGATGAGGCATCCAAGGACTCCCACCACGAAGCCCGCGCCCATCTCCATCTCTCGCCCTCTCTCACACACACACAGACTCTCTCTCTGTTTTTCTTCCCTTCACGACGGCATATTTATAGGAGGGACAGAATTTCCTTGGAATCATTTGTAAATGGGCTGTTCGATCGTGGCCCAATAAAGGCCATCATTGAGCCCATTAATCTCCTTATTAACTAGTGACCTGTTTGGGCCGTTTGGGGGGACCTGTTTGGCATACAAGTTTGCGGTAGAAGCCCATTAAGCAATTTTTTGACGGAAATCCCAGGGATTTCTAAAAAAAATATTATTATTTTAATTAAAAATAAAATAATTTAAAAATGGATCAGATAATCATAAAAATCATATAATGCTTACATCAAGAAAAAAAAATCCCATTTTAGAATGTTATAAATAATAATTTACAGAATTTTTTTCGTAATAAATTCCGTAAATATGGCCAATCATTTGGCCCATATTTGCCCATTGTTTAGGGGGAAAAAAATCTCTCTCTAGAAACATGCAGAGTTTTGGAGAATATTTATAAGAGAAGCGAGAGTGAAAATTAATGCGGAGATTATTATTAATATAGAAATTGAGAGATTTATGGGGTGGGAATATAATGAGATAATCAGAAAATCAGATCATAGAGTTAGGGTATTTTTTGGGTAATGAGATATTTTGATTCACGCTGACTTTTTTTAATTGCCGTGAAGGCGAACGAGATATCTTGATGCTTTGGTTCGGTCAATGCGTTGAGGTTACAAGCCCTGGGACTCCCCTCCCGATCTAGAAGGGAGCTACAGGGGCCGTTCCTTCCAGCGCCTCAACGAGCTTCTTGGCTATGGCGCTTCCGTACACTGAAGAACTCTCCTCTATCTGTCCGTAGAGAGAGAAAGAGAGGAAAAAAGGAGAGAAAGAGAGCATCAGTAGAAGGAACACAGAGAGGAGGAGAGAGAGAGAGAGAGAGAGAGAGAGAGAGAGAGAGAGAGGGAAAGGAGAAGACCTTGCAGTTGATAACGATGACGTGGGAGTCGCCGATGTTGCCGGCGGCGAGGTGGAGGAGGTCGAGCTGGAGGTCAAGGAGGGCCCGGCTGAGGAGGAGGAGGCAGTGGGTCCCACCGCGGCGGAGCAGCCTAACGACCACCTCGTCCTCGACGATGCGGACGTCGACGGAAATCCCCCGCAGCCGCCTCTGCACCCACGAGCACCGCGGGGGGGGGTGGCCGCCGCCACCGCGCGCCGCCGTGGGATTCCTCCATTCCTCCACCCTCCGCCGCCTCGCCGCCAGCAAGGTTTGCAGTTCCTCGACCGTCCTCAGGAGTTCCTTGATGTACTCCGTCGCCTCCGCCACGATCGACGCCCTGTCGTGCTGCCGAAGAACCCGACTCGGTGATTCAGTAGAGCGAGCGAGCGAGCGAGAGAGAGAGAGAGAGAGAGAGAGAGAGAGAGAGAGAGAGAGAGAGAGAGAGATGGCGGCTCACCTTCCTTGGGTGAGGGATCAGAGAACGGAGAAGACTGAACTTCTCAGACATCTTCCCTCTCCTCTGCTTCTCCGTCGTGTTGTTGCCCTTGGTGTCTCCCCTCCTCTTCTCGATCGCCATCTCCATCTCCATCTCCATCTCCGGCCAGAACCCTAGCAGAGGACTCGACGAGTGGCCGATGTAGCCTCCGCTGAGAGCCGCTGCCGAGCAAGGGAACAGGCCGTACTCTTGCTGGTTGCCGAGATCCATCTGTACCGGAGGCAGATCGAACGCCGCCACCGCCTGCCGTTCCTGGCAATTCGCCGCCAGAAACAGCGGCAGGCCGCTGCAGTAGACGCCGGCGTCCGGCGCCGCCTCGCCATGGATTATCTGGAGGCAGGGGGAGAAGAAGCCGGAGAGATCCCGCTTTCCCTGTAGGTTGTCCTCCCTGGCCGAGTCATCCCCACCGGCCTCCGCCGTGGCATTATCTCCGCCGCCGACTGCAACTTCTCCCAGCAAGCTATGGAGTCTGGCGTGAAGGGAGAGGTAGCCTGGTTCGCCATAGATGCCTAAGTTCATCTCTGGCTCCCTGAAATAGGACGTTGAAGAGAGAGAAATTGGACTGATAGAGAGAGAGAGAGACGGAGAGAGAGTGAGAGGAAGAGGGAGACCTGCCGGACACAGAAGCCCCTCTCCTCGTCTTATAGTTATCAGAGAACGTCTGTTACTGCCTTCTCATTGGTCTCCTCTCTCTCTCTCTCTCTCTCTCTCTCTCTCTCTCTGTTGCTCGTTTTCTCTCATTTAGCTCATCTAGTCTTCTCTCTCTATCTGCTGTGGCAGTCATTCTCAGACTGCTCTCCCTCTCTCTCGTTCTCTAATCTCCCGTACTCTGTCGCCGGCAGGGAGAGCATCGGACGGTTAACAGCCAGGGTCAGATAACGGTGAGGCCTTTTTTAACAGTAATCCCCTCAGGTTCAAATGTTTTACCTCCGTGCCCCTTCCGTTGTCGCTCTTAGGAACGGAATGAGCTGAATCTAATGTAATAGAGGATTATAAATACAATTCAAAATGGTTTAGGATACTTTTATTAAAACTTTCTCCGCTGTTTGGGGCCCACAGAATAACCGGAGTTCGTTAGGCGCTGTCCACCAGCCACGCAACCCAGGAGCTCGAACTAACCCACCCCGAGGGAGAGTCTGTTCACCGCCCAGTCCCCTTATTCTCCTCTAAATTCTTGAAGACTTCTGACCGTTACTTACGTGACCCCTACGCTACCGTCACCGCCTTCCCTTCCTCTCTCCCTAGAATCATTGATTCCTTATCCTCTCCACACTTATGGAGGTTGGACCATGCAAGCCACCATGCTCCTCTCTCTCTCTCTCCCTCTCTCCTCCCTCCAGCCTTGCGCTAGAGTGGATTATACGAGGATCTTGAACTGATTTAACAAAATTAGGCCACTCTTTAAAAGGGTGTATAACAAAACACAGGCTTAACTAAATTTAATAATATGAAATTTTAAAATGATAAACACGAGTAAATTATATCTATTTTTTTAGAGTTAAGTATAGAAAAATCCAACACAATACGCATAATAAAAAGTAGAAAAAAAAAAGAGAGATGACGAGTATATGAAAATTTCCCCACAAATTACTATAAATAAACTCATGAACTAATGCTTCATATTTTGAGTCATGGGTTGTGTTTGTTTCAAGTCAGTTCAAATTTATTGACCTAATAGTAAAATCTTATTTTCTCATTTCTTAATGCTTCAATTTACTTATTCTAAACATAGTAACAAATTTTGATTAGTCTTTTTTGGAAAATAAATGGATATTATTCCACCACCTTATGAAGATATTGTGAGTACTTTATTAGGGAAAAAGTGAAAAATTTTAAGCTAGAAATCAAGGTATTAATGTCAAAGTCTATCCCTAGAAGTTATGTTATATGGTGGGGAGCAGAGTGAGCGAGAGAGAGAGAGAGAGAGAGAGAGAGAGTGTATAAGACAACCTACAATTGAATCAAATTGTCAACTTATCACAAAGTCTTGAGCCTTGTGGGATTAACATGAAATTATTTAAATAGATTAGCGTTCATGTGGTTTCACAGTCACAAGTTGACCTAAAAAAAGCATCAATGGATGCACTTCCTAAAATAGAGAATTTTCTAAGTACTTAAAGAGAGATGTTTCCTAATGGGCAGTTGACTTTGTAAACATCACTCGTCATTCTAGATGTTCTAAGGCTCTAAGAAATCTACAAAGTTTGAGACTTTGAGGCTCAAGTCAACATCCTCAAAACTTTCCAAAGTAACTTATTTGCTTCATATAATAATGTTTTAGCTCTCAAAAGCCATTGAATCATGGACACAAATTCAAAACCTGCTGACTTGTAGTAGAGTAGAGTGTAAGTCAGGGTGTTATGGCCATAAATACCGTTGAAATAGTCAATATACATATATATATATATATATATATATATATATTAGTTGCTCGTCTTAATTACTCGTCTCATTATTAAGTGTAATATCGCATTTAATATTTGAAAATTATAATCTGAGTTCTTCCTTTTTAATTTCCATCAGATATAGTTCTGAATCTGGAGCAAGTCCATCATACTTTTCTGTTTATATGTATATAGAGAGAAAGAGAGAGAGAGAGAGGAGCTAGGGGGCATGCGTGCAGTTTTATTTATAGAAAGAAGAAGAAGCCCATGTCGGCGAGTGCACCTGCCAACATGGCTTCCAGCTCTCATACCACCGCGTCAATCTCCTCCGCCGCCGCCCCCCGCGGCGGCGACACCACCCGGCCCCGGAAGGTATCCCCCCGGCGACACAGCAGCGCCGCCACCGGTCGCCGGCAGCGCGCCGCCGGAAGAGTCGCCGGCCGGTGGCCGCTTCACCCCCCCATAACCTACGAGGGGCAGCGACCCAACGAAGGGCCCAAGGCCGTAGGCGTCTCCGGGAACGAAGCTGCCGATGCCGACGGCTGGATCGTTGTCGGCGCCGTAGAAGATGTTCTGTGGCTCGTAAAGCTCCGCCAGCCGAGTCCCAACCCTAGCGCCCCCGCCGCACACGGCGGCGCAAGCCAGTAAGAAAGCGACCAGCAGACCCTTCCTCGGCGGCGCCACCACTCTCATCTTCTCCCCGAGCATGCACCGTGACTGGTTCTCCCCGCCACCCCCTCCCCTTCTTATATCCCCCAACAGTGCACTCTAATAGTACTCTCTCTCTCTCTCTCTCTCTCTCTCTCTATAATAAAGCGTAGGCAGGGGCCATAGATGGCAGAGTGGAAACGGCCAGGGAGACGCCGATTTAGGAGCGGTGCAGCTACTTCGTGGACCTTGGTAAATGCACTTTACGTGAGCGGTAAAAGGTGGTTGCTTGGAAGGGGGTGTAACTTAAGATGTCAATATGCCCGGTAAACGGTAATCCAGCCCGGCCCGCCACGGTCAGGCTTCCCTTATCAAATGACTGGCCCAACTTCATAGACTCTGACCCGAAGCCCGTTTCCGTTGGCCCAGTTTCAAGCCTGCTCAGGCCCGGGCCAGTTGACTACCTTTTGTTTTTATAATTTTTTATTCAAAAAATTGGGTTTATATTTTTACCCAGATATGAGAAGTATTGACTAGGCTGATGCCACGTGGAGGTAGATGACGTCATGCTCAAGTGACACTGGCAAAGACGGCCACGGACTGCTCAGTCGCAGGAGGCAGCCGCCGGTCGCGAAGGGATTCCAGGTGGGGCCCAAAGATATCGACGGTCCAAGTCGGCTTTATTAACCGGTCCATCGCGATAGGTGATGTGCGTACGAAAGGGAGTGCACAGCGCTGTATACGAAGATTTATTCGGCCCGTTGGGGGAGGCCGGTGGGTTAACTGGTCCACATTGCTCCATCCGCCACCAGCCCACTCCCCACCGGCCCGTTGGTTCTACCTACCTCTCTACTCCCTCTCTCTCGCTCTCTCTGTCTCTCTCTTCTTAAAATCTCCGCCCTCACGTTCCTCTCACCACCTTACGGGCGAGAGAGGACTGGCAGCGGCTCTCATCTCCAGGCTTCCTTGATCGGTAGATTTCTCTCCAAGCTTTGTTGGATCAGGTGACGATCTGAGGAGGAGGGATGGCGAGGAAGAAGATCAGAGAGTACGATTCGAAGAAGCTGCTGAAGGCTCACCTGAAGAGGCTCGCCGGGATCGATCTCCAGATCTGCTCCGCACAGGTAGAATGAGTTGTCCGTGATCTCCCCCTTAAAACTCTCCAATTATCTGATTGGTCTCTCTCTCTCTCTCTCTCTCTCTCTCTCTCTCTCTCTCTCTCTCTCTCTCTCTCTCTCTCTCTCTCTCTCTCGCTCTCTTCGTGTGGCGTTTCAGAGATATCACGCGGAATTGGTTTGGTCTGTCTTGGAACAGTCGTCTTTCCGTATGAGAGTGATGCGATTTTTTGGTTCTCTTACGGGGACGACTTTTTGTCACATTTACTAGTGTTTTAGTATGTGTTGTCCAGTTCGCGTGCTCGAATTATGTTGATTAGATCCTGCGAATTCTCCTTTTCTCGGTCCTTTAGGTTTCTTAATCATCTGATGTCTAGTTTTTATTTTAAATTCCTCATGGGTAGGTCACAGAAGCGACGGAGTTCACCGAGCTCGCAAACGCAGAGCCATGGCTTTCTTCCTCGAGATTGGTCGTCAAGCCCGACATGCTGTTCGGAAAGAGGGGGAAGAGCGGACTGGTTGCTCTGAACAAGGATCTTTCTGAGGTTGCTGAGTTTGTGAAGCAACGCCTTGGGAAGGAGGTGACCGGTTATACGAGAAATAAGAATTTTCACTCACCTTTTCCATATTGTCTTCACTTTGGTATTGATCGTATCACTTACTGATATCTTAATTGTATGCTGGATTGTGTTTTGATCAGGTTGAGATGGGTGGATGCAAGGCCCCAATCACCACATTCATCGTTGAACCATTTGTTCCACATGAGAAGGAATTTTACCTTTCCATCGTCTCTGAGAGGCTTGGTTGCACCATAAGTTTCTCAGAGTGTGGTGGTATTGAAATTGAAGAGAACTGGGATAAGGTTTGTTGTAATTGGACGTTGGAGAAAATAAACTGTCGATTTTCTTCTCTGATATTTTCTTCAGAAGGTTTTGATCTCATTTCTGATTGCTTTTGTTTAACCCGTGAAGGTTAAGACAGTATTTCTCCCAACAGAAAAGCCAATGACTATTGAAGCATGTGCTCCGTTAATTGCAACGCTTCCATTAGAGGTAATGCAGAGTTCTTCACATGGCCAACCACAAAGCGTATTATGGAGAACCATAGCTCAGCGTCCATAGTATATGTTCATTGCCGGTTTATTTCTCTGTAACTTAATCAATTAGATAGCTATCTTCCAATGAGTTTATTTTCTCTAAGCTATTGCCACTCCGTTTGTATTAAATTACTCTTTCTTGATCTATTTCCCAGATAAGAGGAAAAATTGGCGATTTCATTAAAGGTGTTTTTGATGTATTCCAAGGTATGTACTTGTTTATGTAAATGAAGGACTTTCAATTTGAAACAAGATAAGAAAATGATCAAATATCTGACTGACTGCGAATCAATTGTTCTCTCCCGCTGAGCTCTGTTGCAGACCTGGATTTTACATTCCTCGAGATGAACCCATTTACATTGGTGAATGGGGAACCGTATCCACTGGACATGCGTGGGGAATTAGATGATACGGCTGCTTTCAAGAACTTCAAGAAGTAATCACCGTTAACCTTAAAAAAAAAGGGAAATACAACAGCTCTAGGATGTTATATTAATGATGACAGTTTAAAATGTGCAGATGGGATGCCATTGAGTTTCCACTTCCTTTTGGCAGAGTACTGAGCCCGACAGAAAGTTTCATTCATAGACTTGATGAGAAGGTTCGTGTATTTTAATCAGATTTGTGCCATAAGATGCTGAAAGCTCGTTGTAGATCGTGTAGATCGTTTATAAAATTATTTATGCTTACCAATATTGTCCATTTCAGCATCTAAATATTTATGGATTTACTCTGCTTCAGATAGAAAAAACCAATGTAAACTTTAGGCGAGCCATTTTCTTGCATTTTTTGTATCCCATCTGGTTAGATTATAGATGGGCACCGATGGGTTTTAATTTGAACCTTGTGAGCTGCTAGGTTAGTTCTAAATTCCTTTGTGCTATTTGCCATCTTGAGTGTAGGCCACGTTTTGAGCCTCAACTACAAAAGAGCTAAGCATTTCTCGACCTGCATGCTTTTGATTAAGTATTGAATGCCTTAAAGTTTACCATATAGGCATATAAATTTGTTTACTGAGCCCGAAAATGACATCTGTGTCGTTTTATGAGGTACCCATAATCTCTTGGAGCATGTTAGAGCATGATTTCATCATTCCCTCACCCCAAAAAGATCTAATACTCTGCATGGATCTTCAATATTGTGTGCATCTACTCTTTTTTAAAATCGATCCTCCGTCCTAATCTAAACAGCAACTAAACTGCTGGAAAGCTGGTACTCCGAACATTTTCTATGCTTCATTGGAAGGTTCTTTGGGTGTATATCGCTTCCATTCCTGTGGTTGACAACTTTTAGTTTTTGTTATCATGGAAATTACTTCAAAGAGAATATTTGCAAATATCAAATAAAGTGCTAGATCCTAGGTGCACTCCACATCAGCAACAAGGGTGCATCTGTGTGGCATATGGACACCTTCAAAGCTCTGCTGCATGGGCTTGTGCTCATCTAAACCTGCAATGATAGATGTATATTTCTGCACATGAGGTCATAGTTATTTATGGCAACCAAAGTTTGTAAGATAATGACACTACAATGCCATTATCTTATTACTTGCACAACCATGCATGGCCCTCCCAAGTAAGTTTATTTTCGTCAAGGATTCTAATGAATCTAGTAACCTATATAGATTCTACCAGAAGCTAATTTGATCTAATGTATTCATGCTCGTAATTTTTTTAAAAAAATGGAGCATCCCTCTTTGTAAATTGGAATCATGTTCTTTATCGCAGTATTTTTTATGACTATCATTCACTTCAGACAAAATTAAATGAACTTGTCTATGGAAACAATTTGCTGAATACTCTCAAAATCCTGGTTAGTTGTTTGAGTTGCGATCGGTACAGGTTAGTGAGCTCGTAGATGAGATAAGTATGGCGTCATTCAATATACATTTTATTCTACTTTCTATGATCCATGCGATGTGATACCTAATTTTTCGAAATGTCCAATCGAATGGTATTTATTATCTGAAAATTTAATTTTCCGCATAGCATCAGGACTCTCATGTAGTTTACATTCTGGGAAATGACTTATCCGCAGCATAAAGTTGTGCATGCATGTGATAATTTGTTTCCAATTTTTTTCCAGATTTTATTAGTGTCGTGGCCTTCATTTATATTTAATAGGAACAAATTACTGTTCTGTTCATTGCATGGGTTTTCTGCGTATTTATATTGAATAGGAAACATCAAAATATCATCTTATTCTGTGAAATCTTTCTACTATATGTAGAAACCTTCTTCTTCTTCTTTTATGGGGCCCACTCTAGCTGGAGTTTCTCGCTCAAAATAGCATCTATTCGCTGAAACCTTACTACTATTAATAGAAAGCTTCTTCTTCTTCTGTGGGATCCACCCTTCCTAGCTGGAGTTTCTCGCTCAAACTAGCATCTATTCGCTGAAATCTTAGTACTATTAGTAGAAAGCTTCTTCTTCTTCTGTGGGATCCACCCGGTCAAGCTGGATTTTCTCGCTCAAACTATCATTTATTCTCTTTATTGTGGCAATTAATTTTGTGTGATCCTCGTTTGTCTCAGACGAGCGCCTCCTTGAAGTTCACCGTCCTCAACGCCAAAGGTCGCATCTGGACCATGGTCGCCGGCGGCGGCGCCAGCGTGATATACGCCGACACGGTGGCCACCCAAGTCCAGAATAAATCTCCTCTTTGCACTTTCCCTCTCTTATATTCTCTCCTCTCTCTCTCTCTCTCTATCAAGCAGGTTGGGGATCTGGGTTATGCGGCGGAGCTTGGAAACTACGCGGAATACAGCGGGGCGCCGAACGAGGAGGAGGTCTTGCAGTACGCCAGGGTGGTCTTAGATGTAAGGCGAAATCTCTCTCCTCTCTGTCTCCCGGTCTCTCTGTTCTCTGTCTCTCTCTATCTCTCTGTGTCTACGGGATCTCCCTTCTCCTGAAAGTCGTCTTTCCGCCGCCGCAGTGCGCCACCGCGGACCCCGACGGCCGCAAGAGGGCCCTCCTGATCGGCGGCGGCATTGCCAACTTCACCGACGTGGCCGCCACTTTCAACGGCATCATCCGGGCCCTGCGAGAGAAGGTGGGCCCCTGCGTTGACCCTCCTCCTCTTCCTCCCCTACTTCGGTCTCCGCCTTTCCTAATATGGAATTGTATGTCAACCCCCTGGCGGCGTGGCTGCAGGAGGCGAAGATAAAGGAGGCGAGGATGCACATCTACGTAAGAAGAGGCGGCCCCAACTACAAGACCGGGTTGGCGAAGATGAGGGTCCTGGGAGAGGAGCTGGGCGTCCCCCTCGAGGTGAGCCGCTCTCAACACGTCCGATTTGATCCGATCTCAACCCGCTCTCTCTCGCTTAATCCTCTGAGCCGTGCAGGTTTATGGGCCTGAGGCGACGATGACCGGAATCTGCAAGGAAGCCATCGACTGCGTCATGTCCGCCGCCTAAACACACCTGCCCAAACCTCCTCCCTTCTCTGCTTTCGGACACCTAATTTCAAGGTTCTCGGACTTTCCACATCTGGCAGAATTTGGCAATAATCTCGTCTAATTTCTTCGATCCAAACGGTAAAATGCCAGGTGTGGTTGGTTTTATCTTCAAAAATAAATCACATAAATCTAAATGTCGGGCATTCAACTTTATTTTTCTAAATATTGATCATGTCAAGGGGCTCTGGGCCAGGTTTCGAGGTGTTAAGATGGTACATAACTTGAAAAATAATTCATATTCATTTATGCTTTAAAATATTATTAATATTTGCTTTTGGCTAGATGCCCTCTTTTCCTTTTTTAGCCTTTCAGGGATGGGCGAAGGGCCTTAGTCACATAGATAACTCTTTGACCATGTACCATCTATTTGAATGATTGATGTTGTTCTATCCTATTTGATGTACAACTAGGTTCAACTTGAGTGCCACACTAAAAAGAGATACAAGCCTTCACAAAAGCAGTTCACATGAGATATATATTGCTAGTTTTTTTTAGAGAGATTGAGTTGTTGAGTTGGTTTGTCTAGATGAAGAAGGGAGAGGGATTGAATTCAGTAACTTCTAAATCTGGTCTTGGTCAACTTTCTTCCAGAGCATTGATCACCTTCTTCAAATCCTAAGTCTTATATGTTTTTTAAAGCAATAGGTGTAAGACTTAAATGGATTTTTAATATGGTTCAACCCTCTACTTACATTCGCTCTTCAAGAATAATTCTTGTTCTTAGGTTACAGTAAGATCAAATGTTCCGATCAAATGTTTCGATCACAACTCAAACGTAGCTTTATGGTTGGCTCTAAGTGGGCAACAAATCTGTAATGATTCAACTCCTACGAGTAATTAAAAAATATAAATCATAAATTTATACCACCATTTGAAGTACTCAAAGTCAAATGACTTTGAGTACTTTTAGAATTTTGATGAAGAAGAGGATTGTTGACATTTGAATTTTTGTTATCTTCTTGTGATGATGCTACTAGGATATAGATGACGTTACATCTTGAATTTGGTCGAAAAGAAACCTTGGAATCTTGAGGACAACTCCTCAAGTCACTTTTAAGAAACTTGAGTAGCAGTAAAATTTCTTGATTTCGTTCAAAATTTTCTGCAGAAATACTCAACAAAAGGTTTGAGGTTATAGAAGAGAGAAATGATCCTTCAAAAATCATTAATCATTAGAAAGACAGTATTTATAGATAAATCAGGTTTGAAAGTCCTCATATTTTCATGATTTTTCACATCGATTTTACCAAAAAATAAATATAAATTGAAGAGTACAAAATCAATACCATATGTCCATTAACGGTTTGGATATCCTTAAGAGAAACTAATATGTGGTTGTGTTAAAATACAATGTATATATATTAAAAGCATCTTAGTTCAACCAAGTCCGGTAAGTATTTAGTAATGCTAAAATAGAGCTAATAATACATATGTAGATAAGACATTGATTTATGGTGTTTGGATCATGATCTCAATATTTATAACCATTATTATGGTGTTTTTTTAATAAAATAAAAAGTAAGGGTGGGGAAAAATGTCAAGAATATATTGGAACATTAATTTGGAAGAGATGATGGAAGCAAGAGTTTATTTTGGTCATGGGACTAGGCAATGGAATCAAAATATTTAAAAATATTTTCGAAATATATTTCAGAAGATCTTACATGGTATAATAAATGATTTGAACTCAATCTATTAATTCAATATCAGAATCATCATAAAGTGTTGATTTAATGTCATGGGTATATAATAGACAATGAATTTTCATACCCATATTTTACTTCATAAGTTTTTTATTTGAACGATTTAATCACTCTTTTTTTATTATGATAGTTTATGTTAATATTGACAGCTTCAATAATAATAGATAAAATAAAATTTTCTCACGAAAAAATAAATTGAATAAATAAACTCAATATCATGGGTTGTGTATATGTTGAATTTTCATCTAAATATTTAATAGAATTATTTTGAATTATATCTACATGCTTTCATATTTACCCTCATATAAACTATATTCAGAATTAAGTATAATTCAATCTTTTAATTGACTTTATAATTATTTATCATCATCAAAACATCATGCGTTTAATAATCCAATCATGAATACCCAAAACTTGTTTCAAAGAGAGAGTGGCCCTACACATCTCTTTTTTAGATAAAGCATCACTTCTTTGTCTTATTGAAATTCTGATTTTCATACACAATCAAATACCCCTCATACATTGACACTAACAAACTATTAATGAATAAATCAGAAGCATCAACGTATACCTCAAGGCCATATGAGGTATGATAGTGGCAATTTAAGCTTGCTTGTGATGGTTCACTTCAAGCTATATGTGCATTGACACTCTCTTGACAATTGCTACTTCATATCCTTCTTTAAGAGATTTGGTAGAGATACTACCAACTTGTAATATGCCCATATATATTTTTTCTAATAGCTAGTCAAATTGTGAAATGAATAAAGTTTTGATACTTAGTTGAATGATAGTTAATCACTAATGGTATGAAGCTTTGCTTGGTCTACGCTATCATTCTTGACAACATGATTGAAAAATGTGACTTACTCCATCATAAAATCCATTTGATAGTGCTGAGGAGTAGTTTTTGATTCTCCAACTTTGTGAGCATGTTCTAGTGTTTTTCTAATCTTTGATTGTATACCAAGATGTCATCTTAGTACATCACATTGAAGCGGTTAATGAAATTATCAAATATGACATTAATCAAAATGTAGAATGTTGTTATTGTAATAGTGAAGGAAGTTAAATGGCATCATTGTGATCTCATATAAACCATAGTGAATCATACATTTGATTATCCCCATATTCTTTTTTTCTTTGATTCATACTTGATAATAGCCATTATTCAAGTTTATCTTATACAAGTATTGTGCCCCTTCTAGGTGATGGTCGACTATCTTATACAAGAATTTTTAATTGATGTTAAATATATAATCTTCCACCTTCTTCACAGTGTGAGTTTGTCATTCTAATGCATCTCCATTCCACTTTGTCATCGTCAAAATACCTTTTTTTTTCCCAACCCTAATAGAAGTGACTATGGCAAGAGGTCTTAGAATTCCTCAGAGTTGCAGAACTCTCAACAAGAGTGGTTCTTGTCGTGCGTCTGTCTCCATGGTGATGTATGCAACAAGAGGTCTACTTCATGTGCATATAATTTTCAGCTTCTTGAAGGTCTTCCATATGCCTTCAAAGGCCTTTTAGTCCACGTGCTGGCTCTCACATTGGAGAGGGTCGATCACATGAGAGGGAAGGAGGGAGGGAGTGATTGTGAGGCCTGCTTGCCGCTGTGTGTCTCCGACCTCTCCCTCTCTGGTTCTCCAGGTTCTTGCAGGTTTAGGGTTCCAGGGTAGGCAGCCGCAGGTGGAAGTCGTCGGGGTAGAGGAGAGGCGAGTTGAAGAGAGGGAGGGATCAGATGACACTGGGCGGGTCGGGGCACGCTTACGGCGAGGCGTCGTACTGGGACAACCGCTACAGCCAGGATCCGGGCCCCTTCGACTGGTACCAGAAGTACGTCGCTCTGGCCCCGCTGTTTGATCTCTATCTCCAGCGCCGACACCGGTTGCTCCTCGTCGGCTGCGGTAATTCCGGTAAGCCCTCGGCCTCCGCCATCTTCTTCCCCCCTGGCGCATTCCTCCCCGTCACTGGATTGTAATAAGACACCTACTTCTTCCTCTTCCCTCTATGTCATGGGCTCTTCAAGGAATTGCTCTTCTAGACGCCGATCATTCACTCCTCGAGCACCGTAGAAGATCTTCACATTTGTTTCCCGTTGGATTACTTTTTAATTGGTGGAGAATGAGGTTGAGGGGCATATGCTTCATTTGGAATCGACATGGTATGCTTCCCTAGATACATTAGGCTTCCCTACTTATGACTGGGGCTTGGAATTCCCACTGCTTCCATCAAATTTTTCTTCTCGTCCTCCATCCCAGCGGAGGGGAAGGGGCAGAAGGATCGTTCAGTCCAGGAACCATGGACAACTGGAACTCTCCAATTTCGACTCTCCAGATTTAATTCCCCTTGGAAAGCTAAGATCGTAATACAGCATCATTTAGTCCAGGTTGCTCGAGGGTGTTTCCTGAGATGCATCGGCTCGTGAAGCATTCTAGGGCTAACAAGCAGCTGCTTCTTGAAAAACCCCTAGGAACTATGTTGAAATAAGTGATGGGGAAAATCGTTGATTTGCTCATGTTGTGGTATATTCTTAGTCGTGCAGTTGTTCTTGAGATCAGAATCCGGCTGTGGATGTGACCTTGGCATAGAAGAACATGATGATCATGAGGAGATGGATGATGGATGTTGTGTACTAGGGACTATTGAGAGGGAGAGAGAGTGACGTGGAAATAAATAATGGCTGGATCTTCCCTTGTTCCTTATGATCCGTAACCTGGACGAAATTGATTTCATCATTTAAACCCTATTTAGTCTCCATCTTATCCTCAACTTTAGATCAGTTGCATCCTGGGTAGATATATGATCCTGATTCCCCACAGATCACTTATTTATACTGCCTTTTTGCGGTGGAGATTGAATGTGCCTACGCACTGTCCTTCTTTCTGAGTCTTGACAGCTCTTGGAGAAGAAATGGTGAATGATGGCTATGAGGACATTGTCAACATCGACATATCTTCAGTGGTCATTGAGGCCATGAAGGAGAAGTATGCGGATTGCCCAGAAATGAAGTGTATCCTAATGGTTTTATTTTTACTTTATTAATTGAACTAGCTTCTCGTTGCCTTTGTCCCATTCGCTCTTGTTTTGTCCTCAACCATTTGACAGACTTTGAGATGGACGTTCGAGATATGACCACCTTTGAATCTGGCTCTTTTGACACTGTCATTGATAAAGGTATTTATGTCTATGAAAAGAAAAATCTTCTAAATCATGGGTACAGGTGTAACACCATATTGGATATTATATGAGCATATTTAAATTCATATTCCTTCGCATGATATCAGGAAATCCTGTTCCCCATTCTTCAGTAGTATACTTGTCTGTCTTTATCCCACATTGAGTCAGAGAAGTTGGCCCTGTGGCTAAGTACATGTGCATATTTATTGCTTATTTTCAATTGGTTTTAAATTAGACAAAAATGAAAATTCTTAGTTAATCAATCCTTTTGTCTCAATAGATGCGTCTTGATCTGATGTGGTATAGAACAATACAACATGATGGAATGCAATGGGATGGATGATAGAGGGCTGCATTCGCCCATAAACGATGATTTACTTGCTTCCTTGTATTTAGGGACATCATAGAAAATTCTTATTCCTCAGCATGATATTAGAAAATCTCGTTGCCCATCCTTCAATAGTGTTCTTGCTCGTCTCTATCTCACAATCTTTTCTACAACAATCTCTGTTGACTTCTTCCCTTGTGTCCACAGGAACTCTAGACTCTCTGATGGTGAGTGTTGTGCATTCCTGATATTTTCCCTTTGAACCAAGGATGACGATCAAGTGCTTTCATTGGCGGCCATGCAGTGTGGGAGCAGCGCTCAACAGAATTCAGCTAAGATGCTCGAGGAGGTCAACAGGTATTAATGGACACGATATCAATGAAATGTCAATTAGTGGATAAGCCCATCTTTCATATCCAGAGTCAACGTTTATTTCCAAGATGACCAAGATGAGACTATGCTTCTCGGTTGAGGTTTGTCATGTGGACAACATAAATGGCGCATGTTCAGACGAAGAGCAATAATCTGTTTTTGGGCCATCCCAATGGAGAAACCAATTGGAGACTACCTTTAATTTTTACATGTTTAGATTGAGAAAAAAAGTATTTTATTTAATTATTGATATGGGTTCATTCCTCACTAGTAAGCAACATAAATGGGGTAGGTTGGTTCATCCAAGGGGCAATAATTTACTCTGATACCGTGCTAAAGAAAAATTACTGGGGATCTAAAAGCTCATCTTTATTGAAAAAGGAGGTTATTTGGTTATTTCTATGATAAATCAATATTGGGGACTACTCTTTGTTTATTTGGATAATGTTTAGGCGTAACTTTCTATTCAGAATATTACTCCCATAACAAGTAACATGGAGCTATTCTTCATTGGAATTCTTGATTAGTTTTTTTTGTATCTGTTACCCCGTATTTAATTCCTTTGTTTTTTTTTTTTTTTTTTTTTTGAAACCGTCAGGATTCTCAAGGACGACGGAGCTTATATTCTGGTAATCAGATTATTTAACCTTCTGAGGTTCAATTTCTTCTGATCGAGCTCTTATGAAGAGGAGAGAGATTCTCTCATTCCAGTGCGACAAACTATGCTGCTCCCTCGGTAATATATTTATGGGCAAATTCAGATTACTTATGGGGATCCGAAGTACCGACTGTACCTACTCAAAGCAATGGGATGGACTGTTAACCTGCATGTAATAGGTAATCCTCCGATGGCCTTCCAATGCTCTAGAATCATCTGATCAGCCAATTTTGTAGAATAATCTGACCGATTCACTATCTAGACCATTCTTGAACCGGCCAATTCATCAGATTCTCCACCTTGGGCGGCACTGTTATCTGCTGGAGCAGACCCATTGCTGCAGCTGTCTCAAAGTGACAAACTTCACTGCAAGAAATCTCCTCTCTGTGGCATTTTTACACTTACGTCCCCCCCCCCGGCCATGTGAAAATTTGCAAGAGAGGGCCCCAGCTTTCGCTCTCTGATCTTGTCAGGGAAATTTGCATTTAAACCATCTTCACCTTTAGAGACTTTATCATTCCTCCTCGTTACCCGGTTTATTGATAATATAATTTTAGAATTCTTATCTGGAATATAATTTTCTACCCCTGATTACTATTTAAATTGGGGGTTCCTACAGGCAGGCCGGATAGAATTCCACAGGTGGATCCGTGGGAGTTGACCAAGCCGATCCCCATGTCAGAAGATGGCAGCTTGGCTACTACGGCTGTTGGTTCGAACCCGGAGATCCACTACATATATGTCTGCCTCAAGGTCAGTAGTTTTGGCATTCGCCTCTTCTTCTTTCCGTCCGGGTTTCTGGGCTGGGATCCATTTCTCTCTCTAGACTTGATTTTAAGCCCGGAAATTTATTGGAGAGGAGGTCCTGTGGTTAGACTAGACACGGAGGGGAAGGGGAAGGGACTGCTGCATGTGGGAAGGAGGGAAGGAGGGCCGGCCAAGCTTCTGTGCTGGGATCTGTTTCTCTCTCTAGACTTGTCTTTATGCCCGGAAAAGTATCGAAGGGGATCAGGTCCTGTGGGTAATAGACAAAGGGGACAAGGGGAGGGACTGTTACAGGGGAGAGGGAGGGAAAGAGGGCCGGCCAGGCTTCTGGGCTGGGACCTGTTTCTCTCTCTAGATTTGTATTCGAGGTCCCAGCCAGGGAATTCAGACCGGGTTTTTGGTGGAAATTTAGTCCCTGAACTCTTCGTAATTCTGTTTCTGTGACCATCTCTCTCTCATATCTAAACCCCTGAACCTTCAGTAGGTCGATCCCTAAGACCCTCATGAACCATGCTTTTTATATGCGGGTAATTCCATGATCTAACCATGGTTCTTGTCTCCACTCTGTTCACAGGACAAACCATCTGGGGAGTGGATGAAAGAGAGAGATGATGGTGCAATAAGCGCACAGGCTGGCAGTAGATAAGCAAACCCTAAAATCGATGATGCTCTTCAATTTTGTAACGTTGTATCAAATAAAAACCAGTCCTTTTACCATATGATCTTGCTTCCTTTCATAAAATCATCTGGAGAGAGAGAGAGAGAGAGAGAGAGAGCAAGTCCCTTCGTCCACTGGGTCTCATCTGGCCAGGAGAAGATGGTTCTCAGGGGAGACGCTTACTGGGACGTACTTGACGAGCTCTGCCTTCAGACCTCGCCCCCTCAACCACATGAGCCTCCCCACGTCGATAATCTCCTTGCAGACGAAGCCCAGACAGGCCTTTTCGCCGGAGCTCATCCGCTTCACCACCTCCTCGACTCCACAGGCTCCTCCGCCGCTGTCGGAGGAGTCTGGGGACGCCGCCTGATCGCCGCCGTGAGAATTCCCCAGGTTGTGTGCTCCGTCTACCGCCCAGCTGCTGAACCATGTGATGGCGTTGAATTCCTCTTCCTCGATCCCAATCTCGGAAAGATACGGCTTGTCTGCAACAGCGACAGACAGCGATGAGATCTATCAGCTCCGTCTGGGCGGCGGCGGCGGTGGCGGCGGTGGCGGAGGTAGAAGGTGGCAGTAAACGATTATGAGGACAGAAAGGAGTTGCTTACTGATGTATTGGTCCCACTGGCAGAGATGGTGGCAGCAGGTTGCGACGGCGAGGCCACTGAGCTGAGCGGCGGCGGCGCCGCTCGATCGGTCGTCGTCGTCGTCATCTCCGCGGAGGCAGCATCTCAGAGTCAGGTCTGCAAAGAGTTGGCATTTCCTCAGTCGAGGCGCTACGCCCGGCGTCGTCATGCATGTTTAGTGAGAGAGTGGGTCTGGTCACCTGTTGCGGGGCCGCACAGATGCTTCCCGATGGCCAGGTAGGGGCGGCCCCTCAGAGACTCCACTCCATTCAGGTTGAGATCTTCGACTGCGGAGAAATGGGCAGTACGAGGTCGGAAGGGAGTTTCAAGAACATCAACATGATAGTATGTACAGCACGCAAAAATCTCTAATGGCCCACAAATAATCTCTCTCTCTCTCTCTCGCCAGAAGCAGAAATACCCAAAAAAATCCACAGCGTTTTAGGCCTGGAGAAAAAAAGGGCAAACAGAGTTCTCTAATGGCCCATAAATTACTAAATAAGAGCAAAAAGCCTCATAAATAAATAAATTTTAAAAGCTCTAATGGCCCACAAATCTTCCTACACCCCCCCACTCTCTCTCTCCTTCTAGAAGTAGAAATATGAAAAAAAGAAGAAGAAAAAAACTCATCCTTGTAGGCCCAGAGAAAGAAAGGGCAAACATAAATCTCTAATGCTCCATAATTAATAAGAGAAGAAACCCAGAGAATTAATCAATCTTAAAATATCAAAGGACCCACAAATCTTCCTACACCCTCTTCTCTCTAGACTTAGAAATACAAAAAAAAAAGATCTCCACTGTATTTTAGGCCCAGAGAAAGAAAGGGCGAACAGAAATCTCCAATGGTCCATAAATTAATAACTAAGAGAAAAAAACCATAAATTAATAAAATTTTAAACCTCTAATGGCCCACAAATCTTCCTGCATTCTCTCTCTCTCTCTCTCTCTCTCTCTCTCTCTCTCTCTCTCTATCTCTATCTCTCTCTATCTCTCTCTCTCTAGACGTAGAAATACAAAACACAAAAACCACAGCATTATAGGCCCAGTTACCACAGAGTATGGGAAGCGGAGAAAGAATGGGCGAACAGAAGGCTTACTGTCAATTCTCAGCCGCTCTAAACTCATGCCGTCTTTTTGCCGCAGGCTTCGATCAGCCTAGAGGACGATTGGATCTTCAAAATAGTCAGAGGCTCTGGTTGAGTCAAAATAACCAAGAACTGAGCGAGTAAAATGCAGCAAGAGAGCAAAACTACGACACGGACAAGATCAGGTGGCCGTAAGTGCCATAAACACAGAACATCATCCGAAATAGGTCATCAACAGGATGAGTTTAGGACCATATCCATCCATATATCCATCCATCCATCCATCCATCGATGCTGAAGACAAGAATGACAAGCCAGCAGGTGAAAGTAAAGAGCAGAAAGATTTCTGCAGCTACCTACGTCAATGCTCTATTGTAGCACTTGCGTCGGGGCCTCAAGGGGAATAGGTTAGGACATGGGCTTTTTTCTTGCCTCGTGAGTCTATCAGACTACCGTATTTTCATGCCCCATTAAAAAAAAAATGATTCTCAGGGAACAACGATTTTCCTTCATACACAATGCAACGTTTATTAAAATCAATCTTGATTATGATTCATGACTTGTGTTCTTTCTAATATGATTACAAAATTATAAGACAAGCACAGCATCTAGCTCGGTGGAAGATCAGAAAAAAATAAGTCTATTCATTTCCAGGAATTTATGCATTGACATTGTCTCGACAAGGAATTCAACACAAGGTGAACAGCTGAAGTTGTGGGCTAATTCCTTTCACCGACATCCTTCCTCCTAACATCGGACTCTCCAGTCACCAAAAGTCAAACATCTAGAAACGGAGGAACACTTGGCCTAGAGACCTACGAAACCAGCCAGGCTCCAACTAAGACTCCCCATCTCACCACAGCTTCACATCATCAAGGAACTTTTCGATCAGGATAGAGAAATTACACCTTGACTATTTCCTTTTCAAATTTTCTTCCTGGATGCTATAAGAACGATCCCATATCTCAGCAAAAACACAGCTTCCAAAATGGTGACTAGACAGATCAGTGGCAAAGGTCCACTTTGCAATCCGTTGGCTTGCGTCAGATCCTCTGGGGTTATCTTATGTGATTGTTGAAGAGGCATTTTAATGAAGTAAAATTTCCCAGGTTGGAAAGGGACTGGCCTGCAACACCGATCTTCCCTTCTTTCTCCCTGAAGCTATGGTGCCTGCGCCTAGGCTGAACACACCTTGCTTCCAGTTTTCCCTGGTCCAAGGTGTACCAAAAACAAGAGTTTACTGATTAACACCAAATCCCATCGACTGGTACAACCTCAGAATGCCGACAATGACTGGATCATCAGAATATGAAGACACCGAAGAGGAGATAGTTTTGTTGCACATCACCAGATCGTTTTCGTCAGTGGAGACTAATGGATATTGCAGCTTGTGAAGAATGTAAGAGATGCAATCTGTCAAATCTGCAAACTCGCGATCTTTCAGAGGCAACAAAATGGAACTAGCTAACCTTGAGCTTGTATGACCTGCGCTCGACCAGATACACTCCGCGAATCCCATAGCAGTCTGCGAGCATCTGGGTCAGGTACCCCCTGCCAGCCCCAAACTCCACCACCGCCTGATCTTTCCCTTCTTCTCCAGCCGACCCACCACCCTTCTCAGCACCGTCCCCGCTCCTAAATTCCGGGACCGTCGTCTTCAGAACCCCCAAGGCCTCCATGTTCCCAAGAATGGAGGCCTGCTGCAGCGCGTGCTTCTCCTGGAAAGGCAACTGCTGGCCGTCCTCTCCCCTTCTGCCTTCCAACCATTCTGCGCAGGCCTGGGACGAGATGAACGACTCCCGCAGGTAAATTTCCTTTGGGAGAGACGAGTATACGGCTTTGATCTTCTGGACTAAGCTTAGAAACTCAGGCACAGTAAGCCGGTAGATCTCACTCCTCTTAGCTTCCGATCTGACGAATCCTTTGGCACCCTCACCTCCGCCACAGTTGACGCCCTTCTTGTAGAAAGGTTGGGCCTCCAATTCCAGAGCATGCTTCCTCACCGGGCACCTCGCTATGTGGCTATCCAGATTTCTCTTCAGCACGGAACTTCCAGCCGGAGTGGATGGACACAGAAACAAGAATTCTGCGTCAATATCAGTGTAGAGAGAGATATATACAGATTTTGAGAGAGAGAGGGGGGGAGATATTAACTGTGAAGGGTCGATAGGGCAAGGGATCCTCTGCTCATCGGTGGCGGGATTGTGGTTGCCGCAGAACCTGCAGAAACGAAGAACAAACATTCAGACGGAGAAGGAGAGGAGATCAAGAACTAGATCCAGAAACGGAAGGCCAAATCTCCGACCAGACGACAGAGAGGAGAAGGCTGCAGAGAGGGAGAAGGGCCGTACGGAGAGTCGTGCAGAGCGGAGTTGGCGCATAGCCGACCCTTGCTGGGCATCCAAAACTGGCACCGCCGCTGCTGCGGAGCCGGGGGCGATGGCGGCCGTTGCTCCGCCACGTCCATCTCCCGCCGCCGGCACCCTTGCGCGGGCTTCAGCCTGTAAATCCAAACCAATCAAAAACACTCCACCAAAATCCGTTTGGATTGCAGGGAAATAGAGGATCCGATCATTCTCAGTCCAACACCACAATCGTCGATGTGGCATTCTCTTTGCCGTTCGATTGCGCGGAATGAACGGCCCAACTACATTGAAGTCCAAGTAGACCTGCACACTGTCTTCTTGGGCCTAGGTCAAAACCCCATTATTGGGCCAGCCCAGTTTCGGGCGTGGGCCAAATTATTAAATACTTCGAGGGGTATTTGGTTCTCCCGCCATAAAGGATTACTGAATTATTAAAAGCCCAACTTTTTCACTGACCTTTAAGTCCCTAAAAGTACTAAATTATTTCTCCTTAGTAACGAGGGCTAGTTACATGGAGTGACTAAATAAATAATAATATGACAGGGTTATAACCAAACTTTTTATAGTTTTGTGTATTTTAAGCTCTTTACTAAATAAAAATTTCTTATTTATTTGAATCTGATTTGACCCAACAGGCAAATCGGGCTGATGAGACCGAACCCAACTAAGATTGGATCCCAACTAAGATTGGATGCCACTCAAGTATTTAAAATAGTTATGTACCTTTTAAAAAATCATAATATTTATAAGGCTCATATGTCTAACTAAACTTCAGAGGCACATGAGGTCCTCAATCAGCTTTCCAAGTACCATCATAGGAATCAAAAGCTTTGCATGGCTAGTGTGGCACCAATTGTCATATGACGTGTAATCTGGGCCCCACAAATATCAATGTTAGAGATTTGTGATTGATAGTGGGAGGTCACCTTATTTATTATATTATTTTTTGAAATATTTCTATTAATATTATTACCAGGGCTATATAGAATTATGGTCTAATTAGAATGCCATGTGATTTGGTGCTGATTTCACTTCAGAGCAAATGCCATGTGTGGAGGGTAAAAGAAGGGCACACAAATTGCATACGATAGCGTGTGTTATATCAATGTGTGATAAAGCATTGACTAAACGTTTTCAAATATTTTGTTCTATGAAATTCATGATTTTCATGAAAGTGTGCCACCACCTACAAGGAATAGGGGAAACATAAACACTACCCATGAAGGAGGGAAAGGGGGGAGGGGAGTTGGGAGAAAGGGAATGTACAATGTGATGGAACCTTAGGTAACCTTACTCTTACCTACTTTTAAGGCAGACACTTCTATGACAAGTTGATATAAGATGGCTAATCACTAGGGCAAATGATGATATTCATCTCCATCCTCTAGATTCTTATAGAATCTTGTGAATCATTGATTAAATTCCTCATCGGCCTTGTCCTACACTATGACACTATTTTTTATCATCCAACATCTGGCTTCTCCAAGTGTTAGTCAAGTCTTTTTCTGATGTGGATGAGAGTGGGGCGAAAGTATTCTATCAATACTTCTCCCTAATACTCTCACCTTGTCCTTGATAATTATAAATTAGTAGTTACATCTATATATTAATATCTTATATATAGATGTTAATTAATAGATACATAATATAATTATATGTGTATATTATATTATGTCATTCATAATATAGATGCTAACACTCTCACCTTGTCCTTAATATATATTATGACATTCATAATATTTTATTATTTAAGTTTTAATACATATTATATTATTTATTTTATTTATATTATGAGACTAACCCTACTTGACTTTTATGAAGTCAAGTGATGATTCTCTCATATTTTTTGGATAATTATTTGATTACAAGTATTTAGGTGAGTTTTTATTATGAATTGAAAGTAATGAAAGAAGCCTAAGTCTTCAATCCATAGAAAAACTCAAGTTTAATAGAGAGGGTTGACTTCAATATGTTTATGAGTTCAAGAGGGGGTGTCACCTTGGCTTAGTCTATTTGAACTTAAAATGGCTATTAAGAGATGAGATCTAGGTCGTTTACCTTAGGACATTTTAATTAGATAGCCAAATGTGTATGAGGAGATAAATCTCATAAAACTCTAAGAAATATTTAAAATATTACTATATCTTGAAACATGTTAAAAATCATCTTTATTAATATAAACAACACATTAATAATATCATAGAAATTTAAAATTCATCAAGTTAAGGTGTGTTACAACAAATTATTCATGTGCTCTTATATGTCAAGGCCTGCCCTACCTACCAAAGAAACAAGGGTGGATTCCTCATGCTAGCCAAACCTTTTCAACTACTTCCCATTATGAAGAGAATATGGGAGGATATCAATGAATTTTATTGATAGGCTACCTATGTCAACCAACTTCAATGACATTCTTACGGTATTTATTAGTTTAGTAAATACACATTTCTCTCTCCTCTAACACTCATTCACAATGAATTAGATAGCTTAGATCATTTTTTGTGACATTGTGCAGCAACACATCATTCCAACTTTACTATTTTCTGATCAAGATCATATATTCATAAAGATATTTTGGTAGACATTATTCAATTTTTATGGATTCAGACTTTGTCGAATGAGCATATATCATGATAGATCAACCACTAGTCTGAAGTCATCAATCAAGGCCTTGAAATATACTTCCACTATTTTCCCACTAACCAGCCATGTTAGTAAAACAAGTGGTTAGCCTAGGCATAGTATTGATACAACACCAATTTTCATGTTTCTATAGGTAGCACATCCTTCATAGTTAGCTACAAAAGGGCCCCATAGTTATTTTTTTTGCTATACATTTAGCATAGTCGTATGACATGGATTAACTACGGTAAGGATAGTAAGATGCCACATTGGACCAACTTAAGGCCCACCTAGCATGGGCACAAGTATAGATGAAGACTTATGGTGACCCAATCTTTAGGATTTTGAATTCATGCTAAGCAACCATGTTTACCTTAAACTTTGGCCCAAAACACCGAAGTCTCTCACCTAATGACCTCATAATAAACTCAACCCACACCTCTTCAACCCATTTAAGATCTAGGTATAAATTAAATTTATAACTTATCAACTTCCATTTCCCCCAATGATATGACCTAGTTGTTATATTAAATCATACAAATTTAAAATTTACAAAAACAACAAAACACTAATTTTCATATCTTTAAAATTATTTCTAAAAATATATATCAATTTAAAATTGGCAAAAAGCACCAAAAAGAGTGAAAAAAAATTGAAGTCATTAAGAAGGATGTATAATAGTATCAAGTAAAATTTCAGAAAATTCCTCAAAGAATATAATTTTTAGACTAAAATATTATTTAAAAATATTTTTAAAATTAAAAAAAATAAAATCGAGATGTTGATGTGAGTGAAAATCATCACCTACCAAAATAGTAATTTGGGTGAAAATAGAGTTCAATTCGATGATTTTTGTGAAAGTGATTTTAGAAACTTCAATTTGTAAATACCTAATGGATCATAATGGAATAAAGATGAATTTTGAAACTTAAATTCAAGCAAAACTATCATTAATCTAAAGATTAAAAAAATTTAAACAAGAAAAATAGAGTTTCAGCAATACAACGGTGATCACTGAAATTTTGTATGTTCCGAAGGTTTTCAAGGGATGTCCACAACCTCAAAAACTCACATTTGACATGCATGCCATGGGCATTTTCTTGATTCCCATGCGAAGTCCAAAGGATGAAGGTAGGTGGCAGTAAAATGTCATTGACAACTAACACCTAGCGAAGTAGAAGTGTGATAGATTTCTAAATATTGTCACTCGGCAGAGTTGAGATTGATGGAGGTGGAATATATCTCAAGAAGCTTCTTCTTCAAGTCCATGTAGCAAAAAGGCTCTTATTGCAAATGAAACACTTTGAAGAAACTAGGACAAATCTCTTAGTGGATCCTTCTACCCCCAATGAAAATTTGTTTGTCGACCAATAGGGAATACGATTTCCTCCCAAAATTCTCATTTTTGTATTTAGAAACCTTGGTCAGTTGCTAATGACAATCCTTGATTATGGATGATGAAGATTTCATCAATGATTGACTATTTCTAGTGTCTCTTTTTATTGATTGTCGTCTATAGAAAAATCATGACGTCCAAATAAAGGAAAAAATAAATTATAGTGTTAGTAGGTTTCAAATCTCCATTGATTACTTGGCTGTGTACGTAAAGATAAGAAAATACCTATTATACTCTTGAAATAGTGAACACATAGATATGCGAGCTTCTCTTAAAGTAGGGGCATTTTCGATATTATTTTGTTCGTTGAGCATTGCTAGTAGTTTATTCCAACATCAGTTGTTTCGGATAGTTTTAGATCTATATAAGTCTAGGTTATCTCATATATTTGATTTCTTCTCTCATAAATAAAATGGTCATCATCTCCAATAATAATCATGCCGCTGCTGCATCACATACAATGACACATCAAATATATATAAAAATCTAACAATTGACAATATCGTTAACTACAAGAAATTATAGAAAAGCCCCTAGAATGTGTGAAATAAAAAATATATATTTCTCTAAATTACTTAAATATCCTCATGACTTAAATATATCAAAATAAATTAAAAACAAAGTCATAAAAAATTCAAGAATATTTATAAAATAGGAAAAAATCTTAGAATCATTATAAAGTTATTATTTGACTATTTTATAAATTATAACATGTTAAAAAATAAGACATTTGATCCTAAAATATATATACTTTAAGGTAATTAATAAATAGTTTTAGCATATTATCAGCAGTGCATACATAGAGTCAAGTAGAGTAGAATTGGTGCATAGCTGATGCTTTTTGGGCACCTTAAACTTGGACTATCACTTCTACAGAGCCAATGAAAGCAGAAAACAGTCCATCAAAATCCATTTGGATTGCAGGAAAACAGCAAAGCCAATCATTCTCAATCCAAGACCATAATCGTCGAGTTGGAATTCTCTTTGCCGTTCAATTACCTAAAATGAACGACCTTAATATATTGAAGCCCATATAACCTGGCCCAACTTGTGTGTTTGGGCTTCGGATAAAACCCCACTATTGAGCCAGCCTAGAGTTCGAGTGTGAGCCTGTCTTATATAACCTAACATTTTAAAAAACCGTTTATTAAAAACTCTACTTATTTATTTTAATCTGATTTGAGTCCACTGGCCAATCGGCCGCTTAGACCGATCTCGACCCGGGTCGGATTGGCCATCCTTCCCCGGAGTGGGGAAGTCGTTTAGATCTCCAAGTGGGACCCATTGTGAGAGGTCCGGCCAAGTTGCTGCGAGTCCAGGTGGCATCTCCTGCGCTCGCCATCCCAGATCTGGACCATTGTTAAAATACGACACGTGGAACAGTGCGGACACCCTTACAACGATGCGACTGAAGATTTGTAAATCAACATATAACCAATTAAAATACTTGCATAGTTTAAGCAACTATAATCTTAACAAGGGTGATATGTATCCTCCCCCCTCCCCCGGAGTACGTGTCCTTCTCAGCAACGTTGCCACGTAAAACTGGGCCCCACTTTATATCAAATATCACTCCTTTCTCAGATGTGAGAGATTTGTCAATACCGTGGGGGGTTATCTAACTATTTAATATTATTTAGGGAAATATTTATAATTAAATATTATAGCGCAAGACTTCCATCCAATGCCGTCGGACTTCCTCAGCTGGCGCCATCTTTATCTTTTTCTCTCTGTTTTTCTCGCTCTCTGTTTTTCTCGCTCTCGATCTCATCTCCACCATCCGAGGACGAAGGGAGGGGAAACAGAACCGCTGCCCCCGAGGGAGAGGGAGAGGAAGAGGAAGAGGGGAGAGGATTTGGGAGCACAATGATGCCGTATGGAACTCAGGCGGAGGCGGAGGCGGCGCTGGGGCGGGCGCTGACGGCGGTGGAGGAGCTATGGTTCCGGTATTCCGCCCAGATTCCCGACTGGCTGCTGTACTACCACAACATCCTATTCCTCTTCCTCGTGTTCACCTTGGTCCCCCTCCCGCTTGCCCTCCTCGAGCTCAAGGGGTTTAAGCCCCTCGACAATTACAAGCTCCAGCCGAAAGCACGATTGCTTCCGGCCGAGTTCCGCCGGTGCTACGTTGATGTGATGCGGGTGTTTATTTTCGTTGTTGGTCCCCTACAGCTTATGTCCTTCCCCATGATCAAGGTACGGGGCTCTTCTCGTTAGACTTACCACCTTCATCGTCACTCGTCTTCCGACCGGATGATCCGATGTCGGCACATGTTGCAATATTTTTTCCCTTATTATTACAGAGAGGAGATTTAAACATTTTCCGTTCATTTCTTTCTTCCTTTCTTTCTTTGATATCTCGAGGATTCAAACTATCGAGTTTTCAGATAGGAGATTTAAACATTTCCCAATGGTAATTTGAGGTTTCAAATTATCGAGGTCATTTCAACGCCTGATGGGAATCAAATTTCATAAATAGTCTCCTCGAGTTTGATCTGTTCACTGTATTCTCTTGGCAGTTTGTGGGGATCAGGACAGGCCTGGGCTTACCCAGCCTGTGGGAAATATTCTTCCAGCTTCTTGTTTACTTCCTGTTGGAGGACTACGGAAACTACTGGATCCACCGGTTTTTGCATTCCAAGTGGGGTTACGAGAACATCCACCGGGTGCACCACGAGTTCACTGCACCTATCGGGTTTGCCGCACCATATGCCCACTGGGCGGAGGTGCTGATCCTTGGCATACCGTCGTTCCTTGGGCCTGCTATTGCGCCAGGACACATGATCACCTTCTGGCTGTGGATTATCCTGAGGCAGATGGAGGCTATTGAGACTCACAGTGGGTAAGACTACCTTGCTGCTCTTCTTTTTCCTATCATCGAGAATTTCTTGATGCTTAGATTTTTAAGCCATTGATAGAGTCATTGCTTATTCATTGAAATATCTTGGGAAATGGTATTAGAAGAGGTAAGTGCACATTTAGGTGGTATTACGCTGTGGAGATGCTTGCATTACAATGCATCCACTGTAACGAAAGAGAGGAGAAGAATAACATCAATCCATCATTCTATGAATTATATTCATGGGTCAATTCAAGCATAGGAGGCCTGATAATGTGAGAACCTACTTATAATGCCATGTGCGAATGGAAAAAAATCGGTTGGTGGTCTTCATTCTATTAGATGCTTGAATCTTTGATAGTGCTTGTTTACAGATATGGTGAAAATTTATTCATAGAATGAAAATACCTAGATGGGGAAGTCAGTGGATGGAATCATATTGATTTAGATATCATATTCACTGTAGTGGCTGTACAGAGAAAGTAGGTGTTGGTTATAGAGATCCTTTTTTAGGCTTTCCTGTGAATACGTAAGGTCAATTGACATTGATAATTTCACCTTTCTCCCTTCTTTCATCTCTCTCAACCTTTTGTTGCATATGTTTATACAAGTATGAAGTTGGATTGTCTTTTCCCCACCTACACTACGACAACTGCTGTAGGATTTGATGTATTGATCACTTTGGGCTGTTTGTAATCTTTGATGCGGAAATATGAGGCAACATCATTGATTTTCTCACATTTTTCTAGTCATCATGGTCAACAGTTGCTTGTATAAGATGCTCTCCAGTTTTAATGCATGGAAGATTCCTTTTCAAATGAGAAAAATTGTGCCGAATAAATTATGGAATTCCATCCAACAAAACTAGTAGGCGACTTTTAGTTAGGTTAATGGTCTATGACATCCACAGTTGGGCAACTTCACTAAGGTGGGAACTACATTTCTTCTATTTTTTGTCTTAGAAGGATGCATCCTTTTTTGGAGAAATGCTGTGAGCAGGTGGACTAGGTTGATGTATGAGTAATTAAGGATACTCACTGATGCCACCTTAGTTTGATTCCATGCCTAGAATCGCTCGAAATCGATCACGGAGTAATCATAGTGAATTTGGCACGTGCTGGGTAGATTTCTAGTAGAAATGGTAAGATTATAAAACTTCATTCTTTTCAAGGAGAAGAATGGCGATCAAAGTCTGTGCTTTTGAACCATAATGAAACTCAAAGTAAATTAATTATATGGGATGTGAAGGGGACTGCCTAACGCGATTATTCTTAGGAATCAGCCTAATTCAAGTGTTTCATGTTTGAATGCATTAAAATGAACTATTCCATCTAATTGCTAATGTAGTCAAGGACAGTGCCATATATGATAACCCTCAAATATTTGGAGACCTCGAGCAGAATGTGAAAACTTGATAGAAGTCTGATGCCACTTCTGACGGTCACGGGCATGATCTAGTTGATTTTACTTTTAAAAGCACTCGCGTAGTTTCATTTAGTAATATACTTCTTTCTCCCGTGTTGAACAGTGTTGTCAATCATGATTGTATGATGTATAACGCAATTTTAGTTGGGTTTTATTCCTATGAATATTGACCAAAATCCTGTCTGCGGACAGTTATGAGTTCCCTTTCACTCCCACAAAGTACATTCCTTTCTACGGGGGTGCGGAGTACCATGATTATCATCACTATGTTGGCAGACAGAGCCAGAGTAATTTTGCTTCTGTCTTCACCTACTGCGACTATTTATATGGAACCGACAAGGTCCGTTAATATGTCATTTGTTTATAATTTTATTTTTCCTGGATTTATTTAAAGTAGCTATTTTTCTGTATAATGACTGCTGTCTGATAATCTCAGGGCTATAGATACCAGAAGGAATATCTTCATAAGGTACATATCTTCCCTCCATATTATTCCATATTATCCAAATGCCCCCGTTCATCATCTCACTCAGCATGCTATACTTTACAGATACATTATTATCCTGATACGGAAATTCCCAGAATTTAACTATCTTTAGAATAGGTTTCACGTTGAATCTGACTGTCAAATTATGGAGCCTGAGCCTTCTTCACTCGTGGTGATTGCTTTTGCGATGGATGACCTCATTCTTTCACATTCTTTCAAAGCATATTATCCATATAGAGCTGATAGGACGTAGGCAAAACGCCATGGCCTCAATCTACATCTCAATCAAAACTGTGTGCCTGGTCCATATCATGTACAGTCCAGATTTCTTTGGAGATTGTCCGGTAAATAATGAATTATTTGTGGAGTAGGTTCCTTTTAAGATGGCCAGCACATGAATTCCACAAATACCATTCATATTTGTGGAGTAGGTTCCCATTTAATATGGCGCATGGTTCCAGAATTTTTTTTTAAGAATTATGAATGGTATTTATGTGCTCTTAGAAGTCCTTGATGGTGAAGCACAGATCCCTAATTTCTCAAAATCACATATTGGAAAGAGAGGGAAAAACCAGGTGGACAACATTTACAGTGGAACCATGTTATGAATTCACAACTACCATTCTTTTTTCATGATCCTTCTTACCGTCAATCAATCCGGTGATATCTCATCAGAAGACGATGCCATGAATGTCCAGCATCAGCATTCATCAAACCCATTAAACATGTTTTCCAAGAGATTTTACCGGAATTGTGATCTGTCTGTGGGAACACCGAAATCTTTGTCACCCTCAGATTATCCAGATCAAAGCCTCTAATTCCGAATAATGGTGATCAATTTCTTCATTTGGCAGATGAGAAATCAATGGGCTGATGGGGATTTCGCTGAGGCTGCAAAATCCGAGTAATGCTTTGGTGCACCCTCGTAGCAGAGAATGGCCTCGGCCTGGGGCAATTTGGGGCTCAACCTGTCCAGTTTAGGGAGGTATGGTGTTCTCTCTGGTACGCTAAGGAATGGGCTGAGGACCCTGAAAACTTGAACCTTTTGACCTGCAATCTTGCCCTCTGGTAAGGATCTGAGTTTCTGAAGTGTTTGGCCGGGCTGGGCCCGTTTTTATTTCAGGGCTTAATTTTTAAGTCTAAATTTGGGAAATAAAAAGATGTCCTTTTCGGACCGAAATCCCCAGTATGTCCGATGGGGCTGGGTCTTTTTTTTCTATTTTTCAATTTTCGAACTTCCTTTGAAGTCTGAGCAGGGTCGGCGGACAAATCAGAAGCCTGGTAAGTTTTAATCGGGCCGGGCCCATTCTTTGTTTATGGGCTTCACATCAAGTTCAGGTTTACAGAAAAAGAGGGCCGGGTTGCAAAGTTACCGTCCACTGATTGCTGTGCACTTCAGAGACTTGGGGACTTTGTAAGGAGGGCGGTCCACTCAGATCCCTTAGCCCCCAAGGAACCCTCGGGGATTCTTTTCTTTTTTTTCGCGGGGAAGGGGGGGCACGTGTCAATAAATTTCCTTAATTGGTGCACTCAAGCTCTCTCTCTCTCTCTCTCTCTCTCTCTCTCTCTCTCTCTCTCTCTCTCTCTTTTGTGTCAACAGTAATTGGTTAGTCCTTTACAAGGCCCAAAACCAGTTGGGCCCAACAATGGGTTATGGGCCATCGGACGGGTCCTACTGAACACCTACCTCCATACGCGCCTAGACAGAGAGAGAGAGTATATGAGACCACTAAATGTTTCTAAACAACAGGTCGATGAGCTCCATGATTCAGAGCCTTCAAGCCTCATGAACTCGGTCATGGTTTTTTTCTTCGTACTAGTGATTCTGAGACAAACCCAGAGGATGTTTTCAGCGAAGTGCATCAATACCCCTAAAGCCAATCTCCTCAAACTACGCTTGGAGGATTGATAGAGTAAAATCGTGAAGATTCAATCACCAATTATCTCATTAACGGAAAAATTAGAAGGCATAAAATTAAATAAATTATTTCCCTTTTTATTTTCATAGTTACCATATTTTGTAATAAATTAGGATATTTTGTCAACCTGAAAAACATAGTACAAACCAAGCCAATGAATGCATGAAACCAAATTATTGTTTATACTTGTATACACGTAAGTGTGGCTACCCATAATGAGGTAATGAAATCACTATTATTTGCATGTAGGCCCAAATGAACTCCCTCGACTACCTAAATATATATATATAGATATATATTGATCGACTCATATTCAAATACCCATAGTAAAATAAGATATCTAGTAATACATTTATCCTAACAAGAGTACAATATTAATGAACAATATTATCCAATTTCTTGATAAAGATGCTACGGAAGTAATTTATGATAATTAAAAATATAATTTAATATGTTTTCTGGCGTGATCTTTAATAGAATAATGTTTTCACATCAGTGAGCTTAGTATTGGGATGAATCATGATATTTTTTAGGGTTTAAATATGATGATTGTGATATTTCTTTCATTGAGAATGAGCAGGCAATTTCATCTCCAATTATGAATCATCAAGCCTTTTCTAATTCTACTGAAAAATATGTTTTTCCCATACACCTAAAAATGATTAAAATACAAGGAAAAACATGAAGACTTAATTATTGGAGCATACGTATCTTGATGGTTATTCCTCTTGGATATAATCTTGCGCTAGTAGTGTAGCTAGCTAGTTTCTTACAACCTTACCCTCATCACTCAACTGATTCCTTGGTGTGTTTTGTTCCATTAATTAATTGGTTAGATGACTTCTGAACAAGAATTCTAGCATCATTTATTAACATTGGATAAACTGTTTAAACATGAAACAAATCAAACATTCATCTCTAAAAGTTTTCTGATTTTTTTTCCATTCTATTTCTAAAATGAGCTCAATAAAATCATTCTCATTTCTTTAAGACGGCCTGATTTTGACTGCATTATGGAAAATGCCATAAAATATGAACATGTTGATGGCCATAAATCGATACTATTTGATAAATTTTCAAAGATTTTGGTTTCGAGTAGAGCAAGATTCTCGTCAATTAGAATTTCTTAGAGATCATATTCTCACAGGAATAAATTCCTCATCTAGCATAGACTCCAAGGTCCCTTTGAAACCGAGACTACAGGGTCAACCACTCAGATCTTGCCCGATTAAAACCCCTGTTCTAAGAGCTCGTTGACCCATAAAGGGACATAAAAACTCAAGATGGAAAGAAATATATAAGAGAGAGAGAGAGAGAGAGAGAGATTAAAAATCTAATCTGATAATACTACTTGATATTATCTATCAGTTCACCATACTATTTACAATGACTCCATCATAAACTGCGAAAACAGATGACAGGTGATGATCGAACAACAGCCCATGATGATCTCCCACCTCCTTGTCATCGTCGTCATAATGAAGTCAAGAGAAAGCATCACCTGGGTTAGTTTCAGAGTGGTTCCTCAATTCTTCCGCAGCAAAGATAGCTCCTTTCCTCGTCTCCTGCCTTCACTGGCCAAATGACAACAAGAGTCCATCAGCCAGCTACAACTCACCGTCGTTAACCAGCTACTGCCCGCTGTCATCAACCAGCTTGAGGCCCCAGCTCATGTCCTCACAGTGTCTCACATGAGGTACCACTGCTCCTGTGTCGGTCCCAGTCTTAGCACTGCAGTCGTAGAAGGGCGGTGCGTGGAAGCACGGTTCCATGGACAAGGCCCGCCGGCAGGGTGGGTCCGGCACCGTTCGATTCTCAGGCTTGACGAGGATCCACGGCTTCAGGCCGCCGAGGCCCTGCGCTACGTAGCCGAACGTTGACCAGGAGCTGGTCACCAGCACGTCCGTCAGGCTGAGTAGATACATCTCCGCCCACGCCTTCCTGCTGTGCATCTGGTTACCCATCTGCTGGTGTTCTTCGTGGCTCGGCTGGTGGACACTGACGACCTCACCACCGTCTGTCGGGTTCTCCCAGTACATCCTCCTGATCCTCTCAAAGTACCCGGAGCTGAGGGAGGTGACCAGAACAGATTTCTTCTTCCTGTGAACAGAGGAGGGAGCCGACCATGACTCTTTGCTGGCATTCGGGAGCAGCTTCTCTTTCAGAGTGCAGGCCATGATTTGGTGCAGGATGTGCTGGAACGGGCCGGTCCCCATGTCGAAGACTCTGATCTGGATGCCGACTCTCTCCTCTGCCCCGCCAAGGTAGGCCAGGTAGAACCTGGTGATCAGCCCCCAGACGGCGTTGGTCGGGTGGAAGAGGTACCGACCCAGGTGGTGGAAGACCACCTCCTTCTCTGGGAAGAGGAGGCTCAATTCCTCATCAAATGCTGGGATCAGGAAGAGGGAGGGCACAAAGTAGTTGTCTGATCTCATCACCAGCCAGGGGATCCTATGGAGGAGCCGCTGGTCTTGCTCGCAGAAGAAGAGCTTGTCATGGTGACCATAGTCATGGGCCAGATGGAGGTAGACGAAGCTTGGCGGGGACCCAGTTGACACACCCTCAGCATCATCATCCAAGACCTTGTTTTTTAGGAGATTCCCGAAGCTAGAAGGAGAGTTGCCATCAAACAGGTCCAAGGGGCTGAGCGGGAAGTCCAGAGGCAGAAGCCAGGTCTCCTGAGGGAAGGGCTCGCAGAAGAGATCGGCCATGTCCTCCACTTGCTCCACCAGCATGACCCTTTCTGTGAGCAGAGCGTATAGAAAGGCCGAAGCCAGAGTTAGCATCCTGTTCCCCAGGCCGCTGTAGGAGATCCACACCAGGTATCGGCAGCCTTCATCCGGGCCCAAGCTCTGGTTGGCCCGCAGCCGGCGTGAGGCCTCTCTGTAGATCTGCGTGCTGGGGCCGCACTTCCTGTGGAGGGCTTCGTAGCCCCTCAGCTTCTTCAGAAGATGAGGGGAGGGCTTGTGGCCGGAGAGCCGCCGGAAGAAGGTGGACTGGTACCTGCTGAGGCAGGATCCTTCGTCAAACCCGTCAGCGAGCAGGCCCCTGAGCAGTCTCTCCTCCGGCGATTCGGAAGAAGCAGGAGAGTCCCCACCTTCAGAGCCTGCGTAATGCGAGATCAGGCAACACTATTCACAGGAGAAACCTGGGCTCGACCATGATCCTCTCCACCGGGATCGTCATCGTCGGCAAGCTAGCCAGAAAACTAACATAGTTCATTGCATGCTGTAAATAAACCACGGGAGCTCCGTAGGGTTCAGCTCCAGGAAGAAGCAATATCAAGAAGCTATGTTAGCGATGAAGGTGATTGTATTGGATGATAGAGGCAGGCTGTTGGGTCATGTACAGGAGCGAAGATGACAGTCTCTTGAGCTTGGGCTTACACAGTCGGACGGAGAAACCGCCAGAAGTCATGGAAATAGGCAACTGGCATGAACGAGATTTCCAGACTGTCACGGAAATGGAACGGAGCAATTCGACAAGGCTTTGGGGTTTAAGTATCACAGGTATGATCTGAAGAGCGAGAAACATTGCCGGATGAAGGAGGCTTGATTGATTGGATTTAACATCCGTGCGGTACCTCCAAGTTCAATGGAAAAATCAAATCTGTATCAACTATTTCATGCTGAAGAACAGTGCACGATCTTGAGAGGAATCTAGGGTTCTAATTAGAGGAGGAAATGGTCGTCCAGAGGGACGAACCACAGCATAATGAAGTCCGACGAGAGTAAGCAAATAAGATGGTCAACCACTGCACGGGATATGAAGCGGAGTGAAGGCAGGGGGGCGAGGGGGCTCACCTGCGTCATCGTCGGTCATCCCCTCCATCCGCTGCCGTTGCAGCAGCAATGCCGTCCGCTGGTCGGGCGACGAGGCGTTGCGGTGGACGCCGGCGAGGAGACCCAACGTGGGGAAGACCGCGAGTAAGGAGATCATGAGGCAGGCCAGCGTGAGGGCTTTGTATCGGCCGTTCAGCGGCCGCCGCTTCTCAAGAGGAGGATAACCGCCGCCGGCGTCTCCTGAGGGGAACAGCAGGCCGCATCCGGCGCCGTTGTGAGCAAATTCCGGATCAGAGGGCGAGCCGGCGGACGGCGGCGGCGGAAGCTGCTGCTGCGGCCGCCTCGTCGCCGTCCTCTTCACCTCCATCGACGGCCGGAGAGCTTGCGGGGTGGTCGCCGGGGAGAGGCTGCTCCTCTCTGCGCCGTCCTTGCTGCATTTAATAGTTTTGTCGGTGATCCCCGTACAAATAGCAGGTTGATCGACTCCGACGTGGGGATCTATGCGGGAGAAGTAGCCACGCGGGACACCAGATCGCTCTGGCCCCGATAAATATGGGCTGAACTACTGGGTCCTCGGGGTTTTTGCTCTCTCTTTGGTCTGCTAAGGACAAGATCGCCTTGTGGGTGTGGTTCATCCTGAGGCAGATGGAGGCTGTTGAGACATTCAGCGGGTAGGACGACCTCGCTGCTCTTCTTCTTCCTGCTATCACGAATCTCTTGATGCTTCGATCTTCGAGCTATCTGTGGGACCGTTGCGTTATTCATTGAAAGATGTTGGGAGATGTAAGTTCTCATTTATGTGGTATTACACTGCGGAGGTGATGCTTTTATCTCAATGTTGCATCAACTATAACGAAAGAGAGGAGAAGAATAGTCTCAGTCCGTCACGCTATGAATCATATTCATGGGTCAGTTCAAGCATAGGAGGCGTGATAATGTGAGAACTTCATTCCTTCAAGTGAGGGGTGTGACATTCAAGGTTCGTCTACTCATCAACATACCCACTTATACCCACATTAGCATGCATCATGTGAGGAAAATGTAATAGTGATTAGTTCGTTAATGATGAAAATAATAATAATAATAATAATAATAGAATTTTAAAAAATGCATCAAAGTGTATTTAGCTGAATGATTTAAAGCCTAGTATATTGAAATAACCAATTATTATTTTCTTACGTCATTTCATTATAGTAGATTATAAATAACTCAAATTAAATACATGCACTATGTATTCTCACTTGAGCTTTTATATCGGCATAAATTGTACCACTCTTAGTATTTTGTCACTTGATTGAATTTTTGTTAATGAAAAAAAAATATATATATATTGTATATCTAATTGAACTTATTTTGTTAAATAAATAATGGTACCCTTTGCTGTAGAGAGAGAGAGAGAGAGAGATGATTGGGCGTTGTATCCTATCTATTTAGTTTTTATAAAATCTGTAAAGATTAACCACCATTAGTCATTATTAAATCATTTAATTGTAATAAATCTGAATAGAGTGATACGATACTAGGGGCTATAATTTTATAATGATTTAAAAGGGAAAGTGGAAAATAGACGGGTTTATTTCTATTTTTCAGAGTTTATAGTGAGCTTAAATTAAATAACCCAACTTTAATGCAATTTCTCATATTTAGAAGGTTTCTTGGAGTGGTGAACAAACATGAGTAGCGTAGACCCCGTTATAACGGTCAACAGCCGACATTTTGACCGGACGGAGAAAATCCCAGACAAAATTCTAGACTCGAAAGCAAATCGTGAGCCCTCACTGGACGCACGGTCTAGATATCTCTTCCGGTAATTCGAAGATTTACAACCGTTGGATTTATGGGTCCCACGACACGGCGGCACCAATCGGATTAATTCTATCTTCGGGTAGTAACTGCGGAGAAAAACGTGTGCGTTAAAGCTGCGGACTTTCGCCTCCGCGGCAACTCCGCCTCCATTTCAACCGTCTTCCTTCTCCGGCGTCGCTAGGGTTTTGGGGGGCGAGGGGAGGTGGAGGAAGGCAAGATGGGGGAACCGGAGATGCAGTTGCAGATCCACAACACGATGACGAGGCAGAAGGAGGTGTTCCGGCCTATAGTCCCCGGGAAGGTCGGCATGTACGTCTGCGGGGTTACACCTTACGACTACAGCCACATCGGCCACGCCCGTGCCTACGTCTGCTTCGACGTCGTCTTCAGGCACGGCTTCTTTCCCGTTTGTTGACGAGTTCCTCTTCTTTGGGTCGGGAGGGTTGGAGCGGGGTGTGTGTGTTGTTTGGGCGCTTATCTGAATTGTGTCCGCAGGCTGTGGTGAGGATGCAGATAGATTTATTTGTGTTTCATTTGACGAGTCGATCGCCCATGGGTTGCATCGTAGGCCATATAAACAGGGATAGTTGACTAAATTGGGCATGATTCCTGGGCTTTGTGCTTCCGGCCGTCCGTGGTACGCGATGAGTAGATCTTTCGACAGAGATTATATCCGTGTGCTTATTCAATCACATGGTTTTTATGATCTCATGCCTAGATGAATGCATAAAGGTGAAGAGAATCACTATCCTCTTGATAATGGTAGGAAGAACGACTAGACTTTCCGGAGCTTGATTGGATGTGGGGATTGGAGCCTCACTGGGATGCCTTATCTTTAACTACTGGTGGGTTTTTCTCTGTGTGTGTATCAAATCGTAGGATTGTGATGATCAGATGCCATAATGACTGCATGAAGATGGAGGGGATCACTACCCTCTCGAGAATGGAAAGAAGAAAAAAATGGATTTTCCTTAGGTTGATCGGATTCCGGGATCGGAGCTTCGTTGGATGCCTTGTCTTTAACAAGTGATGGACTGCAGGGGAGCAGATATCTTCAGTAGATACCTGAATTTCTTTTTAGATACTACCAAGAAGGCTTTTGAATATTTGAATCATCTGATGCTCTTCATTCCAGCCATCTTTCATCTTTAAATTGTAGCTGTTTGATGGGTTGGGATACTCTCCGAGATCAATAATTCCCATCAATTCTTCATGATATATTCGGACCCCTTGAGATCCAGGCTTTCCACATGGGTTAATCCTGGCGATTAGGGTTCTCACTGGAAATATTGCTAAATAAGAATTAGCTAGCCTTTGTTGATATCTCCGTCTGTCTGTCTGTTTCTTTTGGCTGCATGAAGTGAGAATTTACTTTAAATAGGTATATCATATATTATTATAAAGTTGGAGACTTATTAGTCCTTGGTTGAAACAGGTTTCTTAAACATTTGGGATATGAAGTCACTTATGTGCGTAATTTCACTGATATTGATGACAAGGTTGGTATACATATCCAAACACCTTTGCTCTATATGCGTATGATAGTAATTCTCTATCTGATTACTCACGATATTTTTTTATATCAATCCAAATTTAATCGGGCAATGGAGGTATGTAATGGATGTTTCTGGTGTGTGCGCTTATGTGTGTCAATCTGCGTGTGAGATTTGGATGATTTTTCTGCTTGTTTAGAAAGTTTTCCGTAGTTAAATTGAATATCTTCTAGTTATCTTACCTGATTTAGTTATTTTTGCCTAACATTAACTAATTTTCTCATCGCTCTTACTGCTGCTGTTCATTGCTATCCCAAGCTGGAGGCTAGCCTAACATTAACTAATTGAGTTATCTTTCCTAAAATTAGTCTGACCATTGGAGGATGTTCATTGCATAATATTAAATAAAATAAAAATTGGCATCGATGGTCTTTTTTTCATTGTTTATCATATTGATGACCTAGAATTTATCTAATTTATTCATTTGGCCTGGTCTTTCCTTGACAGATAATCAACAGAGCAAATCTGTCGGGTGAGGATCCACTGGCTTTGAGCCAACGGTTCTCTCAAGAGTTTCTGAAAGACATGGCTGACCTTCAATGCCTGCCACCAACCCATGAACCACGTGTGTCTGATCACATTGACCAGATAATTCAGATGATCCAGAAGGTATTCATTTTCCTTATCTTTGCTATTTGACCTTTGAATATATCTCGATAGCTGGAAGAGATTCAGCTAAAAACAATTTATTTTTTTTCCTGGGACACCCAAATCTTTCCTTTGTCAATCGAATCTTCTTTTGACATCTGATTTCGTGTACTACTTTTGTTGCTTGATCTTTCCAATCTGTTATATCATGGCATCAGCATAATCCTGCAAATGCTGCCTCGCAAGAATGACATCACATGTTGAATTCAACTCTGATTCACCAAAGTTTTGTTCTCTGCTTCATTCAGTGTGCTAATGAATTTGGTTCATGCGTGCTCAGTAAATAACCCAGTTCCTTCTATACCCTTGCACAGTTGACTATACCAGAGCTTATAGAGCAATTACTACCCCCTTGTGTTTTAGTTCCCTACAAGTCAGAATGACATCACATGTTGAATTCAATTCTGATTCACCCAGATTTTTTTCTCTGCTTCACGCAGTCTACTAATGAATTTGATTCATGTGTGCTTAGTAAATAATCCAGTTCCTTCTATACCCTTGCACAGTTGACTATCCTAGGGCTTCTAGAACAGTTACTACCCCATTGTGTTTTAGTTCCCTACAAGTCAGAATGACCAAGGTTCTTTTCGTTTTGTTCCAATTGTTTCATCTTTTTTTGCGTTTGGATTATTCTTAAAATATCTGTTCCCATATGTAGCGTAAAATTCTACAAGAAGAATAAGGATTTTTCTCTAGCAATATTTTCCACCTCATATTTCTTAATCTGGCATAAAATTATAAATCCCATACTGAATGACTCTAATGTCTGATCAGCTGTTGTGCTCCATATACCAGAGCCAAGAGGCAAAGTTTATTTTCTTTGTGTACTTCAGGCCAGTACTTTTGATATTTCCTTGCTTTATTGGGGCATTTTAGAGTAGGTGTTGGTTGATAGAGTGAATCACTACAAATTTCGTGTGTTCTGTTCACTACAAATCACTACATGTTCTGTTCTCTCTCTCTCTCTCTCTCTCTCTCTCTCTCTCTCTCTCTCTTTCTCTCCCTCTCTCTCTCTCTCTCTCTCTCTCTTTGTCCTGTACTTTTTGTGTGCTATATGTGGGAATTTGGGTTTTCCAATCCTCAACACACACTTGGGTGCCCAATTCAGCCCCCAGTGTCTCCTCAACCTCTCCATAGTTGCGAGAAGGTACTGACTAATGCCTGTCATATTATAGACACTATTATTCCACCTCCCCTTTCGGGAACCTGTTCTTGGGTATGAATTTTTCTCATAAAAATACATTCACCCTCGTGCAACAATCTCTTTTTTCCCAAGGAATCATAAAATTATAATGTTGTATAATTAGAGCTTTTGATAACAAATGAATATTCCATGTGACGTTGTGTGAAATCCCACCCACAATTACTAGGGGTTTTATATCCAATCAAGCTCTTTCAACTGGTGATGGTGATGAGATTGAGATATTTGAAATTATTCTAAATTAATTATTGTTCTTGAGTATATATCACTGGCTTTATTCATTTTTTTAGAAATACATTTATTCACATGCATAAGTCGAATTTTTGTGTGAATCATTTAATTATTTATACATAGATAGTGAGAGTTTTTGATGATGAGTGAATATTAGGTATAACCATACTCGAAAGACCCACAATCAATATGGATTTTGTATCCACTCGGGCTCTTTCATCTAGTGATACGGTTGAATGCTTGAAATTACTCTTAAGTAGATCATATTGTTGTTTGGAGATATATCTCTGACTCTATGCATTCACCTGCAGATCATTGACAACGGCTGTGCCTACTCCATTGATGGAGATGTCTACTTCTCTGTGGACAATTTCCCCAAATATGGCCGCCTGTCTGGACGCAAACTGGATGATAATCGGGCTGGCGGGGGTGGAAGAGTCACTGTGGACGTGAGGAAGAGGAACTCGGCAGACTTTGCCCTGTGGAAAGTGAGGATTTTCGTACACAACCGCCTCCCTTAACATGATTCTGTGTGCTGGCCATGCCATCAAGCTCCATCCTTTATTTCAGTCTGCCAAGCCAGGTGAGCCGAAGTGGGACAGCCCGTGGGGCCCAGGGAGACCGGGCTGGCACATCGAGTGCAGTGCCATGAGCTCCCACTACCTGGGCCCACATTTTGACATCCACGGTGGAGGCCAGGACTTGACGTTCCCCCACCACGAGAATGAGATCGCCCAGAGCGGGGCCGCCCTCCCAGAGAGTGCGGTCAACTGCTGGATGCACAACGGATTTGTCAACCGGGACAACGAGAAGATGTCAAAGTCCTTGAATAACTTCTTCACCATCCGTGACGTGAGGCCCAACCCCCTCCCCCCCTCCCATCCTCCCCATCAAGAAGTAGCCTTTTTTCGTGAAGTAATCATATTCTTTGAATCATTACAGATCACGGAGAATTATCATCCCTTGGCCCTCCGCTTCTTCCTGATGCGGACCCATTATCGATCTGACATCAATTACACCGACAGATTGCTCGAGACAGCCTCTGACCGAGTCTATTATATATACCAGGTATGTATAACTTTGTCTTTAAATATCCTTAATTAGGTAATCACCATCATCTTCTTCATAATCATCATCATCATCATCATCATCATAATCATCATCATCATTATTAGTATTATTATTATTATTATTAATGATGATGGAATTATTTCTTGGGGGCCTTTTATAGACTCTGCTGAGCCTTGAAGAGGCCCTGGCCACCTTTCGGGAGGGGATCCTGGCCGACCGAATCCCATTGGATGTCCAGCAGCTGACTGAGAAGTTCCAATCCGGGTTCCTCACATCGATGCTGGACGATCTGCACACCTCCTCCGTGCTGGATGATCTCATGGAGCCGCTGAAGGCCATCAACAACAATCTGAAGAAGTTCAAGGTGGTCGCCTCTCCATGGCTACAGCTTCTTAGTATCCCCAGCCTGCTGCTCTCTTGCTGACCTGACTGCCCCCATTTGAATACTGTGACCAGGGGAAGAAGCAGCAGATGCCATTGATACAGGGACTCACTGCCCTGGAAAAGGCTGTCAAGGATCCTCTGAGAATCCTGGGGTTGATAACATCTTCATCTTGCTCTGAGGTACTCTCCCACTCTTGTGGGCTCAGCTTTCCTTTGCAAGGTCTTGCGGATTCATGATTTTGGCCAAGAAAGATCCACAGGTTCTAACACCTGCCCGTCTCTATGCTCAGATCCTAAAGCAGTTGAAGGACAAGGCACTGAAGAGAGCAGGCCTGACCGAGGAGTATGTGCTAGAGCAGGTCGAGGAGAGAACCCAGGCAAGGAAGAACAAGGAGTACGCCAAGTCTGACAAGATCAGAGAGGATCTCTATGCCAGGGGCATTGCCCTCATGGATGAGCCCAAGGGGACCGTCTGGCGGCCTCGGGAGCCCCCCGAGAGCCAGTTTGACTCCGCCGTTCCAGAGACCAAGACCCCAGAGAACCTTCAAAGCAAGCTGCAGGATGCTACTCTCAGCAGCCCAGCTCTGAAGCCTGCGGACCAGGCGGCTCGCCAGGATCTGCCGCCGGAGAATGGGGCGAAGAGTCCAGATCCGGCGAGTCCAGCCGTCGATTTGTCTTGAATTGGCAGCTCCCGCTTCAAGCTGCTGCTGGAGAATGGTGGTGGAAAGCTCAGGTCTGGGGGGCTTTCAGCTGCTGTCTCATCTAGACTTGGCAGCCCGGCCTGAGCGCCGCCAGGGAATTGGCGGCGGAGGGTCCAAATCCCTCAACTTGAAGGGTGGGGTTCAGATGGGCACTGAGATCATTTTATTTTATTTTTTGTTTAAAATCTTGTCTTCTGCGGCAACTGTGTGCGTGATTATTTACTGACTTAGAGAGGTTGAAGCCAGTTTTGACCGCGGCAGGTTGACTTACCGCCGGCATATTTAGGACAGTGAAGTTGACTCCTAGAAACTGGGTTCTTGCTGGGGGGGGGGGTGTGGTGTTAAAACGGGCCGGGTCCAACCCGAACCCCGTGTGTGGCCGTAGAGAGGCCCATATATGATTTGAGCTGGGTCCGAGATTTACCAGTCTGGACTGAAGCTCGAATAAGGCCCGAACCGGGCTGAACCCTGAAGAAAAGCCCGAAAGTTGGACCTGCCCGGAGCTCATCAATGCTCTTCCCCAGCCCAGGTCGAGCCCAGCCCATATAAAGATACAGGACCTGCATGGGGCTCGGGTGGGCTTGGGATACCTAAAAAATTAGTTAATGCATTATTTATAATAATTTTTAATAATGCTAAATTATACATTTTATAAATGCATAATAACTCAATATATATATTTGTTGTGTAATTATTTAATAATTTATTTTGACATCATAAGCATTACATATCGATAAAGGCATTATAGAAAATAGTTGAATAAGATGTTGCATTAAAGTTGCGTAAGAAAATAACATTCGGAATGAAATCTACTAAACGACATGGACCCTAAGATCCAAGAAGAATGAAAATCAGAGCTTTAACCTATTAGACACATTTTTTCTTTAATATTTGGATTCATAAGAACAACTTAGATGATGTTTGAATCCACAAATATCAGAAAGTATAGAATTGAATCCACAATGTACCACTAATTCTTCAATCATGATGCAATGAAGTTGTGAGAAACAATATATATACATATGGGCTTAAATTCACTAGATATTAATTCCGAATAGAGAAACTAATTGCTTCGATATTGATGACAATTAGACATTCACTTAGATCTGCAAGGGAGGTGCTCGATAGTAACAAAGAATGAAGATGATGTTATAGTAGGAGGGTTTTTTAGAAAGACTAAGACTTGGTTGGAGACATTAGTTATAACCCTTTTTAAAATATATTTTAAATAATATAAATTAAATTAAAAAAAATAAAACTTATTTATGACTCTTTTCTCATGCATTTTATCATGGGCCTAATCTGATTTTGGGCTATTTCTTTCATCTTTGTAGCCCATCCTTCTAGCTTATGTAATAGTTGGCCTGATAATTTTGTGCTACTTCTCTTGAGTCATAAAAGATTTCTCCCTTCTCTTCAGTTTTCTATTTTGGGCTGCTTAGTTTTGAGGTTCTGGCCCAAAGAAATTAAGTCAAGATGAGATGTATTGGCACCAATTAGCATGAAAATTAGCTATGAGGTAGATGTGGTCAACACATAGCATTGGAGTGTTTTAACAATATTTAAATGTTATAATGTCATTTTGTAAATAGATTTTTTGTTAAGGGTTTTTATAAGGTTTGCCTCTTCTTCCCCGGGATCACTGTAATGAAATTGGTCTGGTAAGCGCGAGGGCTCGTAGAACGTTGTTTCAGAGGGGAAAAGGAATTTCTCGGAAGCTAGCTAGGGTTTCGTAATTCTTCCCTCTGTCCAAGGGATTGTGAAGCCCTTTCCCTCTCGCTCCTCTCGTCCTTTCCCTCGCCATCGGGGTTCATTTCTTCTTCTTCTTCGTATGCTCTCTCTCTCTCTCTCTCTCTTTTACGGTGCCTGTCTCTTCCTCTTTCTCGGTTCGCGTTCACAAGTGCGTCATCTCGCGCTAGGCCCCCGAGGCGGGGCCATCTTTCGACATCCTTGCGGACCTCCTGGTACGCTCACTCACATTTGTCTCTCTTTTCTGGAACGCATGCGCGGTGGCAAGGGAAATCCAGTCGAATTTGCATACGATGCTTGTAAACATTGGATTCGGTTCGCCCACGGGTGTCGTAATCAGCTACGGGGAGCTTTTATTCTCCCTAAAATCATCTGCGGCTGTTAGTTTGGCTAATTGGTTAGACTGGGTCTGTTTGAGCACAGTCTCAGTAATCATATTTTAAGGAAGAAAGATTGCAAGTTTGTTTGTACGGGAAGCCTCAATAAATTAAATTTATGTCAATATTTTAGCACATTCTTCTACACATGCCTTTATATCAATTTAGTTTTATGTCCTGCATCGGTCTGTCTTCTTGTCTTTGCTTTTGGGCGGAAGTTCATGGTGTGTGGCATTTGCAGATGATATGCTTCGGTTGATAATTACTAATGAAGATGTAGCTTATAAGTTTGGGTTTCAGTGTTTGACATTGCTCTTAAGTTGTCCCGAAATTAAAGAGAAATGATTGCCCAATTCAAGTAGACGATCACGAGTCGCATCACAAGTTCATTTTGAAGTTCTCTAGCTGGGGGAGACTGAATATGGGTGTATACAAGTATGGGCCCTGTAGGATTTTGGTGTGTCGCCAGAGAATGGTTTTCCGGAATGACTTTGTGGTTGTATTCCTAGGATTGATTGGAAATTTGCTTAACATGGCAACTGGGACTGTTAAGTCCGCTGGGCTGATTTCCTGGATGTTAATAGACATTAGCAAATCAAACGAGAGTGATTCAATGGACGCTTGGCAAGATAAGGAAGTTCACAAATTAAATGGCTTTATTAGGCCTGGATTGGTAACAACGTTAATGCTTGAACTAGAGGTGAAGAGAATCACACTGTAGAAACACAATAGAATTTATGTTAGAGTGACAATGCTCTGTTTCTTCTAGATCATGGAATCTACTCGGACATAGCATAATCACTCAATCTCCGAAAAGAGGCCGTGGAAAATCTACCCAAAATTGATATTCAGTTGAGAATGGAATTATTATTCTGCTTTTTCTGTATTTTTTGGCCAAAAAAAGCCTTAGATATTCTGCGGGAGTAGTAGCAATATAGAGATAAGGTATGTGAAAGCTATTCAAGAGATGTAACCATTAGACTTTGTGAGGGTTTCGAATAAGAAAGAGGTATGTATTTCTTAGTTAAAAGTTTCTTTCCTTACCCCAATCAATTTTTCCTTTGGTTGATGACAGTGGTGATAATATTAATGATTTTGATCATAACATCGAGCTATTGTGGTTAAGTTTTAACCATTTAACTACACTATGATCTTCACACGAGTAAGTATCGCTAGCAAACAAAGGATTCTTTTTTTGAATTTTATGTTTGGAAATGAGCCACTCACATAAAATACCTTATGATTATGTCACTTGTCAAAAATTATGAACCTCCAACACAATAAACTGTTCTGCATTTGAGAATCTCAATTTCCCTTTAAACTAATTGTTATTCTTACCTTTTCCTTTTGGGACACGATGACATGTGTTTAGTGGTTCGGATGTCACTGTCCCTCTGTGGGAGCAGTGTTTCCAACATATCTTTCAGCACTTTTATTAGTTTAATTTTATATATTCATTATGGACCATGTTATTAATTGTCTTTGCATGATGAATCAGTATATCACAATATCTACTATTCTAGAATATTTTTATCATGCTAGGTACTTGGATTTGTAGAAATGGCGAAAATATGGAGGCAAAAAGCCCTACGCTAGCTTTCTAACTTACAATTCTTGGATATGCTGTTGATTTCTTGGGATACAATGGCATTAGTTACCATCTTCCCCTTGCTGTGGCACCTGTTTCCCTGAGAGTATTTGTGATGCGGGTGTCCCGGGAATGCCAGTGGATGATTAATCTTGAGAAGTGTGGGTGTCTTACTCATGTCATTTACATTTTTTGTAACGCTTACTGCTTCTATGTTTCTTCAATGACGTGCTCATTTTTTCTTGGAGGATCCCAATCATTCTAGTTCATCATCACTTTCTTGATATGATATTACATAAAAAACTGTTCATGCCACTGTTGGAGCACTCATTTCTCCATTTTTGACAGAGTCTCTTCGATGTGGTACTTGGTGGTGCTATACATGTCCACGAGGAGTCTTTCAACTCAGATTGGTTGCCATATGAGGTAGAAAAAACTTTTGTCTGGTTCATGCAATCAACAATGGGAGCATCAACCCAGTTTCATTATGTTAGGTCCCGTACAGGAAACTATTACATTACTAACATACAAGATCCTTGAAAGGAAAAAGTCCCTTTTTATGCAAATGAATTGAATGACCAGTGATTTGACACCTGCTCACGAGTCTGTACAATTCATGCAAATCTCTGCTTTACATGAATTGGGTTGTCCTTCGTCAACTTTTCGGTGTTGATTGGTTTGCTTGGATGGGAAGAGTGGCATGAATTATATTATTGCCTACTTGGTTATCTTCTCACAAAGGTGTCATGTACTATTTTACTGCTTGTCAGCATGCTGTCTTCTCATGACCGCTATGAACTATGTGGCCAGGTCCTTACCTGACTGCCTTTTTTCAGCAACCAATGGTTGCCTTCTTCTTGTGTTGTCCTTGAATTTTCTTTCTGATGCTGTGATTTTCCAGCCTTAATTTTGTATATCTATTGACAAAGTCATCAAATTATACTCATCGATCTGTCTTACGTAACAAGCTTGAGAAAAACGTATATATCCATACACATACTTTAGCTTGAAGAGGACTTCAGATAGTTATCTGTCCAATGCCTTGTGCTAGCGTGTTCCCAAATTGGCCCATTTTTATATGAACCTTGAGCTCTTTCCTCTCTTCTGTAAGCAGAAAACTCATTTTAAAGAAGGATGCTTTCCTGCTTTCTCTCTCTGATAGTTTTATTGAAGATCGGAGAAATAAAAATGCTCACACTTAAGGGATTCCACTTGTTAGCTTGTGGTGCAACTCAAGGATTCCTAATGTAGCACACCGTCCGGAGGACTCCTTTTTGTACAACTTTCGTTTGTGACTAATTTTTTACCCAGTGTCCCGTGCTAATTTCAAAGAATATAAGTGCCTTTGTGATTCTGGCGGTAACTTGTGATGGTGAGAAATTGGTAGGAAGAGGAGTCGAAGGCATGAACCTTGCTAAGCTTTTAGTACTGTCTGTGATGTTCCACTGCTTCTGCTCTAGACAGCTTCATGTTGGGGAGTAAAAATGTTGGTGGTTGGAGATGGAGAGTACTTGTAGAACGAGAAATATCTGGGATTTCTTGTCTTGAGACCTATCCCCCTTTTACTTAGATATTTGTTACTTGTTCAACTGTCCTATGGCGTTCACAGCATGTATAGCTGTCACGTTGTTTTGCTCATTGCCCTTTTGTGCATGTCAACCATGGACGTGCATTGCCTGGGTTTTGTGTGGGTGGTTCATATTGAGCTTTGTACATTGTGCTAGGCGGGTTGCACTATTGGATATGTGAAACGGCTACCCACTACATGACGTTTTTCCAATTATGCATGACTGTAGGATAAAATATGTATGTTTGCACATGGAGCGTTGCTAGTGACAAGTGTACAGGGCACATACTCTTGGACGGTTGCTAATGGTGTGGACATTGTGGGTGTTCTGGGTGCAGATGATAGGGATTTGTAAATAAAAATAGATGTCAGAGGATGAGACATTCTGGAGGCTTCAAGCTCCCTATCATTTGTGTTCCTGCATAGAATAATGGGAGGCCATTTCAATGGGCCAATGATTAAAGCGTCCAGAGTATGATTCACCAGGGCATCACGCAAGAAAAATCGTGCAATATTCCTTTCTCATCTTTGATGGTAATAAATCATTTGTCAGAACACATCCTTTCCCTAGCGACGTTGAGCTAAAATTAATCAGGAAGGGATTTTTTTGTAAATGTTCTTGAGACGATCTAAACAATCAATGGGGCTTTGATTGAAAAAAACCATGACAAAGAATCGAAGAGATGTCTGATTCATTGATTAGGGCTGGTTCAAAACGGTTCTGGTCAATAGTGGTTGTCACCATTGATAATGGCTCCTGTTAGTTTTTTTCTCACTGGTGTGGGGTCATCATCGTCATCATGTTCATGAGCCAAATGGTCAGTTAGCATGATATATGGAGATTTTGCATCTTGATAAGGAACTGTCTCCATAATGTACTACCAATGTTTGCAGTTTCCTTCTGGGACACTGTGTTCTTTGAATGATAAGCTCCTGCTGATTCATTCTTTACTCTTCTCGCTAATATTATTTCTCCTGATGTCTGGTTCTTGTGTTATGGTTCATAGTTCTTATCAATTTACTATTTTATCCGTTGTTTTTAGGATTACTATTAAAGGTTCACACTATCAGGGTGTAGCCAATTACTGTCGTCAGTTGAGGGTTTGGTAAAGGAGGAATGCATGGACATAGTCCAGGAGTTTCTGTTGTAGTAAATACAGAAGTTGATTCAATGGGAGGAGTGGTTGATGTTGGGCTTGGTGTGGATACCAACGGCTCTCCTCGTCGTGCCGCAATTGAGAAAGCACAAACAGAACTAAGGTACATTAGAATAACCTTTGGCCGTTTGTTTATGCTGTTTGCTCTACTTGGAACTTAAGCTCTGTCGATGACAGGCAAGAATACTATGTTCGTGAAGAACGGAAGAGGGAGTTGGAATTTCTCGAGAAGGTATTCCTATGACACTTTTGAGAACAATTTCATTTGTTTCAGGCTTTTCGACTTCTTTTCTGGGGCCTAGAATTCCTTTTCTGAAGTTCATGCATATGTGGGAAAAAAAATCTTGATGAGCAAACTTATACAATATCACCCAAAGGACCAAACAAGTCATGGCGTCTGGTTTTGTAAAAACTTGGATTGGTCATTAAGCCGTGTTGGACGCATATAAATATCATATTAGGATATTTGTTTAACTTTTTGAGTAGGGTGTCTTTCATGAATGCAAATTTGGGTACTTTTTCGCTGGGAGGATACATCTGGAAGGTACTTTTTCAAACTCTTCGGGTTGTTGACGTATGCATTGATTTGCTTCTCCTCCTGTAGGGTGGCAATCCATTGGATTTCAAATTTGGGTCTACAGCCTCCTTAAGCCTGCAGTCTACCTCTGTCACTGATCAGCAACTTGATTAGTAAGTGAATTTAAGCTTTTTATTAGTTGCATATATTATGTGAGAGTACTGAAATTAGTGCTTCTTGTTTGACAGTGATGCAAAAGGTAGTTCTGCAGTGGCAACCTCACCTCATGGAGATTCGGTTGATAGCTGCATCAGACCAGGAGTTACTCTGGGAAGAGATTCAAATACAGCAGATAACCTTTTACTTATTGACGGTCAAAACAGTAATCATGATGGGACAAAAAATGAAATGCGCTCTGGAAAGAGGAAAGCCATTTCATCCTCAGAACACTCTTCCAAGAAGGATGCTAGCAACATAAAGGAATCAGAAGAGTCTGGCTCCTTCCGCCTTGGGGCGAAAAGTCAGGCATATGCTCGAAGGAATAGGTCCAGGCCAAGTCGTGAAAGTGTCTATGTAACTTCAGCTCGTTCCGCTCCATCCATTCATAATAGTAAATCATTAGTATTTCCTTCATCATGCACTGATAATAGGGATAAAAAAGATGCATTATTGGAAACACAGGTGGAAGACAATGCTGTTTCTTCAGTTTCTAACTCAAAACCAGGTAGTCTATGTGGAAACAATGTTTCCAGGGTTTTAGGTACTGATGATCAAGTGGAAATGGATGTGGACGCAGTAGAGGTTAATGTAACCGGTGGACATACACCAGAAGTTGATGTGGGGAAAGGAGAAGCAGAGGGTGCGATTGGCAATCACCTGCAGCAGAATGATTATAGTGATCGAAGCCCTAAGGCAGCTGAGCAACATTGCCCTAATGGAAACTCACCTCTGCCATCAGATTCGAGTATGCGAGAATCAGTATCAGCTGGTGCTGCTGTGGAACTCTGCATGATTGATGAAAATGTAAATAATATTGATAAGTCCGGGTCTGTTTCCTCGAATGTGGTTGACCTGCAAAATGATAACCAAATCAGTAAACGTTCTGATGGCCAGACTGTTGAGGAAGCATCAGTTTCCATTGATATAGAAAGAGAGGTGTCTAACCCAGATGTAGACCATGTCTTTTCTGTAGCAACGGAATGTTCTGCGATCCCTGTAGATGTATCAGTGAGTGAGAAAAGTGATAAGGAAAATGCTGAGGTGCACCCTTTTGGTGGTCATGAACCTAGGACTGTTGATTCTGAGCTGGTCAATTCTGTCATCCAGGTGAAAATCGAGGAAATTTGTGATGGTAAGGGTGTTCTGAGTAATGAACAGCATGAACTTACTCATAACATGGAAGGGAAACTTGAGAATCTATCACGTGATGCTTCCAATTGTGACCCAAGCGATGTGTTAGGCATTTCTGAACCTTCTAGGCTCACCTCCTCCAAGAGTTCTTCGGCTGCCACAGATGTTCTGATCATCCCGGAGAAAAACTCGAAGTTTTCCCAGAAGACTCGTGAAGATGCCATTCTGAAAGAGGCTCGAATAATTGAGGTTCATCTCTATGTAGCTATCTTCTTCTTGCCTTGGAATTTTTCCCTTTTCTTGGTTTAGAATCACTAACCAAGTTTTTCATGAACAGGCAAAATTGCGGAGGGTTAATGAGCTATCTGTGTGTAGTTTTCCTTTGGAGAAGCATCAGAAATCACACTGGGATTATCTTTTGGAAGAGATGGCATGGCTTGCAAATGACTTTATCCAGGTGCTGTTTTCCTACTGACCAGTTTCTGGGAAGATATTTCAAACATCTCCTTTGCCTAACTTTAATCTCCCTCCCCATGTTGCGAATAGGAACGCCGTTGGAAAGTTACTGCTGCATCTCAAATATCTCATCGCATTGCATCTCGTGGCTGGGCGAAGTTTGAAAAGCAGAGAAAGACTGCTTGTTCACTGGCTAAGGCTGTCATATCCTTTTGGGAATTGGCAGAGGCCCTCCACACTGGTGGGAAGTCGATCGTTGGCATGGATGAAGAGTTGAAATCAACTTTATGTGTGCCTTTGAAGAGTAATAAACGGGAGGCTGAAAATAAACAGGTTTAAATCTTAGCTTTGGTCTTTAATTTCATTCATCCGGTTTCAGTTGACAGTCTTCTGACACTTTATAGTCCTTTGGTGGGAAGTGTAGCATTTTCTATATTTCTTATGTTCGTCTGAATTAGTAGGGAAGGAACAGTTTTCTGATACAGTGTGTGGCACTTTTGTAAGTCTAAGTTTTATACCTTCATCACAGGAAATGAAATTAGAAACCTGTGGACTTGGAGTATATATTCCCAATTTTATGCTTTAGCACGTGAAATAGTGAACATGTGGGTGCAGTTTTGGGACCGTGTTATTATTCCGTCGTAATTATCTGCAGAGTTTTTCTATCATTATTGCGAACTGTGGTCTTTTGTCACTTCGCATTTTCACATGGCATTTGAGAAGCTAGTGGCCTTCTCACTTTTGTTTGGCTTGGTCAACCACTGTCGAAGTTTGATGATGTGATGCTCAATATTTTGTAGGATGGTGAAACTTTGGAGGAATGTCCTACACAAGCTGCTGAGGTTCCAATTCTTGGTTATGCCATTAGATTTTTGGGATCTAATTGTGTCAGTGAGCGTCCTGTTCTTGCTGAAGCACCTGTAACACCTGAAAGGATCTGTGATTCTGGTGTCTTGGGAATGCCATGGGAGGATCAATCTTCAGAAGTATGGATCCATTCTTTTTAATTGCTTAATGTGTTTGACATCGATATTATTTGTGCTGTCGCTCCTTTTCTTTATGAATGGCATATTTCCTTTGTTTTCGAAGGATGCCAGGCATGAGAGGACTTAACTCCTTGCGTTCATTATAGCCTGTTTGATATGCTGGGGTGGCTCATACTGATTACACCTAGTTATGGAACTTAAATTTTCTCTTTCCTTTGACAGGAGAGTCTCTTCTATGTGATACCAGCTGGTGCTATGCATGTCTACAGAGAATCTATTGAATCACGATGGTTGCCACATGAGGTAGAACAACCCTCTCTTCTATTTGGTCTAGGGAGTCAAGATTGGGGAGCACAAACCAATTATTAATGTTGACTCGCAAGATTCCTTAATAATAGTTACATAATTAGCTTACAGAAGTAAATGCAAATAATTTGCGTCTGTGGAATACTAAAAGAGAAAATAATTGCAGCTCTCATTTGCTCGTTCATGTGTGGCATTGGTAAAATTTATGATGCTTTCTCACCAGTTCTTTATTTTATGGAGTTCATTTTTTTTGTATCATTAAATTGGTAAAGTTTATGCGTCACAATAGGGGAGATGTTTTTTATGTATCGTATTGTACATCAAGACATGCCACATGCTTATTTTCTAATTTTTGTCAGTAGATGTGTTTGTTTTCCACTATTTATTTATGTGACATTTACAGAACACTGGCCATGCAATGCATCGCGAGGATTATGAGGCATCCACATGTGATTCCCTTGCAGGTGTTGTCTCATAGTAGCTATTCATCTTTGTGCTCACTACATAGACACTTTTTTTTTTTTGACATTCATTTTAAATCAACTCGTTTGTTGTGCAACAATATATCAGAATATGGTTCGCATGAAAACGTATTTGATGAGGATGAAGCTGAGACCGCCACGCATTATTTCTCTGGAGCGTTTGAAAGAAGCAAGTCATCGAAATTTGCTCACAGGAAAAAGAAAACTTTTCAAGATAAGAATCATAGTGCAAGATCTTTTGAGGTTCGGTCTGATTTATCTTATGGGCCCTACCTAGAGAGCAAATTTGGAACTCAACCATCACTAATGATGGGAAAAAGGGGCTCCAGTACATTCAATGTGTCTTCCATTCCAACAAAGCGCATGAGAACAGCTTCACGTCAAAGGGTTGTTAGTCCATTTGGTGTAGGAAATGCAGGAGGTCTGCCAGTGAACAGTAAAACTGATGTTTCAAGTGGAGATACCAGCTCTTTTCAAGATGATCAGATGTCATTGCATTGTGAATCCCTGACCAGGAAAAATGCAGAAATTGAGTCTACAGCTGATTTCGAGAATAAGCTAATATTTGATGGGAATGATGTAGCTATCAGATCTAAGAAAAAGAAGAAACAAAAACATACGGGCTACAGGAATTTGAATTCATCTGATGGCCTCATAATTTCAAAGGTAAGCCTTCTCACAAGTGTGAAAGCATTATAAGTGTTTTCAGATTGTCAGTCTAGTTTCTGAGGATTAATGTTTTGCAGGCTTCTTCCTATGAGCACAGGTGGCAGAATGATCCAATGGCCCAAAATGACCAGGTACCTCTTTTGTTCGTTTTGATTAATCTTTTATTTTTTGATTTTCTTTCTTTGAGCATCAATGAGGGATGTTCGTTGGTGCTATTAGATGTGAAAAATTGGGATAATCAAATCTATGCCTTTTAGTTCACTTCTCTCAGAATTCTAATGTAACTTAATTTCATGGCACATCATGATTGATTTTTTTCAATGTGATGCTGTAGCACCATCCTTCTTCTGTTGAAGTTGAATATATGTTGAGTGGTTAGGGTTGGGGGTCCGTTAGAGAGATCCTTAAAATATTTGAACGATTGACATCTTTTGCCATGTTCTTACTGTGACAACCTTAACATCATATTATAAGCAGAGGAACCTTCACGAATTGTTTTTTAATTTCTTATGTTGAGACAGTGAGGAATATCATGATTTTTCTAATGTTGAATTTTTTAGTAATGTTTACTGAAATTCAATAAAACCATTATTTCTTTACACTGCAGTTCATTTGTCTGTAAGCTATAATGCTTGGATGGTTTCTTTGTTCTTTAACTGACTTTAAACCTCGAAAGTTGATGATCTGTGTGTAAAGCAAATATTGCAGTTGTTCATTTGGTCTTTTGTTTACAGAAGGATCATCTAAAGAAGAGATTGGATAGTCATCACTTCGATTCTAGTGGAAGCCCTGGTATATCTCGTTTTTTTTGTTAGAAAATCTGTTCAAAATAGTTCAATAACAGTTGGCTATTAACTTTGCCGTCAGATTGATTGACAGTTTTAAAGTTTTCTCAGCAGCTCTTCATGGGCAGTATGCTGCAAAGAAGCCAAAGCTTCTAAAGCAGTTGCCAGATGCTTCCCCTGAAACAATTACCCCAGTTTCTGGTTCTCTTCCTTCTCCAGCCGCTTCTCAAATGAGTAGTATGTCAAACACCAACAAACTAATTAAAATGATTGCCAGTCGGGACCGCAGCAGGAAAAGTAAAGGACTTAAGGTATTTCATTGATTTTCCTTCTATGTTACATGAATATATTTCACCATCTCTAAGTGATTAATCTGCTTAGTTATTGATTTACATTCCTTTTTCATATTCCTACTGCGCTTTCTGTATGTTGATATTCAAGTTTTCCTCCATCGCGAGGCAAATACTTTGTGGGATGGAGAGTGCAGATGAGTGTATGGGTTTCCAATGTTGGAGTAGTACGGTTACAATATTGGTCGTTCTGATAATGCGACGAAAACGAAGCAGAGAATGTTTGAGAATAAACTTTAGAAGGCATCTATAAAATATGGTTATAGACCTCTTTTGCAAAGGCGCAGAAAAATCCTATGAATGTTAATAGATTGTAGAAAGCCCATGCCTAGAACCATTGTGCTGGTCCTTGTGGTTTATTTTAAGAGAAAACTGTGATAGTTGGCGTATCACAAAGAATATAACTACATCTTTCAATTCCGTTAAAAGTTTTTTAGATATGTTTGCCAAACAGTCTCAATTTAGTTGTAACCTTTCATGGCAGATATGAGAATCTATGAATTGTTATCAAATACTGCCTTAAGTTTGTTTTGGACCGACTTGCATGGGATATGAAGTGATTGGCTTTGTTATTCTCTTCTCTACCCCATAACTTCACAATGGAACTATCATATATTTCAATCAAAGGAAAAGATGAGAAAGAAATGAAGGCTCTATGTTGTAACTCTTGGTTGAGGAGGTTATCTGTTGAAATCTGCCTTTGGTGGTTCGTTTTATGTGTGGTCTCCAAACTTTCTGTTACTATAGAATTAGGTTTTGGACACTCCAGTTGGCATCGTTCTTCATTCTGTCTTCCGTAACTTTTTTGGACATTGTTTTATTATGGCTACGTTTTCTTGGACATTGTTGAATGCTTAAGGCTCCACGTGTTCCATCATTTAATTTTCATGCTTTATTCGAATACTTAAATCTTTATTGTTGTCACTTAGTAACATGCTTCTTGACAGATGATTGGTGGACAGTTGGGTTCTGGAAGTTCATGGTCTCAATTCGAAGACCAGGTTAGTTTTATTTCCTTTTTTTTAATAATCTAGGATCCTTTGATAACAGCTAATATTTCCCTGGTTTTAAAAACTGCTAACTGTGTATAACATTCGTTTTTTAGGCGCTTGTTGTCCTTGTTCACGATATGGGTACAAACTGGGAGCTGGTTAGTGATACCATCAACAGTACACTCCAGTTCAAAGTGAGAAAACATTAATGTTGGTTGGTCTTGTTCCGCTTCCCACCCGCCCACTTCTTCTACACGCTGCAAGTTATTAATGTCTTTTCTCTTTTAGTGCATATTTCGTAAACCAAATGAATGTAAGGAACGTCACAAAATTCTCATGGAAAGAAGTGCTGGTGACGGGGCTGATAGTGCTGAAGACTCGGGCTCTTCTCAGTCATATCCATCCACCTTACCTGGCATTCCAAAGGCATGGTGCCATCTCATCTATTTTGATTTGAGTTACTTTCCTCATTTAGTTTTGGTCGACTGGATGTGTATTCCTTGCAGAAGGCATCAAAATAGCTCTTAGCTTTCACTAATGCAATGCCCTGGACGCGTTTCAATGGCAGGGTAGTGCTAGACAGTTGTTTCAACGACTGCAGGGACCAATGGAAGAGGACACTCTTAAGGCCCATTTTGAGAAGATTATTCTGATTGGCAGGCAGCTCCATTTTGGTAGGAATCAGGTATGTTCATGCTTGCTATGTTGCCTCTAAGTCTGTTCTATTCTTGCTCGCCTATGCCGGTTTTGTGTTTATTTTGCATTTCATTAGTCATTCCCTTTGCTCTGATTGCTTATCGTCAAACCCCAAAGACTTATATTGATTCATTTTTCTCCCTTTTTTGTCGGTGAAGAGTGAGAGTAAGGAAACGAAACTAGTGACTCAAATCCATAGCTCTCATATTCACGCTCTCACACAAGCTTGTGCAAGTAGCTTAACGGGCAGCCCTCTAACGTAAGCCTCATTTTGATTTCTCTTTAATATCTGATCCAGTCAGGATGTCTAACGCTAGCTAGTTATTTTTTCACAAAGGCCTCTTGACCTTGCTGAGGTTACCCAAAGCTCTGAAGCTCTTGGCCACGGATACCAGGGTTCCCATTCTACCAGTTCGCCAATGTCGACTCATCCAGGTTCTCTTGCCCCTATAATGACCACATCTGGTGCAAACTCAATGTTGCCAGCTTCTGCTGGTCTGGGTATGAGTAGTGGCTTACCTTCTCCTTCAGCACCGCCGATTGGTACCCCCAGGTAACAGTTTCACTGTTAGGTACTTATCGATCTAGTCCATTCAACCTTCTTATTTCCCAATTCTGGAACTAATATTCCAGGGATTCGTCAAGATATGGTGCCCCAAGGCCTTCATTGCCAGTCGACGACCAACAAAGGATGCAGCAGCAGTATAGCCAGATGCTCTCTGGCCGCAATATTCAGCAGCCGAGCATGTCTGGTCCCAGTGCTTTAACGATGGGGGGTGACCGTGGTGTTCGCATGCTCTCTGGTGGGAACGCCATGGGAATGGTGTGCGGGGTGAACAATGGGATGCCGATTTCTAGGCCAGGATTTCAGGGGATTGGATCGCCAGGCATGCTAAATGTGGTAACTTCTGGAACTATGCTACCAGTTAGCGGGGTCGGAATGTCGAGCCCCGTCAATATGCACTCAAATGCTGTGGCCGGGCAAGGAAACTCATTGCTGAGGCCGCGGGATCACTTACAAGTGCAGCGTGTAAGCTTTCTGATCTTCTCCTTTATCAGGCTTTACATTTTCTGCTGTGGTGGACTTGCTGCCAGTCCTATTGTTACATCCAAATTTGGTATTCATGAAATAGATAATTTAATTAAAATTTGGCACAATTTTGAAAAATCAAAGCTATGGCTCAATTCACATGACCCAATACAAGATCTGCATCCGTCCAAGTCAGCTTAGGTGGACTTCTCGCTGTTCCAATTGTCTTGTCCTCTTTTTTTTTTTTCAGAACTGCCTGCTGGCTGGAATAAGATATTAGAAAAGGGTAGTCAGTCAGGGTTGGCTGTTCGTTAGTGTTACTAATGAGTATCCTTGATTAGAAGAAAATAATGGATTCTCTTTGAAAGTTGTGAAATATGCTAGTAAGCATTTTGAGCGAGAAGGATACACTCATAAGTATATTTTGAAATTATACCTTCGCCAAAAGCTCATTTTAGCAGTTTTGGGATTATTTTGTTGTCTATTTGTCAAATCACACACCAGAATGAGAAGGTGAGACCATTTTATGAAATGCAGGAATTTTAGTTTTATTTTTATCAATGAACATCCAATGTTCCATTCATTAGGTACTCGGAGTAGCCTAGTTTTATCATGAAATAAAGTCAGCCACCTGTTTGTGGTCTCTGTGGCTGAGACTCTATCAGTTCATGAACCCTAGCTTGAATCTTTGGCCGGCACACCAACGATAGGGGATTCCAGAAAACAGGCATAGATTTAATACTGTTACAATATCCGGGTGGTAATCGGAAGTTAAGCCTTTCTGCTCCATGATAGTATGCTGTATCTTTCCAAAATGAAGGCTAACTCTAAACTCTGGACATTTAAGTCACCCTGTTTCGATTATACCGATTTGACTGCTCCCAGCCAAATAATCGTATTTTGCCTTGCCTTGTCACCATATATTTCAAAGTACATTCTCACTGACTTCTGGGTTCTCCCTGTTAAGCATTTTCCCCCTATAAAGAACTGCAATCATTGACTCTTTCTCACTCTAACCTTCTGTGGTTATGTCTTCCATATGCCATGCGCCAACTCTTACTTTATTGAGAAAATCGCAGCCACCTCAGAACCCAGAAGACCACAAGCAGATGATGATGCAGGACATCCAGCTCCAGTCTCCCCCAGGGGGAGCCTGTCAGCCGGTAGGGCCCATGAACAGCATGAGCGGCTCCTTCCCCAGCCCGGGCGCCGCCACGGCTCCTTCCATCCAGACCTTCTCCCCGCAGCAGCCCCACCAGATGCCCCAGCAGCCGCACCTCTTTGGGAACACCCACCACCCCCAGATCAATAGCCCCGGCCCGATGACCTCTCCACATCCGGCCTACGCCATGAGGTTCGCCAAAGAGAGGCAGCAGCTTCAGCAGCGGCTTCTGCACCAGCAGCACTTCTCTGGGTCCAATGCCGGCGCCCCTCCACAGGGCGGTGGCCCGCAAATGCAGCAGCAGCAGCCGCCGCCTCAGCCCTCGCCGGGGTCTCCGGCCACAGCCCAGCATAAGCCGCAGAGCAACCCCAGGAACCCCACCACACATGGCGGCGGGATGCCCGGGCAGATGCTGAACCAGCGGCAGCGGCAGCACCTTCAGCAGCAGCAGCAGCAGCAGCAGCAGACGCTGCCGCCAAGGCACCAGCAGCAGCGGCAGCAGAATGAGAGGGTTCTGCTGCAGCAAGGCCAGGGTCTGTTCTCCGGCGGCTCTGGCTCAGGGGCGGCGGCGGCTCTGGCTCAGTCCCCTGTCCAGCAGAAGATGTACCCGCGGCCACCTTCACGGCCGTTGGGCTCAATGCCACCGGCGCCTCCTCACCAGGAAGCTTCGCCCCTCCATAATCAGCAGCAGCAGCATCAGCAGCAGAGACAAGGTAATCATCCACAGCAGGCCATGCAGAGGATGATGCTCCAACAGAACCACCACGTGAACTCCGAAGGGCCGGTGCCATCGGGAGCTGACCAAGTGCAAGTCAACCCGACAGTTGGGACGAGCCCAGTTCTTCAGGGTTCGGATCCAGGTGCCGCCAGCTCAGCCCCAGCTCCTGCTTCAGGACCAGTGTCTCACTGGAAATCAGAGCCCTCATATGAGACGACTACACCAGCTCCTCCCGGCGTCCACTTGAGCTCCCCCCAGAAACAGACCTTGGTTGGAGGTGAAGCAGCTGTTCTTCCTTCCGGTCAAGGGCTGACCAAGAGGTCCTTTCCTGGTGGCCTTCCAATGAACGTGCACGGCGTTGGGGGACAATGGCAGCAGCAGAAGCACGCCCAACAGCAGCCATCTCAGGATCAGCCGCAGCAGCAGCAGCAGCAGCAGCAGCAGCCGCCCCCACCGCCAGTGCCGCCTCAACATCAGCAGCAACACCGGCAGCCGGTACAGAGCGGCTTGTATGGGACGCCCTCAAATCCAGGGCCGATCTAACCCACTAGGTGGGTCTGGTCCCACAATTTGCCATTGCCTCTGTGCTATGTTGTTCCGGTCTCTCCACTCATAGGTAATGAATGTGTAAGCATTTCATTGGCATACAGATCGAGATCATCAGGTGCATTTTTCTCTATTTACATAGAATGGGTCTCCATCAAAAAGTCAAAATGTCTCAACATTTCAAAAAAAGTCAGCATAGCATGCCTTGTCTTCCTACATTACATCAAATGATCTAAGTTTGTGATTGATATTTCCCTTTCGAATGATATGCGTAATTTATTGACCCAGAAAGTCAATTGTTGCAGGCGAGAAGAAGATCGTCTCTTTCCTCTCTGGTGGCAGAAGATGGAGGATGATTGTGTGCCACAGTTCTCCCTTTTTTGTCGTACTCTCTGAAGGTGCTTCTCTTTCCCTCCCTCTCTGAAGCTATGTCTCAGCTGTAAATTGTAATCTTCTTCTAAGGGTTTCTGTATAGAGAGAGAGAGAGAGAGAGAGAGAGAGAGAGAGAGAGAGAGAGAGAGAATGTACAGGGGCCTCACTCATTCCTTGTGGGCGCATTGGTAGGCTCCTCATTTTCTCTGCTTTTTTTTTTAATCTTCTTGAGCTGCTATGTATTCTCTCCCACTCTAATGGTGTTGCGGAAAGGCCCCATTTTTCTGTAAATAGAAATTGATTCCTTGACGAGTCTCCGAGCTCTCTCCTCGTGGGTTTCCTTCTCTGATTTCCCATTGGTCTACTCGTTCTTTGACCTGGCCTTCGGTATTACAAAATTCTCATGTATCGATCTACATTGTCATCGTATCCTCCTGAAAATGGTCTTGATGGGGAATATATTGTCTTTACTTTCTCGTCGAGTACTATTATTAATTCATATCCTATTTAAATTTATTTTGTACATATACCTTTAAAATAATTGATCCAATAATTAATATAAACTAATTTATGATGAACTTATTTCAAATAAATATTTTGCCTTTAAAAAACCTCTTACGATGGTTTTTTTGGATATATTTTTGGATAAATTATTCTTTTTGTAAGATCCTAAATTACTCCTAAATTATATTTCTTCGTTGTTCACGTGCACGGTTTGCCACTTTGAGGGATTTCACGAGCGCCTTCACGCGAGGCGTCAACGGCGCAGTTTCATACGGACACCGCTGGGGGTATATATATCGCGGTAAAAGCCACCTTCATCCCGACCTCACAGATCACTCTCTCGTCTTCTGGAAGCCACCGCTCTCCCTGCGCCGCTCTGCAACGTAGTCAGGCTTCTCCTTCTCCCTCTCTCTCTCGTGCTCGTTACGTTTCCATTCGTTTTGTTCCATTTTGTTCGTTCGCATTGCTAGTTAGAGATAAACTCGATGGATCGAGCATTTGGTTGGGGAGTCATTTGTGAACGGCAGAATAGATCCGGTGCGTTGATTGCAAGTTGCCAAGGGCTCGGAAGGGGATCGAGATTCTGGTATGAAGATCCTCCACAGGCCTTCACTCTGATGGAGTAATCCTTTGGGACGATTGTTAACAGGACATGACATTCCTTTTATACCGAAGATGAGGCTTCGGAAGGAGATCGAGATGCTGGTAGGAAGATCCTCCACACCTTCACTCTGACGGAGTAATCTCTTGGAACGATTGTCAACAGGATATTATGGCATTCCTTTCATACGGAAGATGAGGCTCGTCATGTTCTACACAATATCTATGGCATCAGTAGCGTCTGGGATGAGAGTTCCAGGACGGATAGATCAAATTTCCAAAGTGCCGTAGACGATATTTGGGGAAAAAGTGAAGAAAAATGACACATGCACAAAATCGGGTATGGTTGTGAGTTCTAACCTTAGAAGAATAATTTCACTATGGTTGGTGATTATATTACGGGAATTTAAAATACAGAATCAAAGAATCAGGAGAGCGAGAAGGCCCGAGATCATCAAATAAGGTCCGATCAACTAAAGGAAATCGAGTCCAGAAAATATAGCAGAGGGCGTTGAGACGGCCATCTTTGTGAGAACCTTCCCGTTGGCGGCCAGAAATCTCGCTAGCTCGTCCTCTAGTCTCTTCCCCGTGAAATTCTTGATCTCGATCGTCCGGAGATGAAGAGCGAGGCAGTGGATAGGTCCCTTGAATGACTCCCAGTAATCCCCGTAGAGCTCTTCCAACCTCTCGACTTCATAGTCCACGTTACTCTGCAAAATTACCACCCGGATTATAACAGTTGCAAGTACGTAGCTGCATGGGGATCCGTCTAGGAGCCCATTGACTGCGGGTTTTCGTACCAGATCTCTGACGAAGGGCTCCCCGAAGTTGTCTATGTTGATGGAGAGCGACTGGAGAAAGGGGGAGCTACGCAGGAGGGCTTCCATGACGGGGAGCTCCTCATAGACCAGACCGACCTCCATCGTCAGCGCCCTCAAACAGGAGAATAGGGTGGAAGCCAGCATCCCACTCGACAAATACTTCAAAACACCCAACACCGCATTAGCAAAGTCCGGATAGAATAGATATATAGATAGATAGATAGATATATAGAGAGAGAAAGAGAGGGGGGGGGAGAGAGATAGATAGGTGGATATATACATACGTATATATAGATAGAGAGAGAGAGAGAGAGGTAACCTCTAGGGATCTGCCGGAGAGTGTCATGGAGCGGGCGGTGGAGAGACCTTCGAGTAGGTCAGCGGTCCACTTATCTCCTCCCACCACTCGGTGGCATCCCATCCAGCGGCGTATTTGGAGATGGACCTGGTCAAGGTTCGGGGACTTGGCCCTGAAGCAGCACTCCTTCCCCGGTTCCCCGTAGAACCTGAACTCGCAGAGCGCTGGCGCATCGACTTCCAGAGATATCCCCACCGTATCTTCTCTTCCTCCTCCTTCTCCTTGGTCGAAGTAGCAGTTCTCCACCTTCAACCTCTGCAACTGCCCCCCCATGCGAACGACCAACGCCGGGCTCCCCTTCATCTCCCTCAGCGACAGTTCCTCCATTGCGGGGGCCTCCACCTCAAGTGGGCACCCCGCCGCCGGCGGCTCGAAGGAGATCCCCTCCATCTCCACCCAGCGTAGGCGGCAGTGCCGCACGGCGAGACCGTTCTTCACCTCGCAGTGGAATATAACGAGGCTCTCCAGCGCAGGGAAGCGGGACAGGAACTCCGCGTCGGCGAGGCTGACGGAGGACAGCATCAGGCTCCTCACCCCACGGAAGGGCTCGAATCCTAAAGGGTCAAAGACACAGCACTTTAGCTTCAGCTCCTCCAGAGAATCAGGTACTCGGAGAGGGGCCTCTCCGGAAAGATGCTTCCCCAGGTGGTGCGGCGTGAGTAAGTGCGAGAAGTCCAGCTCCAGCGCCACCAGTTGCCGGCCGGCCATGGCGAGGCGCACCCACCGGTCGATCTCAATCTGCCAGGTGCCGGAGCAGGGCCGAAGGGCCACGCGGCGGAGGCTCCGCCGCGAGGCGCAGATGGGGAGGACGAGGTCGACGAACGTGGTGTAGCTGCTCTGCGACTGCCAACTGGGGACTTGCCCTGCGGAGAACTCGCCGAAGTCGAGGTCGATGCTGGGGAGGCGGCACCAGCGGCGCCGCCACCGCCGCGAGAGTTGCCCGGTGGCGACGGCATCCTTGGTGGGAAGTAGAGAGAGGATTCGAGTGCACACCGCCTCAGGGAGGGCGCTCAGCCTGTCGACGGAAGCGTCGTCCGATGTCGCCATTGGTACGATGGGAGGGATCCTTCCCTCGCCGGCCATTGATATAGCGAGCAGGTCTTGCAGTTGGCGGAAAAGGCGGGAACAGGTAGCCTTTACCATTCCCAGCCGTTGGTTTCCATTTTGGAAACCCCGAGCGGGGAATCTTTACTGAGCTCTTTTCTTAAAATTTCCATAATTATTTCAGGTTTCTATTTCACGAATTTCAGGTCCTCTGTTCAAACCAGATTAAACTGCCAAAGAAACTCACCATCGTTTCTCCTTTACGAGCGGCACATACCACACACATCGAGTCACCATCTTTAACGGTGAGATACACGTTTCCTTCTTTGTTTGAAAACTATCGATCCCCCAGCTTACTCCTTAACGCACTTCTGTCATGTAATATTTTTATTTTTAATATTTAAGAAAAACGAGTTCTTGATATTCCAAGATGCTTGAGGAGTTCTAAGAGTAGAAATATATACATCCATTGGATTCTTGAAGAAACTGTCCAAAACTGGACATACTTACATGCACATTGGTTTTTTTCTTTATTTCTTTTTTGCCCTTTAATTCTGAAACCCATTGTCTGATAGATCGATTTTTGGGCCCGGGCCAAGATTTACCAATGGGCCTATGATGCGCCCATTATTCTAAGGTCCAGGCCCAGACGGGCCCATACGAAGACGGGAATAGACACTCATAAATTATATACAGAGCATTCAAAAACATCACAAAGCTTTGGACGATTAATAAATTATGAGCTCAGCTGCCCACACTCAAACAACAGCTTTATCGATAGTCAAACCGTTGACCGTATCACCTGAGGAACCCCATGTCAACGCTCCAATAGAGAACAGACAAGATTTGAAAGCTGGGTCCACCTCCCGAGCCACTGCAAAATTTGAATGGGGCGGGGGGTTACTGTCAGCCTTTGGATTCTAAACAGAGAGTTCTAATCTGACCTTCACCTTGATCCTTTCACCTGCACATAAGGCCAGGGTAACTAGGGAACCCTGCCGAGAGGGAGGATGAGATCCTGCATAGACTCGTACTCCGCTGCAGTCACTTGGGCGGCGCTGAGAATCTGCAAATGCCCCTTCGGCAGAAGATCTTTAGTTCTCTCTTGCAGAGATTGGAAGGAGAAAGAGGCTTGACTAAGGAACACTGGTTGATTATACATTGCAGAGAGAGCATTGAAGTACAAGACGAATGAATCTGATATACAATATCAGGTGTTGTTCATAATCCAGCCAAAAAACTCGAGACTCTTGATTTTTTTAAAACGAGAGAAATCCAAGAATATGACCTATACATTCCAAAGTTTGTGGAAGAAGATTTCCTGGATTTTTATCAGATGCAGGCATAATTTCAGCTGAATAAACCAGCAAGACCTGACTGACAACCGGACATTAGAAATCACTGCATGCACCCCTCCCCCTGACTGTTCTACAAGATTATTTAACACGGAGGAGAAGAAAAGCAGTTAAAGGGATTATAAAATCGCTCTTTCTGGTTTCTTTTTTGTTCTAAGAGCTTTCTCCACCCACTACTCAGCAAGAGCGAGAGAGAAATCTCACCTTTTGCAGCAAAAACCTGCTACCAGACACCTGCGGAGCAACTGCTGGAATTCTATGCACAGAGAGGGCGTCCACAAAGAGAAGAGTGATGACAGACCACTGCTTCATCTTGAAAGGAGGCAGAGCATCCACAAACGACATGGTCTCCACCAAACGTCCCTGAAACACCAAGACTCCTCAGGATTCTCCTCAACAGAGAGAAAACCAGGACAGCAATCGAAAAACAGCATCATTTATCAATGAGCAGAAAGATTCTACTCATTGAGCAGAATTGTTGGCCATTCATAAAACTGCAAATTATTGGGCAGGTTATTGAGGGCACACCATAGCCTTCTCGATGGAAGAAACTGGGATCCGCAGGTGGAGATCGGTGGCCAGTGGTGGCAAGGCACGAGCAATGCAGGCGGCCATGGTTTGCTTGATCTCAGAGGACCGCCCGTCTTTCAGAGCGACCTTGCTGGGGTATTCTCTGCCATCGACACACAAGAACTCATCCTGGGGGGCATCCTCGTCCGTCCCATATATAAAAGCCAGAGATGAGCACGTCAGCCAGCCAAACAGGGCATTCCACATTGTCGCAAAAGGTGATAGCTGGAAAAGGAAACTTCTTCAGATGCCATTGTAGACGAGGAACAGAGGGAGATAATGAGTGGACCAAGCCCATTCAGGCCTACAGATGATACCTACAGTCAAATTGAAGCCCTCTGGCGGTGTATCATGCCAAGAATCCTCTACTTCAAAGAAATCAGTGTCCAGGAGCACAGTCTTCTTCGGCCACTTCACAGTCCCATTGTCGAACTCGAATGAATCCTCCTCCTCTGGCTCGTTGGAATTCCTCTGCTCAGCATGATTGGGTGGGGGCAGAAGCACTATTCCAGCTCGACTGGCTGATACAAAACAGAGGCAAGATCCCCGATTTCGTCATGGGCACATCTCGATCCACAACCATGGAAGGTATACGCGGACGGAACACCTCTACCTGCATCTCCAGATTCTTGCTCGCCAGAAGAAATTGAGTCGGCCAATTGGACGAGAGCGACAGTACAGGCCTCTGCTGAATCAAGCCGTAGCGAGCTGTCATCAATCTCATCATTTGATGGCCGGGAGCTCCCTGTCCTCTGCGTGCGAAACTCTCGCTCAACAGCTGAAGGCTCCGTCTCAACAAAAGTCTTGACTTCCGTCTTATCAGCCCACTTGACGCTGCAGCTTCTCCCAACCTTTGACCTAGAAGTCTTCAACGAGGACTTCAGCGCAGGTGGTTTTTTCACTTTCTCCTCAGTTCGATCTAACTCTCCAGAGTTGACTCCCTGCGCAGCGCCACACGATGTTGCAGACGGACGAGAAGAAGAAGAGGGATGGGGACTGCCCAGAATTATCGTGCTTGTGAAATCTGGTCCGCCAATCTCAGCGTCGGCATAATCACCCTTTGCAGCATCCGTCTTCGTCTTTGTTCTACGTTCTGTTGAAGCTGTATGCCTAGAATCAGCTCCTGCGAGGAGAGAGGAAGGCTCAATCGTCCGCCCACAGAGCAGAGCTCAGGAAGAACCAATTGGGGGCGGCAGAGAAAGGAGAAGCGGGAGCTCTGAGTTAAACTGGGAAAGGGAAGCATCATCTGGCTGACCTTCATTTTTCCGGTCCCGCTGGGGCACATAACCTTCTATGGCATTGGACGGTCCAATCCACTCCTCCCCCGGCACCTCTCCCGCAACTAACCCGGTCTTTTCATGAATGGTCAGGTTCGAAAACCCTAGATCTCCGTCCGCCGCCGCCGCCGCCGACCGTCTCCCCCCGCCGAGGCCAGCAGCGCCTTCCTCCGCCGGTAAGCTCTCAAATAATCGAAGCACTTCGGCCACCTTCCCCAGCCCCGCCGGCGAGCATCGGTCCGGCTGGAGGCTCCCGGAGAAAGCCCGGCTATTGACGACGCAGGTTTCGGAGCAGAACTTGTAGGTTTCCTCGAGGTCGTACACCTTGTGCTCGCTCAGGGAGATGCGGTAGCGCCCCCTGCGGGAGCGATCGGGCGGGAGAGGGTTGGGGCAGGGCGGGTAGCCGCAGAGGCCGGCGATGGAGCGCTCCACGACGACGTCCTCGTAGTCCGCGCAGGATAGGAGGGCGCCCGCCGCGAAAAGCTGGAGCTCGGAGCAGGGGCCGTCCTCGAGGAGGGAGAGCTGCAACTTATGGATGGCGCTGACAACGGAGGTGAGCTTCCTCTCCCTTCCCTCCTCCGCCTTCGCCATTTCTCTCCCTCCCCACCGTCCCCCCACGTCCTCCGTCGTACGGTCGGCAAAAACCCTAGAACTCGTTGGGCCGGTGACTTGTAGAATAGGAGGGAGGGAAGACGGGGTAGAGGGAGGCACTTCTGGACATAATTTGTATATATGTACTCCATAAAACGTACAATCTCCAAATGACCCTACTTTTTAAAAATCGTGCTTTTACTCTTATATTTCAGAAAACCTCGACCCTACTACATAGTTTTATCTCTAACTTTGGTTTTTCTTTGAAATCTATGATAATATTTATCTCTAGGGCTCCTTGGATGAGCCTAAATTCAGATTATGACCAGATTCAGGCTTTAGTGGAGCACATCCTAAAGTGTCTAGTAGAGTCTACCCTTCCCCACCTCTCCCTCACTCTCTCTCACCCATCAACCCTCTATGTCTAATGATTCTAATTGTTGATTACTTGATGAAATAGAAACATAGACACCCGGATAAATCAATAACACAACTAAAGAAAAAAAGATAATATAACTAATTAGTGTCGTGATATAAACTAGAGAATAGAGAAAATAGAAGATAATTGATAGTCTTTGAGAGGGCTATCTGCTAAGGCCCTCGCCATGATTCCCATACCACATGAACAGAGGAGTCAAAGAGGCGACAGCCAAGGATGAGGTCTTAGGATCTTGACAAGGCAGTTCACTCATGGCGTCCTAGAGATAGAGGACAAGTTGACTGTCTTAGGATTCTCGAATTAGAATGCATGGCTATTATCATCAGTCTAGGAGCAGTCAAAGAAGAATCAATGGCAATGACAAGAAGGATCGGCTCAGCATCCACATGAATCAGAATCAACTGGGTCGTTATCATCGAATCAAGAGTGGTCAAAGAAGATTGCACTATTTCACTGATTGATCAAACGAGGGTTAAGAGCAGCTCAAGATAAGAACACCCGACTATGAAAGAGAGGAGGAAAATATTTTGAAGCCTCTATAGAGTCTTGGAGACCAGCTATCTCAAACTAACCTTCCTTGTCATGTCCTAGAAGAGCCCCCCAATCTTAGTTCTGTATTTTGGGGTTTTTGAGTTACCTTCTAGTGGATGTCCACAATTCATTCTTGTTGATCTTCCTACGTCTTATTTCCATGACCCAGGGTATGCATTGCAATCTATCATATCATATCAAAGACCTACTCTCCCCCGCCATTCATCATCCCATGCCCTTATGTACGAATACCCTAAATTTAAGTTGTGAATAGTAAGTTAGAATTTTTACAATTTTGTGAAGTTCTACTATGTAAGTTGCTGAAGCACTAAATGTATACATTTCTTATGATAAACATTTTAGATTTTCTAGGTACTTTATAATACTTTATTTTATTTAATAACTAAGGTAAATTTGAATTAATTTAAAATACTAATTATTTGAGTCAAAATATATTAGTACTTGTTTGGAAATTATGTGGTGAATTTATATTTGATTTGATAATTTGTATAATTTATGAAATATAACTGTATTTATGATTTTAAATCTATGTACTAGCATGATTATCTATGGTTTATAACCTTATAAATTATTTTATTGTTGACTATTAATCATGAAGTTAAAATTTGGTAAATAGATTTTTCTTGAGCTTTTTAGGAAATTTATGGGGCTATTTTCTAGAAAAAAATTACTCATTTAGAAATCATCAAAATAATTTGCAAAAAAAAAATAATGATTCATGCCACATCATTAGGGGGATGTGTCAAGTGATTTATGGGCTATGTCAACATAAGTCAAAGAAGCAAGAGGTCAACATTTTAAGCCATGACATTCATGTATACATTCAATTTCTTATTTTACTTTGTTCAACTTTATGTATTCCTCTATCCGTAGAGTACATTGAATGTACAGAAATGGCTATAACAGAGTTTCTGTTATTCGTATTAACAACATTCATACTCTAGTTTGGACGGTAAAATGAACAAGTGAGAATTCTTTAATTTTTAATGAGTGTTGAGATTTTCAGGGATGATAATCTGGAGGAAGTTTCAAAGAAAATGAAGGTTTTGATGAGATAGAGAATATCAAGTGAGTCAGTTTTCAAAGTTCTTCAAAGGAGTTCTCTTTGGGGTGATAGTTTTAGATGAGCAAAGCAATAGTAGGTATTCAAAATTTTAGTTTTCATTCCATTAGATTTTTTATTTTTTTTCTTAATCTATTATTTGGCTGACATTCAGACAATGAGATTAAGCCTCTCCATTCATTTATTTTTTCCTATTGTTTCAATGGATTTCACATTCGATTTCTAATACTTTGTTTTTGGTTGAAGCCAAGCAAAGAAATGGAGGGTGTTTACAAATTTGATTTTCTTTTGGCTTTCATTTTATTTTATTTTTTTGTTTATTTCTTCAATTTTTAATTCATTTTTATCTCCTTTTCAATTGATTCATATTCAATTTTCATTCCACAAGAATACTTTGTTCCCAAGTGATAGACAAGTGTTGAGCACTAAAATACATGATATTTTGATGATGACAAATAAGTATAAGATAAATTAAAAGATTCAATTCTGCTTAGTTCGGAATGTACATAACATGAGGTTGAGCACAAAAGTACTCATAAATAGTTTAGTATACTACTATTAAATATTCATATAAGAATTCATTGAACATATTTCAAACTAGTCATATGAGAATTCTTTCAATATACTTCTAACTAGTAATATTAAATATATATATATATATATATCTATATTTAATTAATAAAATTATCATCTTACATGTTGTAGAGAGTGTTAGTATTTACAAAAACTAAGATGATAACAAATGGAGTGATTAAGACACTCAAATCCTTTAAAGTCTCCCTTGTTGCCTTAGACCATTGTCATTAGCTCTAGACACTAAAGTTTCAGCCATTACCATCAACTTGAAGCTATGCTGAAGCCATTAGGGTCTACAAAATATTGAGCAAGAGCCAGCAACAAAGGATTGCAAGGAGAGGAGAAGAATAGAGGAAGAGAAAGGAAGAACACATGACAAGACGAAAATAAGGGAGGAGAGAGAAAGACTCCTACTAGTAGGTCTCACTTTGCTGGTGATGAAATAGAAGAAATTCTTTATGCTGAAACCTTAAAAAAAAATAGTAATTTTAAAAAAATGAGTTGAATGCTCGCAAATGAGTTTGCATTCATAATAAACATTCAAATCACAACAATAAAAATTAAACATGAAGTCAGAATGAAATTGTTCCTTGTCTATCACCTAGGGATGAAAATAAGGTTTTACAAAGAAAATTGAGCATGAAAGTAGATAAACCAAAATGGTAGATGAGCAGGAAGAATAGTCTAATCACACTGTGTTATTGACCGACATGAAAAACTAGTTAAACCAAAAATAAAATTCAATTGAGAGAGAAATAAAGTTTGCAAACTCCCCCTTGTGCCATGCTGCTCATCTCCATTTGTTACCCATAGAGAACTTGACTATGGGAGGCAAAAACTCCCCTCAGGACTACCAAGCTTGACACCATGCCCTAGGGTCCACACCCCATATCCCCATCTCTATCGTAACTTATCCCTCTTTCTTTCTGTTCATAAGTTACTCAAATAATTGACATTGATATTTTGGCCCAACATTACATTTCCATTAATTCCACCTTGAAACCTTTCATAAATTCATTGAAAAGTCTGGGAAAAATTATGTTTTCCTAATTCTAGCTACATTAGCACCTTTTTGTTAATTGAAAAGTACTTCTCAAGGTTATAATTGTTGGACACATGTTAGAATACACACTAGAAGATGAAATAGAAATTTCTCAAAAATAATCTGTAGATTTAAGCCGAAATTCATGATATATATTACAGAATCTATTCTAATATTTTTTATGTTATGGGAGTTTTCGTTTCACATTTTACTTATAAGATTAAGGTAATATCAATTAAAAGTGTTTTTGGTTAAGTCTATGTTTATCTAAATAATTATATATATTGATTTAAGGTTTATTACATAAGTTGCAATGCTTTTGATACTAGATAATTTTTTTGGACAATGTTAAAAATGAGCACCCAAGTTGAATTTGGGTTATAAAAAAACATTGGGGAATTTTTTTGAACTAAATTTCTCAAACATGCTTGTCAATGTGTCAACACAATGGGTCCATGCGTCAACTTATGTGTAAATAGTTGTTCACAGTGGTAAGTACTCTCAGTACTCTCTAGCCAAAAACATAGGATTTTTATAATAGTTTTCCCCTCACTTGACTACATTTCTATCCCAAAGGTAACTATCTTCTACAATTAATTGTTCTTTTCAATAATGTATAGTAAACTTAATAGGATCAATGACCCAAGTCTCTCGAGTTCATCTCTGTAGAAACCTTTCATTTAACAAGCCCCTCTTGAGCTAAATATGATTATAAGGACTGAGTGTCTTTGCCAAGAATCTCTCTCACCTCACAACCCAATTAGTTAAGGGCCTAATGAAGATAACCAATTTCAATTGAATAGTCATTTAATCACCATCAAAATATGATATTGTACTTCATTCCTTGTTGAAATGTGTGGTGTGAAATTTTGATAGAAAGTATTAAATCTCTAAGTGTGTTAGTTATTATTTTGAGTACAACTTGTCTTATTAATTGAGTTTCATCATATACTGACTTTGTAATTTTCTTCAGATCTCTAATGTTTATCTTGAAATGAGAGTCTCGTAGTCTATTGGAAAATGTGGTTTTTACGAATTGACTTTCCAATCTTTGAATTATCTATTTGTACAGTCATTTGAATTCAAATTTTAACCGGAGCTTCCTAATTTAATCAATAACAATCTAACATCTTTATCGGCTCCACATCATTTAATTAGGAAAGGTATTCGTTCACTTACAGCTTTGCCCATATCATAGCAAAGATGTGTTTACCCATCTTCACTTATGGCTGTGCCCATACTCATTCACTACAGCTAAAGTTATGTACCTGGATTTTTTACCACCCCTCACCTGTTTACACCAATAAATTCACCCAACCACATTTTTTACTTTACCTTTCCATTGTGGCCTTTGCATGAGAAGGCCTTCCTGTATGTGTGCACTTGCCCAATGATTTAGAACACTCGAACCTCACTCCCCCTTAACCCGTAGAATCTCTTACCTTTTGACTAATTACGGAACTCATGTCTATGTAAGTTTGATCATGTTACTTTCCAAGGAAAATAAGGCTCCTCCACAATCTTTCCCATATTTTCATTAACCTACAAGCCCCTGTTGCACAACAATCTAGGGGCAGCAGCTGTCACAGGAGTTGCACACTTCTGTATTCATCTCGTTCCTTATTTACCTGGGTGCACTGCGTTTTCAAAAGCTTCCTGTCGAACCGACTCTAGCTGCATCTATTTACCCGTATGACCACCGTTGGTCATCCTATTCAATGCTCAACCAGCCTCAAGAAGAGTGTTTTGCATAGATAGGATGCACACTCTTCCATAAAAGAGGAATTCCACTAAATGAAGAATTACATGATATGTGGGATGACCAGCCTGCTCCATCAAGCTGAACTCTGCCTACCCCTTTTTCCAGGGGAAACACAGGCACCCAAGGGTCAAATGACTCTTTGCCATAAGATGATTGGCCCTCTACCTAATGTTGCTGGGGTGCATACACACTCTTTGGTGCTTCGCCTTCCCTCGCGTGCCGTGCACGATGCCGCTGTGTATGCGTGTGCTAGAATGCGCTGAGCCCAGTGAGCCTTCCCGACACAACATCTTCGCATTGGCATTCCATGACAAGGCCACCGAGGTTCCTACAAACCTGCGTAGTGCGTTGGTGGAGCCTTTTTGCTTATCTCCGGCATGCACCCATACAAACCTACATGCTCCACGCATGCCGTACTACCATGCACCATCTGCATGTGCGCTGCACCGTCGAGGTCCACAGCGTCTTGTGGTTTTGCTCTGGCTTAGTTAAGCCACCCATCGAGGTTCATGTTCCATGCATGCCCTCGCCCATGCCGCCGCGAGTCTATACGGTCGTGTTGTAGTCATTCCGCCACATCTTCGGATACATGGTGCATGTCAATTGTCGCATGCCTCTGCCCGCATGGTGCACTCTCGTGCGCACTGCGTCATGCCCTGCCATGCCGATGCATGACTCTGTGTGCACACAGGACCACCAAAGCACACTCATTCCGGTGGTGCAGTTCCGCACCCAGAAGTTCTATCATTCTGAGATCGTCACAGTATCTTCCTTGGAACTGCACATTCTTCAAATACTCACAAAACATGCTTCAGAATGATTGTATTTTCACATGTTTTCTTTGTTGAAATCATGCATCTTTTTCAACCGAGTGTGATCATGCATTGTAGGAGTCTGAGCTGCATTCATCTTTCTCACCCAATGCCACACCACATTGTCCCTATGTTTTCAACGGGGATTGCTATTTCCACACAGAAAAGTGCTCCTGCATATGTAGATAAACTAGTATTCATAAAAAATACACAAGAAAAATAATTGGGGTTGTTGATTTCATTCTAGAGAGCCCTTAGAACCAATAGTTCATTATCCTCTGGATCCTTAGGTTTGGATATTCTATCCGAGTTATCAGCATTTATTAAATATATTCGCGTCGAACAGAAGGCTACATGATCAAATGACAAAAAGAATTGTCGAGAAAGAGATGGCCTTCCTCCAATGAAATTAAGCATTTAGTTCCTATAATAGGGAAATGATTCCATTCTCCTTGGTTGTAAAGAAATGTAGATATGGAAAAGAGAATAAACTGAGCAGAAATTGACCGGGTGGGTGGTAGGGCCGTGTTGCGTAAGCACATGTTTATTCCATGTGTTTGACCTTTGATTCATGGATTCATCATTCTATCATGAACCTGGAAGAGTTAAATCTTAAATCAAAGCACTGTCTATGGATGGTAGTGTTCTGGTTGAAGTTTCCTGCTAGATAGAAAAGAGGAGAGGATGTGGAAAATAGAGGAGACAGGTGAAGGGCGCCTGGAACAGAAGTTGTAGGAGGAATTGGTGAATAAGGACGAAGAAGAAGGAGAAAACGCCAAACGCATCTTCTTATACTTCAGAATTAGTTCCGGTAGTTCGTTACAGTTAATCTCCAAAGATCCAAGGGGAAGGGAGAGGGGGGCGGGGGGCGGCGGCGGGGTTCCTGTATCAGTGCCTGAGAGCTTGACTCTGCGTTTGTTTGTTCAAAGTTTGCAAATACCTACGGAAAAATCTCGGGTTCTCCTTCGCCAGCTCGTCCCACACTGCAACACGTATTATTTATCCAGGGTTAGAGACCGAGATACAATTATATATCATATATATGTATGTATGTATGTATAAGTCGAGATAGATTGATAGAAAGAGAGAGAGAGAGAGAGAGAGAGAGAGAGAGAGAGAGGGTGGGAAGGATGAGGACAGAGAGTTGCACCTGTGGCGGTGACAGAGTGGTGGATGCCGGCGTGGCTGGCTATAGCTCTCGCGCACTCGTGGCGGTCCATCCCGACAGTCAGGCATTTCTCGATCAGGTGCTGCACCTGCGGGTTGGAACGAGAACCATCAAGTTGCGGGGTTCTCTCTCTCTCTCTCTCTCTCTCTCGCTGTATATATGTGCTATGCATATCTATATATCTATCTCCTAGAGCTGAGCTCATCGAGATATCGGAGTGGCATCATGCCCGACTTCGTTATAACGTAGCCGATCAAGATCGAAACGTGGCTCAAAATTGCTACAGTTCATACGAATTCTTTACGGGGGAGAGTAGAAGGGGAGCAGAGAGAGGAAGCGTGTGTTTCAATTTTACCAGGCGAATGTATCGACACGGCTGACAATGGAGACAATGATAATGATGTCCAAGCCGGCGATATGAACCTGTTGCACTGCCCATCCTCCTATCTTCTTCTTCTGCTACTCTAGATGGAGGCGGGTGGGGAGAGAGAGCCAACGACAAGCGAAGAAAGAAGTCAAGACTTTATAAAGACGTGGTGGGTCAGACTGAAGAGAGAAGAAGCCCACGCCTTGGCGAGCGAGAGAGAGAGAGAAGAGAAAGGAATCATCGAGGAGATAAGATCAGGCCCTTTAGCTTACAGAAACCCCTCGTTCTGATCTGCGACGTCCTGCCGTACATCACATGCCTGATATGTCTGGGTATCGTGATAGCCAGTCCCACCGCGATCTTGCCATGACCCACATTGCTACGTGGCATCCGGATAGGATGTATATGCGGCATTTGTGAGATTCGCCGCAGCCCGAGTCCGCATGGCATCCACCGGGCCCGCTGACCGTGGATTGCGCTTGTCCTCGGATTTGTTCAAGGCGCTTCTGTGACCGAGGTGAGGACGCGTGCCGTTCTTTCGGGGGGGCATACCTGGATCTCTCTCTCTCTCTCTCTCTCTCTCTCTCTCTCTCTCTCTCTCTCTCTCTCTCTCTCTCTCCCTCTCTCCCTCTCTCTCTCTCCCTCTCGCTCTCTCCCTCTCGCTCTCTCCCTCTCGCTCTCTCCCTCTCCCTCTCTCCCTCTCTCTCTCTCTCTCGCTATGCCTTTGGTCAGCTCTGGAGGGAATGTAACTAAATACTTGCGAACTTGCATCAGTGATGATGGCGCTGTTTCCCACTATATGGAACTTCTCTCTCTATCTCTCTGCAAGAACACCTCAAGTTTCTATCTCAATTTTTCTCTCCCCTCTTTCTCGGCCTTCATCGTTTAGGGGGGATTGGGGTGACGGACCAGACGGAGAGGGGTGGGGAGGGAGAGAGAAAGGACCAGACGAAGAGGGGGAAAGAATTGACCCATCTCCACATGACTTGAGAGAGAGAGAGCGAGAGAGAGAGAGAATGATCGAAAGAATTGAGAAACTATGGTTTATGGCATGTCGATGGTGTTTAATATTTCCCCCCTTTATTGGGCTAGGAAATGGGCCGTGAAATAAACAAATGGGCAGCTAATTGGTACAACGAATAGATATGTTTGAAAACCTTCAAAGGGATCCGAGGTGTAATAGAACGAAAACCAATATGATTTAGTTTCTAAGGCCCATTAAGAGATCAGATTCAGCTTTATTCAGGCATAATAAGGCCCCCTTTTATTTACTCTTTAATTCCAAGGACAAAATGGATCCATTCCACATTTATTCCAGCCCAATAAGCTTACCTTCTTCTATCCACTAAAATTTTACCAAATAATAAGTCGTATGATCTCTCTCTCTCTCTCTCTCTCTCTCTAGATCCAAGCCCAAAAGAAAATCTATTTCTCATACTATTTACTCCTGATAATAAATTTCTCTCTCATCAAATCCGAACTAAATCAAAAAATAAATTTCAAGAGTATTTCACATTATTAATCACCAAATCACCTGTTATTTAATCCTAGAAAGAATATGATTTACACACATTTTTCCACACTCAGAAAAATATCTAACTCGCCATCCACATTATTTTCATCATCGGACACGAGAGAGGAGGAGAGATAATGAGAAGACTGGTAGGGAAGGAAAAGACCAAGAGGCCCCTTACTAGCTTGTCTTCAAGGGGCCTTTCCTCTCTATTCACCTCCTAACTAGAGGCTGCTGCGTGTTGACAGAGAGAGAATAGGATTATGAGGGTGATTTAGTAATTGCGTATAAAATTATTAAGACATTTTTTGGTTCAAAATTATGTGGCATGTTAATTTTTTATGTTTTAAGAAGCTATGGAGTGAGAGAGAGAGAGAGAGAGGAGAGAGACAGACAAACACATAGACAGAGAGAGATTACTCATGAATAGTTGCATGATTGGTGTTGTCTAAAAATTTGAAGAAATTATCTGAAAATTTTATTAAGAAATTTTTCTTTTTGCACAAAACTATAATTATATTTTTCAAATATATATTATATCTAAAAATATTTAAATAATTATTTAATACAATCAAGAAGTATTAAGTTATAGAGCTAGTGAACCAACCATGCTGAAACGTGATTTACTAACCAATCATGCTGAAACATGTGACATCATCGAAGAGATCCAATTTTGGCCATATCCGGAAGTTTTTTTTCTTTTAAATAAAATTAATCAATAATTTATTTTATATTTTGTATCCGACGGCCAGATCTTCCGCGTTTGATCCGATCTTATGGAGTGCGCTATCGGTTTGAGGTCCGCCCGATTTGGAAACGATTCGACACATCATGAATCGTCGTCACGACGAACGCTCCTGGACCGGAGCTACTCGTAAACCGGCTGATCCGGAAGATTTTCGTCAGCATCTCCCCCAAAACCAGATAACATGTGGACTTTCGTAAGCCGGACAAGTGGACTTCTCTTCCCGTAAAGAGAGGAGAGGGAGAGAGGGAGAGAGAGAGAGAGAGATCCCATGGCCGCAGCAGCTGCAGCAGTGGGGCTCGTACCTGGGACGGGATCCCTGCCCCAATTAGCGGCAGCGAGGGGAAGGGGGGCTCCTCCCCAGCGCTGTGATGCCATCCCCTTCGCCGGCATAGCGCGATGGTCGTCGCCATACAGTCACTTTTTCGGGAAGAATTTGCCGGTGACGAGGACGAGGCGTAATGCCGTCGGCTCCTTTGCTCCTTCCAGGACTCTGTCCCCTGTCATGGAGTGGCAGGACTGCAGGTAGGTTCTCCGGACAGAGGTCTCTCTCCCGTTCCTTCCATGCTTTCTGATCTTTGAGATGGAGGAGAATAGTTTCCCACAAGTGAGTTGCCGATGCCGGATCTCCGATTCGCACGGGAATTAGATTTCTTCGAAGTAGCGTTTCGGACTTTGATCGCGTCTACTGGGAAACTGCAAGCTCCTTTTCACAATGGGTTGCTCATGAATTACTTCAGATTTCTGATATTAGGGTACAACGCCGCTTTCTGGCATGGAATTTGGGGAAATCGTCTGAGCGTTCCATTTCTTCTACTAGTATTCAAGCTGATTCATATGAATTTGAAATATTCTCCACAAGCTTGATTTGAACGCTGGCAGTATTTATATATGGCTATTCATTGAATCTCCAACTTCTTCAGTGCAGAAATCGAAATCGATGTCCCTTGCTCAGTTGCTTACGACTGTTATTCTGATCGCGAATTGATCTCGGAATGGATGCCGTTTATATCGTCAGTGGAGGTACTCTTCCTACCCCTAATGAAGTTAGCCCACCCATCGGATCCGTTCATACAATATCTATTATATGTCTTGGGGAAGCTCGACATATCGGGGATTAAAGGGTTTAGTACTCTTTAATCTCGGTATTAAAGCCGATCCTGTTAAATTTTCCACACTGTTCTCATCAAAACCGTAATGATCACTCATATAATTCCACGCACTATTGGAATCTAGAGAGAACCGCTGATATCCATACGTTCGCACCCATTCACACTTCTCCACTCTTTTTTCGATCTTCATTCATTGATTTTAAATCTAATTATGTCGGCAATGTCTCAGCCTTCATTCTGAATCGGATCAAATGGTGCTTTTAACTGAACTTTGAGTGTATGTTTATGGTCTGTGTTACATTTGGTTCAGTTTGAATCCGACATGCTCTTCATCTTCCAAAGTTTTTCTTCAATACACTTCCATGAACATAGGTGCTCTCAATCTTACCAGATTTTGAAGGACAAGCCCGACCTGTCTCGATGGACACTTAAGTACGAAATCTTTGGTCGCGACGTTGAGTTTGCATGGCTTGCCAGAAATATGCAGGTGGTCCCCATGAGGAAAAAATCCATAGTTTACCACTTTTATGGATATTTTTTTGTTGACTGTTTTGGTCTGTCGTGCTCAGCCAATAAGAAACCAGAAAATCCACTGGCGGTCTCTTGAAGGCCTTCCAAACAGGTGCGTGCAATCCAGGGATCGTTATTTTCATGTTATTTTGCAACACAAGAGTTTGAGAACATAAGTAAATAATTACTGGGAAAGAAGTAATCAATGAGTGAATACATGACCCTTGGGTAATATCTAATGTATTTATGTCTACATATATGTGGACATTTCTGATTAAGAATAGGAGAAACTAGACGGTAAATCCTAGGGAAAAATATTTATATTGAGAGTTAGGGTGCTTGTGTACACTGATTTTGGGTAATATCTCACATTTTTATATGTATAGACATTGCTGACAAACGAAGGAAATTCAGGAAAAAAGTGGTTTTTGGAGAGTCCAGGTGCTTTTAATCTACGTTTTGGACAATATCTGATGAACATACGTGGACCACTGTGGATCAAAGGGGAAACGATATGTTAACATTAAATTACAAGAAAACATGGGCTTATTGAGAGTAAGGATACTTGATTGAATACACGACTTTTGGATAATCTAATGCACATATGTGTATCTGTGTATAGGTAGTGTTGATAGAAAAGGAAACGAGAAGCTAACCATCAAAATTTTGTAAAGAATGGCCTATTTCATTCATGGTATTGCTGATTAAGAATAGGAGTCAAGGTGCTTGAGTGTGCAGTTTTTGGTTAAATATATAAGGAAGATCTTATGGATTAGTTTTTCAATCGTGTGGTTTAATATATCTTTGTGTTGTGAATAGATGATCGCCTGCCTTACTTAATGCCTGAAATTCTCTGTCATCAATGAAGTGGTCACCATGTTTCCCTACTTGTCAGTATCCATTCTATAGAAGCTCAACAATGATTTCCCTCATTTGTTAACATACTGAAGTGAATGGTCCGGCTGTTTGGAGTGAAACTCTACCATGACCAGTTGCTGGCAACGAACAAGAGAGGCCCAAGAAGAAGAATAGGGGGGTTGAGGGCGGGGGCGCCTTAGATGGACAGCCTCCATATTCTTATTGATTCCTCTAGTTTATGAAGATATTAGTGGTTCATTTGGTTAGCGTCATTACTCTGTGTGTGTGTGTGTGTGTAAGAGAGAGAGAGAGAGGGGGAGAGACAGAGACAGAGACAGAGAGAGACAGAGAGACAGAGAGAGAGAGAGAGAGAGAGTCAGTCAGTTAATTGATTTATCAAAAGTTTTATAAATATATTTGTGGTTCATTTGACTAGTGACGTGAATGCGTTTCCCAAACTATTCTCTACAAGTACTTTTCCTTCAGTTGTATGCTTAATGATGTGCAGGGGAGCAGTAAGATTTTACCCAAAGGGCCCATCTTCATGCAGAATAGTGGTGAGACTTTGCTTCATCTGCATTTCCCCCCCTCCCACTCCGATGCTCTCTCTCTCTCTCTCTGTCTCTCACTCACTCACTCACTCCCCATCCCCCTATTGACATATCTCTCAGTGGCTGAAATGTAAGATCGGTTCGTCCCCATCTGTCTGTCTTTCTATCTATCTATCAATCTTGTGGGATTGTGGGTGATGACTCTACCAGAGCCCAGTAGTCAACCCTCTCTCTCTCTCTATCCCTCTCTCTCATGGTGATATTAATTCTTCTCGCAGCTGACAGTCTCCTACGAAATTCCTCAGATCCTGGCCCCCGTGGCATCGGTAAATATCCCTTTCCTCGGACCATGCCTTAATGGGTTGGACCAATACTCAAATGGTCTCACTTTATGAGCTTCTGAGCCTTAATGGGCCTCCGGCCAAGAGGCCATTTTTCATGGCCTGCCCCTAAAAGCCTCAACTTTCTCTCCGCAGGCTGTGAAACCCTTCCTCGAGGGCCTCCTCCTCCGTGGCTTGGAGGCCTTCAGCACCTTTGCCAAGAAGTATAAAGCCGGGGTACCATAAAGGAAGGAGCCCATCTGGGGCGGTGAGTCCAGCCCAATTGATCACAGCCCCAAAGGGAAGGAGAGGGGAAGGGACCCGGCTCAACTCAATGGCTCGCAATTCATTGAGCCAGGGTGGGTCCATCTTGGACCATCTGGGTTCCAATATTTGTTTATAATTTGACCTGTATTTGGCATTCGTCTTTCCACTGTCTTGAAATCATCTCACTGGAGAAACAGGGACGCTGGCTCAGTCGGCCTCTCCGCGCAAATAATGTATTTGTTGTGGGGTACTAATACCTGACTCTCTCTCTCTCTCTCTCTCTCTCGCTCTCTCTCTCTCTCTAGCCTAATGCTAGAGTAGGTTATATGAGAAACTTTCTGCTGATTTGGTTACTTTGGATGACTATTTTAAAAGGGTATATCATCAAAATATGAGATAAAAATAAGTTTAATAATAGTAAGTTTATAAAACAGTAGGCCCATGCTTAAATTATTTAGTTCTTAGTAAAATGAATCTTAGATAAATCCAAGACTAAGCATCATAAAAAATAGAACCAAAGTGAGTTACGAGAACAAAATGAGTTGTGGAGCCTGATGGCCTCTCTCTCTCTCTCTCTCTCTCTCTCTCACGCTAAATAGAAGGGGAAGGGGAAATAAGTAAATGGGATTATAAACACAAATAGTTAGCAATGAAAATGTAGGGTCAAGATTTTATTAGATGTAAGAGTACAAACACAAATATAATAAACATAGAGTTAATATAATAAGGTATCTGTACTACATGTCATTTGGTGGTTTGTGTTTGTCTATATAATAAGCGCCTCCCTACCCTGTCTTCCCTCTCTCCATAATTCAATTGTCATCGACCCATTGAGTTCCAGGGTTCTTGCTGCTCAAGGTGCAACTGTCACTGTCACTGTCACTCCTTGTGAGGGACAATGAGGGGGTAAGGGAGAAATGACGAAGAAGGTGGAGGAGGGAATGGAGAGGAAGCTCACCATCGTTGCCCGCGCCATGCACAAGGTGTAACTGTCACTCCTTGTGAACGGGCCCTGATCTGAACTCCAGTTCTTTGCGCAGGGCTCCCATCGGTCGTCTGCAGACTAGGAGGGTGTCCTTGTGGAGCAAGGACTAGTGGTACGACCACAAGAAAACCTCCAAGTTCTTCTATGAGACTTGGGTCGTCAGTAGCTGAACTTTTATCCAGGAGCCTCCAACCTGAGACCCATGGAGAAATGTGTCGACCCAAAGTCCTATGACTATTCAACGTGTTGATGAACAGTAGTCTATGTTGACCTAATTTAAATGAAATCACGAATATAGGTTAAAAGCATCTAAACAATATTAGAACACATTAGAAACTCAATTCATGTTCGATCTTGATACATTTTCTAGCTGATTAATGACCCAACAATTGATATCAAAGTTGACCTCATCAAAAGATTTAATGATCTTAAGCAGTAACTCCATGGCTATCATCTCAAGAAGGTTATTTGGTAAAGGACATTCCACATTGACACCTCCCATATTTGATGACACAAATTATCGATACTGAAAAACCCATATGAGAGTATATATTAAACAACAAAAATTTTAGTGTATGAAAAATGTTAAGTAATGGATCTTATGCTACAATCCCAATACATGGAATTTCAAAGGATCATGTAGAGGGATTACTATCGTTAAATTAAAAGGCCATCATTACCTTTGGTTGTGTTCTCAACATGAATGAATGTATTCCCACTTCAGGCTGTACTACAACAACAAAAAAATTAGGATAAACCTGAAATCACATCTGAAGGAAAGAACAACATTTAACAATGACAATTTAAATGAACCAAATAGTCAAAGCTTATGCCTTACAACCAAGATATATGAGGTACACGTCAATGACCAGAACTTTGATCTTTCTATGAATGAAATGTATGGATTGATTTATTAAAAAAATTATGAATATAAAAATACCAACAAGTACTGAAATACACTATTAAAAATAATAAATGATTTAATCAAGAAAGAATGAAATTAAGAAGTGAGCAGGGTAAACTTAACATTCGTGTGATGAATAGAAAATAGAACTTCCTATTTTCAAAATTCATAATCAGAATGTACAAAGTTGCTTAGAAAATTTATCATGGTAGGCATAAATTGAACTTAATATTGGGAAGTCAACATAAGGATACTATTAAATAGGGACTAGCTTACTTATAAACTACTAGAAAAGAAAAAAGAAGAATAGTAGGAGTTCTACCAGCCAACATCTTTAGAAGTGCTGTATTGTGAAAACTCAAACTACACATCCATACAAAAGAAGAAAGGTAAAACAAGGTTGAGGACTTGTTGGTGAAAGAGTCTTTGAGGGTTTGAGTGGTAGCTTATCATCATTTCCTTTAGTCCTCAAGGATGAGAAATTCTCACTTGGACTCCTTCGAGGAAGAAGGTGTGCACACCATTTTGAATTTTCTCTTCTGCATTTTAGATGCTCTGTTTGTGGCATGAAATCTCCCTGTTCTATAAAGCATATTGGCCTCTCCACCAGTCATTTACATTGGCTGGATGATGGTATATTTTAAGTTATGTCAGGGCTTCAAATTTAAATTCTATAAAAAATCATTAATCTCATAAAATCATAAGAAATCGAAATCTCTAAATTTTTTGGACCATTGGTGGCATCATCTTCCTCTTTCAATTAACTTCCAAGAAGCGCAAAACCATTGACTGATTAAAAACAATTGGTCATTTTTTGTATGAATTAGGAAATTTTATCTTTCAAAAATTTCTCTTTTGGAATTTCACAAAACCACTTACCATTGGTTGCATCATGTTCTGAAACTTTCTTTGATAATCAACAATCTAAATCACATGAAAATATATAATTATACTATAGAAGGTCAATCAAACTAGCATCCTGTAGAGTTTTTCATGGTCAAAATAACTTACCTTCCATAAGATAATTATGCTTAGGAAATTATATGATGTAATATCTTGATATTTTAATTCCATATATTCTGTCTTTTCTTTTCTAAAAGATGACTTCACTTCCATTCATTGAGTTGAATTAGAAAAGCCCCTTCTTTTTTATGTCATGTATATATCTATTGTCCAAGTTCAATTTGGATATGATCCACTTGATATCTCATTAATAATTTGTGTTTTAAAGTAAAGATTTGTATGGCCTTCAAGAAAGCTTGACTTTTAATTCATACACAATTAAAATTGTTGTATGCCACTAAATCAATTGCACTCTTTTGGAAGCCAAATTCTTAAATCTATCAAAGATCCTATTTCTTCTTTATGTATTTTATAATCTACAAGCTTATACAATCATCAAGATCAACTTTGATCTTGCTATACATAGATGTTTTCTTCTCTTTTTCTTCTAACTATTTTTCTGAGATTTATATAGTATATTTTAATTAAGAGATGAATCTTTCATATTTTTATTTATAATAAAAAAAATAGATATATTCTCCCATCATACTCATCTCAAATTCATTCTTCACTATCTTAAATATTCAGGACACAAATTTTCCTTTTAACATCTAAATACTAGGCATACAATATATACTTGAACAATATGTGTCTAGTTTTGTTTCCTTAGTAGGTAGAGTTGTGTCAATACTTCTCTCAACGAATTTCCCAATAAGAGTCATGCTAATCTCTCATAACAAGTGATCAAAGCATGCTGTGAGACTCTTCAAGGCTTTAGATGATTTCAGAACATGATTAGGATATTCTAAACTTTTAAAACCAGAAGTTGACTTACATATACTTCCCATTTGATTTACCATAAAAAAATAAATTACATTAATTTAATATCATTTTCAACAGAGTTCTAATTAAATATAATCTAGCTAAAAGGGCATAGGTTTCATAACTAATCATTCCCCCAACTTGGGTATATATTTGTGCTCAGAATCCAGTCTTATTTTATAACCACTTTTCATCATCATTTAACTTGTTTAAGAAATATATTTAGTTCGTTTGACATACATAGGTTTTCGTATGAACTAATGACCAGATTTTTTTTTTCTCAAAATTAATTATTTAATCATTTTATAAATACAATTTTCATCTTAAAATACATCTTCCACATTTTTTCTGAATGTCAATAATTAGCTCACTCAATTTTCCATACTTTCAATCTCAATTTAGTTTAGAATCATTTCTTAGCATCTCTCAAATTTTGATTTATTGGATAACTTTTTTAACATATTTTCATTCTCTTTGAAGAGTCTTTTTTTCAAGATTTTTCTTTCATTCAAGAAGCGCTAGATCATATGATTGCTTGAAATTTCATAAATTCATTTTCTAATCATTTTTCATGACTCTTAAAATAAAATTATTTTTCATTTTGTTTTTAAATAATTATTTTATTATTTAAAAACAACCACCAAAGTTATTTTGTATTAAACTCTACATACTCTTGAATTTTCATTAAACATTTGAAAATTTTCTTCACTACTTCTATGATTAAATATTCTTGTTTCCTTCTAGTATTTATAAGAATAAATACTGTGCATCTGAATGGTCAAAAGTAACCAGTGCATGATTTTTTTTAAAAACTCATCAAGCAATTTCTTTAGCTATGCATCTGATCAAGCTTGTATTGATGAAATAGAATATGATATTTAAGACTTCCAGCCAATACTATTTTGGCTAGTCATTTAATACTAGCATAGTCTTAGAAATATATAGCTTTGCCTTATTTTGTCTGTCAAAACACAATCTTGTTGAGCTGTTTTAGCACTAAGAAATTCATTTACTATTCCTTTACTATCAAAATATTCTAACATTTTCATATTTTCAAATTCTCAACTGTGACCATTTTAATTCTATTAATCCTCATTTCCTCTTCATTCTCTATTTTTCTTCTGATATTTCTAAATTCCTTGATTATATCATCTTTATTTTATAACAAATTTACCCATGTAAACTAGAAAAATCATCAATGATCGCAAACTCAATTTTTTTCCACTAAGACGACACCATAGTTGGTCCAAATAATATATATATATATATATATATATATAATAGTTCTAAAGGTTGGTTGGTTGTGACCATATCATTTGATTTATGACTTTTGTAACCTATTTTCCTCTAATTCGTGTCACAACAAAAAAATTCAGGTTAGACATTCATTTCCCTAACTATAGTTTTTGAAACCTCATGTTAATTTGTCCTAATTGTTAATTCCACATTTCATAGAATTTCTATAATCATTAGGCACCGAAGTAAATTACTCAAGTGGGTTCTAAACAACATTATTTCTACTAACTGAATAGAGGATTGTTTAATTATTCTAAGAATTCAAAACACAACAACAATTATTTTTGAACTCTAGTTTTATTCCATTATCACATAACTCACTAATGCTAATAAGATTGTGTTAATCTTTTTATTTAGCATCACAATTTCCATCAAAACATGATTATTTAACATGCATGTTTTCCATTCTAAATTTTTTCTCTACATTATCCCCATAGGTTACTTCACCCTTTTTTCAACGAATGAGGTAAACCAAACTCTATATTGAATCGTATGTCTTGAATATTCATTGTAGGTACCATGGAGCATCATCCACTTGGAAAACCCCCTAAAATAAATAATTTTTATTTCTGCAGGGGGATTTAGAAATAATTTTGACTTATATTTCTAAATGGTATTTGTAAATTTTGAAACATTAATAATCTCATTAATTTTTCACAACAATATCTAATGAGTATGAATTTTTTTTTATTCTTCTATTTATTCCCCTAATCATCTAGTATACCCAATTTCTTCCTTATTTATAAGTGTCAACTAGGTTTCAATCATGTTATTTAAATTTTTTTAGCTGTCATTATTTTTTTTCTAGAATTTTTTATTTTCAAATTTTCATCATAAAGATTTTTTTTTCAATCATGTTATTTAATTTTTTATATTTTTCGAAATTTTCAGTAAGGTTTCAAAAGCACATCTCTCTCTCTCCTCTTTAATTTTTTTTGTGATGGTTCATAATCAATGGTTTTCTGTGAGCAAAGTCCCTACTTTTCTCCTCTCCTCTCCTCTCTTGTCATTTTTGCCCAAAAAATTCAAAAACTCTATTGTCCCTCTCTATCTATCCAAGGGACGAAAGGGCAGTGTATTTGGTGTCCCTTACAATCAAAAATTGGGGCCTCGTAATCACAAGCCAATATGAATATGTTTTTCTCCATATCTTTTATCTTTCTTCATGGTATGATGTTCTGGTGTCCAAGCCATAAAGGAAAAATAAATTGGTGATAAATAAACCATCCATGCTTCTTTGTCTCATGATCTCTTAGATATTTCATAAAATGAACTCTCTATGGATTCCCAATGATCAATCCTTACATGAATCGCTAAGGATCTTAGTAGTCTAACATGGATTCCTTTGGAGGTGTTAATTGGGCAAATACGTCCATAGTGACTAGGAATGAAATCTTGTATCCAAAAATTTGCAGTTCACCCTGTCACCTCTAGGACCTAAAAAATTATTTTAAATTCCTTAGTTGTAAAGATATGTGACCATGAAAAAGAGATTAAGTGTAACATAATTGACTGGGCCGTAGGATCATGGAAACACTTGTTTATTCCATATTTTTTACCATAGCTCCATGGAACAATATGCTAATGCTGAAACATGGAAGAATTTAAAATAATCTATGGAGGATATGAATTGTCTAAACAAGAATTCTTGAATAGAAAACAACTAGAGCCTATTAAAAAGTATACCAAAAAATTTACATTAATGAAAGCATGTAAATCCATCACAAAATTAAAAATACGCATGTATGATAAAATGTTTGGTTCTATCTGCTCGTTGCCTAACATACATAAATTGACTTCCATGGAAAGACTAATTCATTCAGTTAAACATGAGGCTCAACTACATCACATTGCATTCCATTGCATTCCTAGAATCCTCATTGTATATTTTTAGTAGGTTGACCTTGCTTCTCTTCATGGTACAACCCTCCATAGAGTCCCCTTTCACTTTGATCCATAGAAAAACAAAAATATATCGAACTGTCACTAATAGTTTATCACAAAAGAAAGGACACACCGAGGGTAACTAACTAATAATAATATAATTGTGAGCACAAAGGCCCACTATAGGCCTCTTGACCTTCCCGCACCTCTTGGCCCTTTACCTTCTTCACCCCTCTATCTCTTAGCCTCCCCATATCCCTTAGTATTCGCCTTCTCACCTAACTCTTCATCTTCCTCTCTCTCTCTCTCTCTATATATATAGGGAGACATGTACCCCTCCTATTTCCTTAAGCAATACATCTTCTATTTGTGTACAATAATAAAAAAAAGAAGATTTTGAGTACTATATTGAACATATCGAAAAAGCCTCCTTGAGCTTACGTAAACTAGAAATAGAAGCCAATGAATATTGAGTCAATAAATACTCCGTAATAGAATGAGAAAAAGAAATTTTGATTAATGTTACTTCTGATAACTTGGAAAAATTAGAAAATTAAAAAAATAAAACCCTTCTTTTTGAACAACAAATTATGACTTTGTGCAAGGAACACCATGTGAAACAGCATATTAAGTGACTAATGTCACTCCACAAGTTCAAGGAGGTGCTTGTGGCATTCACCTACTTTGATAGACAACACATTGCAAGCAAATATGTCAGAGAGCTTACCATTGGTTTCTATTAGAGTCACGAGTTTGATGTAGTCGGTCCAAAAGTAAAGGGAGAACACTAGTTGACAGAATTCAACCCTTTTTGAGTATTCATTTGTAATTCTTTGATTCCTCATCTTAGATCCTCTATTAATAAATTTGGGAATCTAATTTAAATTATAACCTGAATAAGAAAAATCCTATTTTTTATTTATATATAAGATAAACCCAAGAAAACAATAGAAAAACTTTTGGTTGTGTGAACCAAAGAGAATGCTGATTTGGGTTGTACCAAGTCTGAAACTAAGTGGATTTATATTTTTGTCCCATAATGTCAAGTAGTAGGTTCACTAAGTTCTACTACAGCAGTACCAAATCAATGTCAAAATCAGAGTTCAGAAGGAACGCTAGCTGTATGCTTAACATATGCAAGTCAAACATTGTTTTCAGGGAACTAGGAAGAATGAAAGGTATATAAGTAAATTTTGTCGACATACCCAGAATGTTTCAGTTTATCAATACATATATGTTGTATAGCTCCCCAAAAATATCAATGGTGCTTATATCCATCACTATAGGAATTGGGTTCAAGCTTTCCTCAGCCCCTTTTCATGAATAGACTCCTTAAGTATGCGGAGTGCAGTTCATTAAAGAAATTCATATCTCTATATCTATCTCTGAGATGTTTAGATTTTTCAAAACTCCATAGACATATAGAAATTCTTTGTCTCCTTAAAAACCGTGCCTGAGACTTTCATCTCGCATGGCTCCAAAGTGATAAAAGAAAGAAACACTTGCCTTCTTTCTTTTGTTTATTACCTTCCTCGCATATGATTCCCTAAAACTTGCCTTCTTTCATTTTTTATTACCTTCCTTGCATATGTATAAGATTGAATCCACTCGATTTCTAAAAAGGATTACTAATCCTTAAATTTTTTAGGGGCGGCATGCTTAATACATGCAAGTCAGACGGCAAGTGGCGTTTCCACTGCCGAACAGTAATGCGTAAGAACCTGCCCTTGGGAGGGGAACAACAACTAGAAACAGTTGCTAATACCCATAGGCTGAGGAGAAAAAGGAGGAATTCGTCCAAGGAGGGGCTAGCTAGTGAGGCAATAGCATCTCAAGGCAATGATTAGTAGCTGGTCCGAGAGGATGATCAGCCATACTATCATTGAGACACGGCCCATACTCCAAAGGGAGGCAGTAGTGGAGAGTTTTCCTCAATAGGCGAAAGCTCGACGGAGCAATGCCATGAGGAGATAGAAGTGAAGGCTTAGCTCCAGCTCCACTTTTAACTGCTATAGCTCTTTATTTCTATCGAGTTGTCCAGTGACGGACAAGTTGGGCATACTTGCAACTTTAGTTCGTTATAGTTCTTTTGCAGGGTTAATCTGGGCCACACATCACCATGAGTTATAACGGTGGATAAGTGGCCACGTGAGACACGGTGCCAACTCATCCACTGGTCGTTAGACTCACTCTCTCTTCCCACCTTATTGGATCTCTATAAATAAGAGACTATGTGTTCAATGAAATGTGCACTGCACATATTCAGTACTTGAATTCATTTGAGTATTCTTGATTCTTTTTCCAATTTCTTATTTTCATTTTTGACTTCGGAGTACTTGAGGTCGTTCTTGGCTTCATGAAGCTAACAAGTGGTATTAGAGCAAGTTTGATGGGATCAAGAAGATGGCAAAGAAAGGTGGCGAGACAAGTACCTCCGGCGAGCATGGGGGGGAGATGGCGGCACCAGTGCCATCCCTCAAGCTCTCGAGGACCAATTACCGCATTTCGTCAATGAGTATAGAGGTATATCTTGACTCTCACGATTTATGACAGGCCATTGTGGGAGAGAATGTCTCCAAGAAGAAGGATCAGCTGGCACCTTGGCCTCGACAGAGTGATTTAGTCACGCATCCAAGGTTTGAAACGTGAGTACGAAGTTCTCACTATGACAAAGGATGAAGTTATAGTGGATTTCACGATGAAATTCACTAAATCATCTCTGAATTGTGGAACTTGGGAGAAGCAATGGAAGAGCGAGACATTGTGCGTCAATTTCTGCGGGTGATGCCCTCAAAATTTGATGCACTTACCTTGTCTCTAAAGTAGTATGGAGATCTAGAAAAGGTTAGTCTCGACGAAATGATTGGCTCACTTACCGTTCACGAGTTGCGGCTTAAAGAATGCGAGTCACGTGAAGAGGAATAGACATTGCTAGCTAGAGCGCTAAGTAAATCAAAAATTACAAGTGAGGAGGAGTTCTCATCTCACAGAAGAGGCCATCATCGCGGTCGCGGTAGAGGACGAGGCAGAAGTTGTGGTCGAGGATGTCATCTGCCTCATGATGAAGAGAGAAAGACATTTAATAAGTCCAACATACAGTGCTATAAGTGTTAGAAGTATGGACACTTTGCATATGAGTGTCATAGTGTAAAGAAAGAGAAGGAGGATCCAGCATATGTGGCAGAATCCTTTGATCCGGTGGCAATTTCCTCTTTCCTAATGGCAGTGGTGGAAGAACATGTTGAGCTACTTCTTTAGGGCTCTCATAGTGAGCTCGATGATTCAGACCTATGGTATCTTGACACAAGGGCCACGAATCACATGTCTAGTCATTATAAATTTTTCAAAGACTTTGTGGAATCACCCTCCAAAGTAGTTTAGTTTGGAGATAATTCACGAGTGGATATTGAAGGTTGTGGGAGTTTGATAAATCAAAAGAATAGAGGACAGTTACGATTGACAAATATACTCTTTGTTCCTAAATTGAAGACAAATATTTTGAGTCTTGGCCGCCTGGATGAAGAAGGCTGCCGGATGACAGTCCATGGAAGTAAGTTAACCATCTTTGACCTTGAAGGTCATGTGTTTGCAGATGTCCAACGCACTGAGGGATGACTTTATCTACTGACGCTAGATGTTGAACCTTATTGTCTCCTCACCTCAGCTTGAGAGTTAGAGAATTAGTTGTAGCACTCTCGATTGGGCATTTAAATTTCTATGCATTGAAAGAGATGTCAGGCAAGTAGTTAATTGATGGACTTCCTCATATCAGTATACTTGACCATATCTGCCGTAGTTGTGTTGTCGGCAAGCAACATAGGTCTCCATTTTTCTCTACATCAAATTTCAAAGCTTCAAGACCTCTAGAACTTATTCATATTGATTTATGTGGGCCAATTACCCCATCCACATTAGTGGGCAGTAAGTATTTTCTTCTAATTGTGGATGACTACTCACGACTAATATGGGTGGCCACGCTAAAAGCCAAGTCAAGTGCCTAAGTGAATTCAAGCGATTTAAAGTGCTAGCAGAGGCAGAGAAGAACAACAAAATTCAATGTCTTCAATCAGACAGAGGAAGATAGTTTGTTTCTAACAAATTCACAGAATTTTGTGTGTCATAGGGTATTAAATGTCAATTAACTGCCCCCTATTCACCTCAACAGAATAAGATCGTGGAGAGGAAGAATAAAATAATTATGTCCTTAGTTTGATGCATGCTTAAAGAGGACTTACCTCGAGAATTATGAGAGGCTATAAGTACTTCTGTTTATCTACTAAATCAATATACCACTCATAGCTTGAAGGGTTTAACTCCATATAAAGCTTGGATCGGTCAAAAGCCCCATATAGGGCATTTATGAGTGTTTGTATCAATTGTGCATGTGAAATGCACTAAAGGCTCCTAGAAAAAGCTTGAAGATCGTAACCATCCTATGGTGTTTATTAGCTATGAAGTTGGTTCAAAGGCATACTGCTGTTTTGATTCAATCAACGGCACAGTGCATATTAGCCGTGACGTGATTTTTGAAGAAAATAGAAAATGGAACTGGACCCAACGAAGTAAGAGTGTTCCTCCACTCACTTTTCTACTTGAATTATCTACTGAGTAGAGACTAAAGGAGCCAAATGTCTCAGAAGAAGCTAAAGGCAAGCAATTTGAGACTCTAAATGAAGTTCCAACATCTCACGCTGAGTCTCAAGAAGGTGAGCCCCTGAAGTATAAATCTATTGCTCAGATTTACACTAAGACAAGCCCAATGCCAAATGATGATAAATATTATCTTCTCACATTCAAAGAATTAGCCAATTATAGTGAAGCAGCTCGAGATGAGTCATGGAAGAAAGCTATGATAGATGAGATGAAGGCTATCGATCGAAGTCAAACCTGGGAACTAGTAGCTCCTTCATACGACTGCAAGCCGATTGGACTCAAGTGGATTTTTAAACTCAAGAATACAACATAAGGGTCAATTGTGAGACACAAAACACGACTAGTTGTGAAAGGGTACTCACAGAGATAGGGCATAGATTATGATGAAGTCTTTGCCCTTGTAGTGAGGGTTGAGCCCATACGAGTCCTCATAGTAATTGCTACTCAGATAGGTTGGACTTTGCATCATCTCAATGTCAAGTTTGCCTTTCTAAATGGAGAATTGGAGGAGGAGCTTTACGTGAAGCAGCCGAAAGGGTTCATCATGAAGGGCAGAAAGGATTTTGTCTTGAGATTGAAAAAAGCTTTGTATGGGTTGAAGTAGGCTCCACATGCTTGGTATTTCAAGCTCCATAAGTGCCTCCTAACACTTGGTTTCTCTAAAAGCTGTCATGAACAAGCTGTCTATCTGAAACAATCAAGAAAATAGAGGTTAAAAGTTGGATTATATGTGGATGACTTAATTGTTATTGGCTCAAGATCATGTGATGCCGAAGAATTCTAGGGGCAGATGAAGGACCAATTTGATATGAGTGATCTTAGATCAGTAAGTTCTTATTTAAGAATTGAGATCAGTCAAGGTGTTGACTGCATCTACTTCAGCCAAGGCAGATATGCCCGTTGAATTCTAGAGGTAAAGGGACTTCTGAATTGCAATCCGTCTCAAACACCTCTGAAAACTCGAGTCAAGTTCAGCTAGCAAGTTGAAGGCACTTGTACAGATCCCACTGAATTTTGGAGCATTATCAGGAGTTTGAGGTATTTGACTTACACTAGACCCGATTTAATCTTCTCTGTTGGATTGTTTAGTAGATACATTGAGAATCCAACCTCAAAACTTCTCATAGTAGTAAAATGAATTCTAAGATATGTTAAAGGCACGATAGATTATGGACTTGTCTACTTGAAGAATCAATTAGAGGATTCTTTTATTGACTATAGCGATAGTGACTTTGCCGGTGATGTTGATGATCGAAGAAGCACTTCGAGGCAAGTCTTCTTCCTAGGTTCATGCATCATTAGTTGGGCTTCACAGAAGCAGAAGACGGTAGCCTTGACCTCGTGTGAAGCTGAGTACATTGCCACTACATCAGCCGCTTGTCAAGGAATCTAGTTCAATTGGCTCATCAGTGAGTTAAAGGGACTAGAAGAGAGACCCATGAAATTGTTCGTGGACAATCAATCAGCAATCACTCTAAGCAAGAATCCTATGCACCATAGCTGTACAAAATATATTGACATAAGATATCATTTTATTCGGCAATGTGTGGAGGAAAAGAAGATTGAAGTTAAATTCATTCAGACGGAAGATCAGATGACTGATATCTTGACCAAATCACTAGGAAGGCTGAAATTTTTGGAGATGCAAGAGCGACTAGGTGTTCGGAGCATTCGCAACAAGAGTAAGGAAGAGATTGAAGGCTTAGCTCCAGCTCCGCTTTTAATTGTCATAGCTCTTTGTCTCTATCGAGCTGTCTAGTGACGAACAAGTTGGGCATACTTGCAACTTTAGTTCGCTAAGGTTCTTTTGTAGGATTAATCTGGGTCACACATCACCATGAGTTATAACGGTGGATAAGTGGCCACGTGAGACACAGTGCCAACTCATCCACCGGTCATTAGACTCACTCTCCCTTCCCACCTTATTGGGTCTCTATAAACAAGAGACTATGTGTTCGATGAAATGTGCACTGCACATATTCAGTACTTGAATTCATTTGAGTATTCTTTATTCTTTTTCCGATTTCTTATTTTCCTTTCTGATTTCGGAGTACTTGAGGTCATTCATGGCTACGTAATTCCTATTCAGTTATTATTTAATTATTCTTCATTCTCATAAGGTGGAGAGCACTGATGTAATATGCATGAGCCATTAATATGGGGGTGCTTCCAGTGTTTGTCGGTCAGTGGGTCGAGCGAGCTCCAAGACCTTGGACAACCCGATCAACAGCCCAGACCTAGTCCAGAAACCGACTGCTTAGGGCCCGGGTCCATCGGCCCATGTGGTCTATCATGTCAGCTAATATCTCTCTGTCTCTCTGTCTCTCCCCCTCTTTCTAGATATATATATATATATATATATATATATATATGTACATATATATATATATCTCTAGAAGTTTTTCTGGGTGACGAGGGGTTGTTGGGCATTTAATTGGTGCCCAGTGAGTGATGAGGAAGTACAGTGGAGCCAGGGGAATGGGGGGAGGGAAGGGGAGAGGAAGGGGTTGACCGTGTTGCTGGTAGTTGATCTGAACTCTCCCGCGACTTAGTAAGATGTCGCTCATTTGGGTCGGTGATGTGACTTGAAACTGACAGATCCCTCGATTTGGGGAAGAGAGAGATATAGATATAGAAAGATAGAGAGAGAGATTGTAGCCTGCGTGCCACTCTCAACAATCACGAAAGCATACTATTCTCCTAAACGTACCTCCGTGGAAGAAAGAAAGGAAAGTTACCTCATCGACTGTCCAGAGCCTAGATAACCACCGCAAGATGATAACGACGTCGACGATGACACTGAACCCTGCAGCCAGAGAGACGATGCACCGCGACCAAGCTCCGCCGGCGGTACGTCGTCGTCTGCGACATGGAAGGTGGCCTTCTACAGTCGTCCTCCTACTTCCCCTACTTCATAGTGGTGGCCCTGAAAAGTGGCGGACTTCTGAGGGCTCTCCTGTTGGAATTAATCTCAATGTGGATAATGATTCATTGAAGTTTAAGTATTTAAAATTACAACCTGTGTCGTAAGTATGAACATAAATATAAATATCTGTAGAGACCAAGTGTTATTCTAATTTTATAATAGGCTAAATTAGAAAAAGACACTTATAGTTTAACCACCTCTTGTCTATAAATAGGGGGTAACGGTCCTTGGGTCACACATCGTGAGTCACTCTTAGAGTATCTCATCTCTCTAGAGCAAGTCACTGGACGGCTTCCCTATGTTGATCCAAAAGATCATCCTCGTACTTGTGACTTCATGGATTCTGTTTTATCATTCTCCATCTATCTCAACACAAGATCCTTTAGATCCAACACCTCCTCCTCCTCGTCCTCCATCCCCTCCTCTCCTTCCTCTCTGAGGAGATGAGCATCAGGGCTATGACCCTGATCTACTTCTGCGGCGTCAACATCAGCAGCTTCTGTGTCAGTGAAGCCGTTCTTCCCAAGCACCTTCTTGGGGACGTGGGAAGGGACGGATTCCAGCTGCTCATGGCCGGGGAGAGGAAGGTATGCCTCAGTAGGATGCCCAAGGTGATGGTGGAGTTCTTGTGAAAATACCTCCGCGTGGAGGTGGTGAGGGAGATGAAGGTGGCCAGCGGGTACTACACAGGATTCATGGAGAAAATGGCGGGGGAGGAGGAGGCTCTGCTCGAACAGGAGGAAGTGGACCGAGAGCCTTTAGGGTTCACCGCCGAGGGGAAAGTCCCTCTCCATTCCCTCTTCTCCCGCTGCCAGGTCTGTGACTCTCTCTCTCTCTCTCTCTTCCCCGTCAGGTTGTTCTCCAATATGCATCCCAACGCGAGCGTGAGTGTTAGACCCCCAACTGGCATCGGATGAAATACTCACGGGATCCTCTCATCCACGTCGGGGAAACGAAGCAGACGGATAGGGTGGTGCCCACGTATCTCCGGAAACTCAGCCGAAGGCCATGGAAGATCATGAAGATGGGTGACGAACATGGCAGAAGTAGATATTCGATCATGGGCACATCAGGACTATAAAAGTTGGCCGACTTTTTGGGTAGTTCCCTAAGGCAGCTGCGGCTGAAGGACAGCGGGGGGCCTCTCGAACGTCCCCACTGTATCTACGGTTCTTTGGAGCCCAAGCCACTCTTTCTACTGTTTTATCTTCTATTTCCATTTCTACTTCCCATATTTCTTTTCCCATTATCTGTCGAAATTCGGGTTCCCGTTATTCATCCCTTATTTCTGTTCCAGTTATTTCCGATAATACTCACCAGAGAGAAAAACCAGTGCTTTCTTACGTCAGAATGGATCAAAACCCGGCCTTGGTCGATTGATCTTAAACAAAAAAAAAAAGATGAAAGATAAAACCCAGTGGTTTCTTCCTTGATTTTTTCATCCGTTCATTCGTTCATTGATTCAATGCCAGGAGGTGGTGGTGGTGAGCGAAAAGGAGAAGGCGGCGTGGCGGCCACTGCCGAGGGAGGAGTATCCGGAGGCATTGGTCTTCCACGACGGCCGCGTGGCCTTTCGGGCGACGCCGCTTGCCACCACCGCCATGTTCGTGTGGCTTCCCTTCGGCTGCCTCCTGGTGCTCATCAGAGCCGTCATTTTCATCTTCCTCCCCTACGGGGTCACCAACGCCGCGCTCGCCTTCACCGGCATGAAGTACAGGCTGGAGACGTCCCCTTTCATCCCCTCCCGGCCGCCGCCGCACGCCGGGTAGAGTTTATTTATTCCGCGGTGGTTTGCCGTAAATGTGATGATCAATGAACCGGACGGAGCTGAAAAGACGAAAGGGAAGGAGAGGAGGAGATCAAGATCGAAAACTAGCCGTTAATACCTCTTCAAACATGCGAGAAAATCAGAGTAGACAGCCTGATATGTAATCTTGGGGAAAACGGCAGATCATCGGTATGGGTGAAGAGCAGATGTACGCAATGATGGTTCAGGTCGCTTGGATGTCCGAGAGCTCCGTCAATGGGGCGGGCGCCTGCTAGCTAGCTAGGAGAATGTGCTATGGGGGGGCGTATTAGCTGCTGTGCTGCTGTTGAGGTCCCAGAACGGCCATCTCTCTCTCTCTCTCTCTCTCTCTCTCTCTCTCATACACACACACACACACATACAGAGGACAGAGGAGAGAGTTTCTTCCATCTACTTATCTGGAGGAAGGATGATGACCTTACATTGGAGATCTAAACACTCGAAAATATAAGATTAACCCTTTGAAAAACAAAACTACAAGGATTCTTCGTTTCTCAGCTTGAAACTTTGAGAGATACCCTGACGAACATCCGACCAACTCATGAAATTCGACATATCCATTCCCATATCTTTCTCAAAAAACCGCCCCCACCCCCCCTCCCTCCCTCCCAGGGCGAACTGGCCCATATTCTCCAAGCCGTAGCATAGCAGTAGTAGCAACCAGTGGGCAAGGTCTCCTGGTCTGCAAGCGTGAGAGCAACTTTCGAGAGCACCCAAAATTCCCAAAAGAAAGGAAACTCCATTAGAGAGGCACAAAGCATCAGAGACTAAGAACACATCATATGATGGCCAGTGCATCAGAAAAATAGAGAAGGCGGGTGCAGAGGGGGAGCACAAGTCCAGGACGTCCTCCTGGGCTTCCAGCTCACAGACTCCGGGCGACCTTCTCGTAGAGGTCTTGGGGCCAATTCCTGGCCATGTTGCTGGCCACAAAGCTCGATATCTGCAGGAGAAAGAGAAGAATAACCAGCAGGTAAGCAAGCAGAAGGCCAGACAACACTTGTCAAACAGAACAGAGACTTCACTTCTGATCCGGGCTGAAGAAGACAATTGCCACATCAAGGAAGGATCTGAGGAATTTATTTCTTTCTTTCTATGGGAAAATATGCAGATACTTAGTTACTATCTTTTTCCTAATACTTTAAACGATTCAAAATAGTACAAAATAGTCTCCAAGGAGAAAGTTCTTCCGCCATTCAAAACCTTTACCCCATAACTGTGCATCTATATTATATCCAGCAACAATGAACAGCATGAGAAATGGAATCATATAACTTGGGATAAGAATTTTCCTATGAATTTTCCCATAAATCCCTAGTTAATTATGCAGATAATTATGAAAGAAACTAGTATAAAAAAAAAATGAAGATAATTATGCAGCATTTACCTTGGCCTTCATGGCACGGAGTGTTCCATCAGTGTCTCTGACATTCTCCAAGCAGGTAAGAAGAACCTTGAGGAGATCTGGAACGCATGCTTGGACATGAGGAGACAACTTTTGGAACATGTCAGAGGCACCATCTGGTCTCCGCGGATCTAATGGTAGAAATGACAGCTTGGACACCTCCCTTAGGGCATCTGGATACTCATTGGTTCTGGCTAATTTATGGACGTACAATATTGCCTCAAGCTGCCTTAACACAGTTTGTTGTTCAGACATGTTCTCCCTATCTTGAAGGCTGCATGAAAGTTCCAGCATTGGAGATTATTCATTAATTGAAGATGGGGCCAATGATGTAAAAATCTAAAGCCAATGAAGAAACGGAGAGAAACTCTGATGAATTAATTGCAGAGCCTTGCAAGCAGAACACAATCGGTCCAAGAAACATACACAGACTGTATCCAATTTACATAACTCCCTGTCCAATCCAACAACAGGATGATGGCAGAATAACCCAAAAAAAATTATCAGCCTATAAGTTTGGGTGATTTCTTTTAGATCAATTGTAAAACCAGACTAGTTTTTCTCTCAACCCGTGGTTATCAAAGAGGTGAATCTCTTTCCCTAAGGAAGCAAGAACAAGAAATCTAAATTACGAGACAGGTTGCTGTATGCCATTTTATCCACCCTCTAAAAAATTATGATGGCGTAGCCTTGTAACAGGCGTTCCAGGGAGAGAAACACCACCAAAATCATTTGGAACCAAAGTAAATCTCCTGAGAAGCAAAGTTATTATTACTATAACACTCCGAGTAGATTTCATCCAAAATCCTAAATGACACAACACAAAAGTTTTTCCCAGTATGCGGATTGATATTGGTAGGAGCCTTGTCTTAAAGAAGCAACCAAATGCCTCTTTGTTTCATAAAAACCAACGGAATGCAGTTTGAAGAAGACAAACGCCCATAGAAGCGGAAGACAGAAGGCCAACCATTAGGAGAACGATTTTCTGTTGAAAAAAAATCAAAGCCTTGATATGTCAGCGATACTACTGAAGCGGGAAAAAGTCTGCAATCAGGATTACTATCTGTAAGTCAACCATAAGCATCATTCCCATCAAAATTGTAATTCACGTCCCCATCCAACTGCAACCACGTTTTTTAATCGAAATAGTTGCAGAGATTTGGGCCAATGTTCTTTCTTTTCCTTGGTTTCACCACGCAGAGACACATTCAGAAGTGTTATGCAATCCTCCATTCTAGAATGCTAAATGTCTGACACCATGGAGGAACACCCAGGATCAATATTTCATGGAGTTTCTACTGGTTCAAACGCACACCTATCAAGATCAGTTGCTTTTTTAACGTTCTAGTGACATGACTCATCAAAACATCTACATTGGTGCTGCGAAGACTTGCCACCATAAGCAAAGTTGCTCAATCTTGATAGCCAAAGTCTTTAATGTTGTATAGGTATAGTAAACACCTACTTATCTGATCTCATGAAATCAATTCAAAAATACTGTATTAAGTAATTGAAGAAAGCGCCTCAAGATACCAATGTAGATGACAAATTTTACTCACAAATGAATTGAAGATTGTATATTCTAACATAAATCATGGCAACTACAATATCTGGCAGGGTACGTGGACAAAATATGGTGTACCCATATGAAAAGCCACCACAGATACATGAAAGATATTTCAAACTAATTGAAAAAAATATTTTCAATGAAAATTTTCCAAATGGATATCTAACCTGGCTTCGGGAGAATACTTGTAAGCCTCTATGATTTCATTTCCAGAATGAATAAGACCACTGGTTCGGCTTTCACCATCCAACCTACCACGTGATAGGGCACATATTGCCTCCGAGAGACACTTGTTTATTGTCTCCAATGCAAAGACAAAGGCTCCAACTCTCTTGTGGATTTCAACAGACTGCAAAGTATTAAAACAGGAATCAGGTTCATTATATGAGATGGAATTTACATAACTTGTTAGAACAAAAAGGGTATAAAGTTTGTTCCAGTTCTCAGGTGAAAATCTATAAAGAACTTACAAGTTTGGATCAAAACGAAAAGATAATATAATGAAGACAATAAATAAGATAAATAAGCCGAAAAGATATTTGCGTGTGAAAAGGTCAAAGAAATTATTTTGTGGAAAAGAAAAAAAATCATATACGCCAACAGCAAAAGGAACGAAAAGAAAGAAACATCGAATTACAAAACAACATGGACCTCCAGTCAGACACTGCATATGGATAGGAACATGCTCAGCTATCATCTAGTAAATATTCTCACTACCTTTGTCCATCCAATCATTTATTAAAAACAGAAAGTTATGCATGCATCTCATGACAACGAGGAAGTGAGCCACCAGAATTTAATTTGGAAGAGATGATGGAAGTAGGAACACTGTAGACAAAAGACTAGGAAACGCATATCCTAGAATGACACCTTTCATCATATGAGAACCACGCAGTCCTTATCAGAGACTTGTGATTCAGATTTTGATCTAAGCAGGTAGACGAAAACACTTTTCAATCTTGGTTACCAAAAATAAAGCAGCTGATCTAGCAACATCCAACGCAGTAAGGGCTGGTGACGATGTGAAAAAGGATATTGCTTAAGAGTGACGTTACGGAATTGATCCACTGAAGCAACAAGACTTACGAAGTTCAAAGTTTTAAGAGCCAAACAAAAGTTGGGAAATTCAACAGTCTCCAAAAGAGGATCCACCAATGTCAAAGGGGCAGCTAGCCCTCATATATTATTTTCTTAATTGTCTGTTAAAGCGGACTGACAACTTCTGTACAATAACGTTCACCTTGAGCACTAAAACTCATTGCCACAAGTGAGGTCTATCACGAATGGAGTTGATCCCCGCTGGTGAAAACATACTTGGCCTCTATGTGCACATACGAACATAATTCAAAAGGTACTGTCAATCCCTTATTCCCCTTTTTTCGCCATTCCCACTACCTGTACCCCAGAGCCAAAAAACTCACACTGAAGTAGCCTACACACAAACTGAAGTAAGCCAAATGGAAGGCAGACAATGTCTAGGGACAGAACCATCATGTTTGGGTCCCAACTAATCAACAGGGGACAATCAAAGACGTTCTGAGGAAAACTGCATATAGAACTTTGCAATACATTCAACTTTAGTGTTCTCAATATTTTCAAGGCTATTCAACAACTATAACCAGATAGCACAATGTTTCATGACCATGATATCTGGTTATCAACGAAGTGCACCGCATGCTACATCTCTCTTCAAAAGTAATACGGCTTACCTAACAATAAACCTTAAACTCATATATCTCTTGACCTAAACAGCTCCATCCGTTGCCTTAAAGATCCTTCTCAACGTCCACTTCCTTATAATCCCTATAGTTAATCAGCTGCATTATGCTACTCTCTAGGAATCCAGAATCTAAAACATCAATCAGCCCACTGTCAGAGCTTGAGAAAGTGACACTAAAAATAGTATGATATTCGATTAGGAGGGCAATTTGAGCAAATGGACAACTAGACACAACATTATAGGTGTTTTCTGGTGAAAAACAACATAATATGATCACCTCACTAAGATTTTCATCATTAAAACCCAAGACAAGGACAGAGGTTCCAACAATCAACCTTCTACTTGATTGCTAAATTCACAAATCTTCTTCATCCACATTTTGGGATTCCTAGAATTGGAAAACTAAAAAAATTTATAGAGAAGTGAAATGTTACCAAGTTTAGTGAGATGAAATTATTACTTTTTAGAAATTACTTCGTCTAGAATCGTGAGAAAATAAAAACGTCAAAAATGAAAAGTAACCTTGTCATAAAGCCCAGCTTCTTGACATTGGCAGGCAGCTTCAAGTAAAAACTGCTGGCGGCTCTGCCAGTCAGGCAAATATCTTCTCAAAAAGCCTTCTTCACCAGCACCTTTTGGACCGAGCAGAAGAGGAATACCACCATCCCATAACAAGATCTCTGAAAGGAGTTGTTTCAGCATCATGCTTCGCTGTCTCTGTTGATCAACATTTCCTTGACCAGTCCATGACCGCTGCCCTCCTCCCATTGCAGCAGCAGCTTGCACATAGTACTCCAATGCAAGTGAAAGATCGCCATGACGCAGGTAAATGGATCCATAATGTCGAATTAAGCTAGCAACTTCAGCACAGGCATCCATAACAGCCAGCTTATGTCCAGCCCCTGCACCCTCAGGGAGGACGCCATGGTCTGCTAATGCAATTGAAATGTGGACAGCATCTACATTGTATCCTTCATCCCCAGTTTCCTTCGTCAAGTACAAAATTGCTGGAAGAAATTGAACACTCAGAAGCAACACATAGGGGTAAACCAAAGGGTCTTTCCCATTCTTTGTGTAGTATGAAGAATCATACTTGTTTAAATAGGTTTGGAGATCATCTAAACTGTACGGTACCAATCTGTCACTTAGTACAAGAGAAGGCACAGAACTGGAGACATCACGCACACACGACAACTTGAACCACAAAAAGTCCTCTATAGTACTGAAAAGGGATTGCATATCTCTAAGCAGCCGATCAATTTGACGGTGACAACCAGAGATGATAGCGTAAAGAAGTAACTTCTTCCGGTCATAGCCAGGTCTACCAGCACGATCACCAATCCTTAAAATTTTATCACATTCTTCTGAAGCCATGAGTGCAGTTTCATGGGATACCATACCACCAGTTGTAATCCATTCTCCAAGCTGCCAAAACATGCCAAATTATTTCCTCTAGCAAAAATTAATCAGATATGACAAACTTCATACCTGAGGTGCAAATTGGTAGGCAACACGAGATGATTGAGCAACATGTCTAGCTTCATCATAGTAACCAGTCCTTAGGCAAAAATAAATCTGCATTAAACGTAAGCCATCCCCAGCAGTTAGTTTCACTTGATAATGCAGGCAAAAAAAATTAAACAAACACAACTTCAGAGAAAAGTGGTTAAGACGCTATAGAAATGCCCACCTGTTGCCACGTAGTGTCAACTGGAGGTTGCTTACGAGCATCAACGGAATCAAAGTCTAATACCCCATGATCCCGCAAACGGACCTATAGTCACAGGAAATTGTATCCCAAAAATCTTAGCCTAGAGAATAACAATATAAGGAAAACCCGAAGAAATGTAAGGCAACAGAAGCTTAACTGACCCGAAGAAATGCACGAACTTTCTGCAAGTTTCCGACAACTCCTCCAAGAGCAGCCTATAATAATAAGTGGATGAAGCAACATAAGGAATGTGAAATAGTTGTATCAAGAAGAACTTTTAATGCAGAAAGGAAAAGGAAGACACAGGTTCATATTTCACCAGAACTGTCAACAAAAATAATAAATGTATAGGTCTAAAGAAAATTAGATAAAGGGAGGAAAACAGAAACATAATGAGCACAACATAATTAGTATCGAAGCTATTTTTTTTCATAAAAATTTAATTGGAGAGGAAGGGAAAAATCCTGTGGAGTGGCATACGGAACATCAAAACCTTATCATTACATGCAACCGAAAAAACCAAGATATAGAAAGTAGAAAACATTCAGAGTTCAACCCCTGCTTTTGCATCCTTGTAATTCGTAAAATGTGCTTAGTTACATGATACTCTCTCAAAAATGGTATTTCAACATAATAACATCTACAGAGATTCATAACATGTCATCTCGTACAGAAACCAAATTGACAACAATAGTACACAAAAGTTAGTTAACAATTTACACAAGGTGAGGCAACTAGCTATATAATTTACAATACAACCAAAGATGAATTTTAGCATAACACTGGGCATCAGGGTAAATATTTTACCTGAGAAGGATGGCTTTGGATAGTCTCTAGGATATACTTCTCATGACCAAATTCAAGATGGCGCCTTGCCCCTATTACAAGTGCCATCCTTTTTGAAATATTTTCTTGAGTGACTGAGTCTTCATTAGCCATTGTCTGGAAAGACAAACAGAGACTAAAGCTTATATTTCATCCTAGAGACTTATGCTTCAAGCAAGAGGTTTCTTCGAATACAAATTTCTCAAAATGGAGGCAAGAAATCCAAACATAAGAATATACCTGAATTAAGTGCCATATCTTTTGCATGCTTACTGTTTTTCCAACAGATGTTTCAATGCCAATAAATTCATGTGCAGCCCTGAAAGCTGTAGCAGGCTAAAAAGGAAAACGTTGATAAAATAAACAAATAATATGAAATTCAACGTTTCAACAAATTATTTGTCTAGCATAAAGTACGTACCTTGAAAGGCAAACCACTCTGTCTAGCATCATTAAGATTCCTCACCACTTCAGCATAAACTGAAGTTTTTTTCTCAGGAAGAGGCCTATCTGTCGCTGGCACAAGCTCCACAGAAGATGGACGAGAAACCTGAGAACTCAAAGCTTGAGATGTAATCTGACCAGGATGTGTTAGCCCAGTGCTTCGAGCACCACTGTTTCTTCTAGGTAACAATGCCAATCGGCTTAAGCTGTGCAAAAATTCCCGTTTCTCCTTCTTCCAATCCTCCTATCAAACAAAACAGTAATAAATAAGAGATAATTAATTTAATAAAATATAACGCAACAAAGCTTAACGACCAGATTTTTGATTCACACTTAGATTTTTCTTCTATCATCTACAGAAACTCTAAAGCTAGAACAAAGGAAAAAATCAGAAAATACCAGACGTCTATAGTCAGTCACAAGAAATAGGATGTGAGAGTTTCCAGTGGAACACACTGCCTATGTTCTACTCAAATATTTATTTTCTATATCCCATTTACTATAATGATTTTAGATAAAAATATCACAAACAGACCTGTCAAGAATTTCTCAAGCATACAGAGAAATTTTTTAATTTAAACTAATGTTGAATTCAGTCCACCGTTTATAGCATACAACTGCAAATATGCATCTGTACTACTAACATAGAATGTTAGAAGCCAAGTAGAACAGATCGACAATATTCTGTCGGTGAACTTGCCCACCAATAATGGCGACGAAGAAACTGCTTCAGCAGCTGAAAAAACTGTACAATGACCCACATAAAAAGATGATATCTAATGGTTAGAATCGATAATTCTTTAATGATATGGCTGAGAAGGCCCGGTCTTAGATGGGCTATCAGGACAATAGGTTTTGTCCTGGATCGGCCAACGGGCCTATGTTGTCAACTTGGCAGAATTATCAAGAAATTGCCCTACTCTGGAAAGAGTGCTGCGGTCATCTGACGGCAAATCAGATCACTAAATCTTGTAGAATGTATGAGCCTGCTCCACTCATTGCCAATCTTATTTCAGATCCTTTTTATACACTGAAAACTTCCACTATCCGACAGTAGAATACTTCTTTAAGTTTGCTATTAGTCAAGCAAAGGTGTTGGAGTGACAACAAATATAATGCTCGTGGGCAGACATGTTGATATTGGGAACTGTACGTGTCAGCATGAAGTGCACAAATTTCAATAAAGGACATAGGTCTCCCATCAAACCTGATAGGTTGTCTGGTATTAAAAAGATTTTATATTCCTTCCATGTGATAGGGAGGAAGAATCATGTACTACCATATATGATGGTGTCCCTTCCCATTGGTGATATGAATGCAACTCGAAATAACATTCAGATTCCAGGAAATATCTGGTCCTAATGAAAATGGTAACTAAGGATAATGAGGACGGGTAGGTTTGGATGGTAATTTCACGTCCAATGATAACCCGTCCTCAATTTGTGGAGCAAGAAATCATACAATTTTTAACATGATCATTGCATCTCTAGAGGAATCTAACCACTCAGTGGTGGTCATAGTGAAATCACGACAGAATTTTGGTCCTAATTTTGACTGTGTAAGAAAAAAAATAAAGTATAGCTACGAACATTAATAAAAAAGTAAGATAACTTGTAGTCTTTGTTAAAAATATAACAGGCAGAACAAAAAATCAAGGAACGTAAATAGATAAATTCCAGTAGCATTTGAAAAGACAAATAGACGATTCTATTATTAAGGATAATCTTTTAACTCAACCCCAGATATTTGGAGAATGATGATACCAATACAAGGAAAACTATGTGTGAAAATGCAAAACAAATAACCTCTGATGTAGCCAAATTTTGACAAATGGTTTTAAGTACATCTATTTTCCTTTCTTACCGGACAGACAAATTTAGAAGCATGAAATCCCCGAACAAACAAACTTTCAGACGAAGTGATACTCTGTAATGGGGGCATAAAATACCAAGAAAGAAGTAAAATTTTCAAAATGATTCTAACCTCCAAAGCTTGTAGCATGTAATCATTAAAGTTCCTCAAATTATCCTTCTGAGCTTCTTGAATGGCTGAGACCATAGCCATTTCATGAACCTAAAATATAAGAAGAACTTGGGTCAAAAACTGCGAAAGAAACTATTATGGTTCTGAGAAAATAAATGCCTGAACCGAGACAAGGGCTTATGAAAACCTTTTACCAGTCAAGTTGTCGTTAATAATCTTGAACAACAAAAGGACCTCTCAAGTTAGGACATTGCAAATTAAGTATAGATATTGAGGAAAACTGTAGCAAGGAGAATCAAAACTAACCTGTTGTAGGTATTCCTCAACAGTCGTTGCCTCAGCTGGAAAAACATCTTCAAATGTTGTCTTCAATTAAGACCAAGAAAGCACATTTTATTAATAAGTCATTTTAAATAAGTCGAGCAGAACGAAAGTATGTTGGAAAGAAAAATAGCCGAGGGAATTTCAAATAATATTTCACGATAATATGTAGTACTTATTAATCTAGCACGGTACAGAGAGCAGCACGAGGGGCACCTTCCCTTCGTTCAACTACTACTGCCTACGAACACTTTAGACAGCAATTTCTATTAACTATAATTTCCACATGCTAAAAGACTACAGAAATTCCAAGGAAGTTCCTCTTCGAATTATGTTCTGATTCCACATCAAGAATACCTTCAGCTCAAATGTTTTCAGATCCCGTGCAAGCTGCTCAGCACTTAATCCTTCACGAGCTAACAACCTGTCCATGAAAAAAATTACAGCAATCACAATGGCAGAAAGCAAATACATAAAAAAAAGGAAGGATATGAGGCCGTCAGAATAAGGATGATGACAAGAACCGAGTAAAACTCAGCAAGCATCAAATGCCATAAACTAGACCGGCCGGATAAATCTAGGCTGACAAATTGACCATTAAGAAATAAAGAATTGACAGTTAATACATGCCTTCATCTGCTATGAGCAAGTAATAATCACACTTCACCGTTCGTGTTTACCTGGTCGCTGAAGTGGATTGGCTGGGTGCCTCTGAAAGTAGAGTTTTCGCTTTCAACTTCTTTGATAGAACCTCCAACTGATCCAAGCTCCTCTGTTTCCCATTAAAACAAAAAACTCAGGGAAACACAAGCCAGAAAAAACAGGAACAAAAATCTAAAAGATGAGGGCCAAGGAAGAAGAAGAGGGTGGCGGAGATGATCACGGAGCAGAGAAAAAATGGGCTAAAATTGTAGCGCGCTGCGATTCAAGATATTCAAAGTAGGGTTTACTGAGGAGGCTTATGAGAGGTAGCGAGGGTGACCTGGAGAGGGGGAAACTGCGCTGACGGAGTGGCCTGCTCAAGCAGCTTGGTGGAGGAATGAAGGAGATCCGTCCATCCCCCCGCGTCAGCGTCGCTCGACATGCCTCCTCGTTGCCCCGGCCAGTGCCCCCCTCTATCTCTCCCCCCTCCCCCCTCTCTCCGCCTGCATCAAACCCAGACGCACAGCCTCTCTGCCCCCTAGCGGACAGCCCTAGTGTGCCGTTGGCCCAGTGCTTCCTGTTCTATTCTACCAAAAATGGAAACGAGCGCGAACAGGAAGAGAGAGAGGGAGAGAGGGAGAGAGAGAGAGAGAGAGAGTCTGTCGCAAGGAGATTATTTGGGCCGCTTATTGGGCCAGTTCTCACGGGGAGCGTAGTAATGCGAATGGCCCGGCCTTTTTTTTCTCCGGCGGGTGTTGACTCCGGCAGTTCTCTCTCTCTCTCTCTCTCTCTCCAAAAAAACTATCATACGCATGGCCAAAGGGCCCATTGCCCATTTCCAGGCCACGTAAATGATTTCTGGCCCCGGCCTCATAAAATTCAGCCCGAGCCCAACGGCTGTTACAAAGTCTTACCCAATCTAGGCCCACATAAGAGCCAGAAAAGCGGTCTCCAAAATAGGCCTGAAGCCATAAAGCCCGGGCCCGGGCTGTCCCGGTCCGAGCCCTGGAAGAAATTTCCGGCCGAAAATGGAAAGTTTTCTTCACGAAGAGAAAGAGCCAACATGAAAAACATGAGATCTCCCCAAAAGTCAACGCCTCATGAAAGGAAACGAAGAGGGAGGGAGGGAAGTGGGGGGCCATGAAGAATGTGGTGGGGCCCAATACGGGCTTTCCTTAACGGGTCAAACGCCACTTTTTAGGAAATTTTCAAGCCCGTGGAGCCAGTTCAGATACTGATCCTGCTCTTTCTGGCGCAGGTGGAGGAGGAGGAAGTTGGTCAGCTCCGCGTTGACCCCTCTATCCACAAGGTAGTCTTTGAAGGCATCCTGCAGATCAGGATCCAAGCAGCTGACAAGATGAAGAAAAATATACTAAATTAGGAAGAACATGCCGTAAAGAGTTTTCTGTTTAAAAAAGGCTCGGCTTTTGCTGATAATAATTATCTGGACCATTCGAGACTGATTATCACGGCCCTTCTGGACCACCCAATAACTCTGAAATACAGATAATTAGGGTTCTAAATATCTCTAAATTATCAGTCTAAATAAAGACTCGATTTTTTCCAAAAAAATGTAAATTTTCAGGGCAAACTAGTTAGTAGATGCACCTTCACTGATCCACTAATCTGAGAAAAAGTCAACCCCCTCCCCCCCACCAAACTCTTCTACTTCCACAAGAGGGCTTTACTAATCTTGAAAATAATCCTCCCCAAACAGAGGCATGACTTACAGAAAAAAAAAAAATATATATATATATATATATATATTCAAATAAAGTCTCCAAAATAGGAAAAAGACTTTAATCTGTTAAAAAGAAGGAAATGATTTTAATTCATTCACAGGAAAAGAATTAAATAAAACCTTGAAAAACGCAAGAACATGGTTTTTAAATAGGAGATTCAGAAAAGTCTCATTAAGTGGGGCGTACACGGTAGATCTGGAAAATAGTTGAAAAAAGAGTAAATGCAAGTTTTAACCAACTCACGTGAAACAATTGAGATATATATATTCTGAAGAATGCAAGATCTTGCCTCTTACATATACGACTTTACAAAAGTCGAGTTTTAAAAAACTTGATCGAAACTGATCATGTCTCGCTGAGAAGACCTGCTACCAGAGTTATTTAATATGGTTTGTATATGATCAAGGAAGAGCTAAAATACACCAGAAAAGGGGAAGATGAAGACAGATTAAATATTAGAGAAAACCTATGAAACTAAATATTAGAGAAAAAATGTGCAATGAGAAGGTAAAGCCTGATGGTTCAGAGTCAAAGTTTCCTGGCACAAATCAGTGGTCATGGCAGTAGATGTTGACGATGCTGACAATGATGATGATGATGATAATCTTGCTAACTTTCGGCATGGAAACAGACTGAACGACATCTGGAACAAATACTCTGCGATGTTAAAAAAAGGCTCCATGTGCATTTCATTTTATAAATGTGGGTTGATATACTGCAAATTCATGAACTTTCAGAATCCCTTACCAATGAGGAAAAATAATAAAACTGAGGATATGCAATTACTTAAGCTGTAACTTAAAGTTTAAGTTCAGCTTGAATATGAGAAGTTGCCTAAAGTATTACGTGAATGAAAATGCTTTAACTGAAAGAAAAATAACGAGGTGTGATATGAAAACCAGGGCAATAATGCAGTCCTCAATCAAAGAAATGGCTTAATCGGAATCATCTAGTAGGCATCTCCAAGAATCGGCCTGCTGAACCATAATGTTTTCATCAATTTTTGGCATTGGCATCTTGTCCCCTTATTATCTAGCTTGAAAAAAGATGGATGGCACAAAATATAGTGGATGTAGTGCTGATACGAATCGGAAGAAGCCAAGTTATCTCTGCCATTTGATGATTTTATGTCATGGAAAGTTCAAATGCTCTCTCAAGTAACCAATCTGATCAAGTTTATGATGCAAACAATGAGGGGAGAAATTTTCCACGCGTCAAAACCCCGAATACAAGAATCAATAAATAGTTCACAAAAAAGGGGTTGAAGAGGAGAATTACATAAAAAATACGTCAAAAAAAAAAATCCACCTGAAGCTGGGGCCCCTATATCTTGATGACCTAGATGGGTCAGCGGAAGCAAGATACTTGACATTTTCGATGACAAACTCGGAGTCTTCCTCTTGATCTTGGTGGAAAACTGTACAGTCAAACTGCAAGATGGGCTCTGGTTCAGGTTTCTTCACAAACACCTTCATCAAGGCATGGCGTGGCAGTGGATCCTTTCCCTCGTATATTAAAGGTCCCAAGAGAGCGGACAATGCAATCTCCTCTCCAGAGTCGAATCTCCTTCTCAGAACCAAGTCTTGGGTTTTAGCATCATCCCAATCCACGGCAAAGTTCCCCACCTTGCCATCACGCTGAAACCGCAGAGTAAATCATCACCACTACATTCCCAAGGAGCCTACCATTCATATAAACATAGAGAGATTCATGATCAGTTGCTAGTAATAAAATTTTCCACGATGTTGACAAATTAAGGACGCCCATAACAAGTCGATGTTCTTATTTTTATCAGCATCACGACCATAGCGAGATTTTCTCAGCGATTGTTACCATAGAAGACTGAATCATGCAGCGGCACGAGAAAAGGAAACTAGATCAAAGTGAAATTTACGGGTGATATTTTGCGAACAGAAGATCTCGATTCAAGCAAGGAATGAGAAGCTCTAAATCACTGCGTCGGCAACTGACATTTCCAGGAGATGTGAATTCTTCTTTTCCCTTATCGATCAAAGAATGAGTCACGACAGTCGCCACCGAAAAAATTGGGAACCTTTCACCTCTCCCAAACAAATGAAGATTTTATCCACTGTAAGCAGGAAAAACAGAAAAAAAAATAAAAATCAGTAACGAAGTTTCCTCCGCCATCCATCGAGGTTTTATTTCCCCGGTACACACAGGCCTAACCTCCACTTCCACACAAATGAGGATCATCGATCAACCATGCGGGAAGAAAAAAAGTCCCTGTGACCTGCTCACCGGTCCGGATCTCGGCGGGTTGGAGGACAGCTCGTGTTCCAGCTCCGACCGGAGAGCGCGTAGCAGGCCTCCGTCCCGATTAGCGAGCATTCTCGAGCTTCTCCGCAGCAGCAGGCGCGACGTCGTCCCCATCGCCCCCAGTTGAAAGCTCTAACGCGTAGCGACGCCGGTGAAGAAGAGAAAGAACCTTGTTTTAGCGTGCGCTTGGTTTACTTTTTCCGTAAAATAGCCCGGCAACGCACCTCAATAAATACAGGATTTTTATTATTTTCCCACATTAAATAGCCTCACTATAAAATATTATTATTATTTTAAAATCGGAAGGCCACTGTGTAGTTAATAAATATTAAATTTTATTCCTGACCCTCCTGATGGCGCGTGCTCGAGGGGAGTTCTTCTCCTACTTGGAAAGGAAAAGCTGCGGGGTTTTCTCCAAGATAAAATGTTTCTGAGGGGGGAAAATGAGAAATACCAGAGATCAACAAGCTCTGGAGTATCTCGTCCAATTACTAAATAGGAATTTAATTTTATTCGATAAAAACATAACCAAGTGGATATACTTAGTATATCATTTAATTTTTTAAATAAAATATTTCATTATATTATGATGAGTTACTTCTCAAAAGACGTTTGCGTAAGTTAGCTATTATGTATTTTTTTATTATTGAGTAATTAAAATGTTGTTTGAATGGGGCAGAAAATATGCTGAAAATTATGACCGACCAAAACTAATAAATGGGACAAATAACAAGGGTGAATATGGTGTTGACAGAATTTTACAACCATAGAAAAAGGGTATATTCACAAAGAGGGAGAGTAATGAGGGTTTTAGCTGAAGATTGAAAGGTCCTTTTGTATTATGGGTATCGCTATAGTTAACAATGTTAGCTTACGTATGCCCATCAACGACTAACGAATGGACTAAATATAGCAAACCTTAAGATGGTTATGAAAAGAATTAAAAGTGAGTAAGGGATAAAAGTGCCATAATATTGATGCATATATATATTTACAACAATAAAAAAGGGTATATTCACAAACAGGGAGAGTAATGAGGGTTTTGGCTCAGGACTTGAAAGTCCTTTCGTACTATGGTTATCGCTCTAGTTAACAATGTTAGCTTACGTATGTTTATCTGAAGCTAACGAAAGTACTAGATCATAACAAACCTTAAGATGGTTATGAAAATAATTAAAAGTGAGTTAGGGATAAAGCCATCATAGTATTAATGCATATATATATATATAGTTTTGGGTAAATTGTTTCAACATTTTTTCTCTTGTCTTTGTGCATCTTATTGTTTATTTGATTGAATATCTCTTTGGCTTAGCTTTCGTTTTTCTTTCTTGTTGGTTCTGATTCTCTAATCCAAGATATTCTTTTTTATTAGGATTTTGATATAATCAGCGTGTTTAATTTATTTATTTATGAATTAATAAATAAAAGTATATGCTTTAGAGAGAGAGAGAGAGAGAGTGAGAGAGAGTTGGGACCTCCAAATCTCACACATGCAATCCGGAGATTTGGCAGTGGAAATTTCACCCAAATGCAAGGGAGGCACAGTTTGTGCTGGTCATCACGGAGAGATGCTTCCAAAGGCTGTAGCTCGTAGAAAGAGCTTCAGAGCTCCTTTCATCTCATCCCAAGACTGTACAAGGATGATGAGAACAGAGTTGGCTCAGAGACAAGAGATAAGTAATAGATGACCAAAGAAAATAAATAAATATATATGTATATATCTACAGCCCTGGCGTGGATCCCAGTTGTTACTCTACGAGATAAATACCTAGAAATTGGACAAAATGGACCAAAGCGTTGACCAGGAAGACCGTTCATCTCTCTCTCTCTCTCTCTCTCTCTCTTTTGTTTTTGTTTGGGTCGTCTTACCCACTGGTGAAGCATTCAAGAGCGCTTGTGGACAAAAAGCTTGCCAATGTCTTCAGTTACCACATTGCTCCTGCAATATTCCAAGAAAAGCACATGATGGCCAAGAAATATCCCATACTGACCAGTGTAGTTGACCAGATAAGAAAGCAGAACAAGGATTGCTATTTCTGCGTGAGAGGATCCAAGCAAATTTAATGGACAGTGAATGGAAAATTGTCACGTTCCCTCTTGAGGAAACTGAAAAAGGACAACAGAGAAATTTAATCCACTGCTGTTTTTACTAATTTCTTAAGAACATAGACGGACTTCAGAGTCAATAAGATGTCTGACAAGATGGAAGAAATTGGGTCAATCCTGAAGGAAAGATGTAGAGGGGGAAAAGATCCATCACGGCGGAACCACGTAGATCATACTTTCATAAATGTCAATAATGTCTGACAAGATGGAAGCAATTGAGTCAATCCAGAAGGCAAGATGTAGGGCGGGAACCATGCAGATCATACTTTTATAAATGGCAATAATATCTGACAAGATGGAAGCAATTGGGTCAATCCAGTAGGAAAGATGTAGGGGGGAACCATGCAGATCATACTTTTGTAAATGGAATCGATGAGATCTGAAGATCAGATAATTACACTATTCAATCCACTTAATCATATGTTAATCTCATGTAATCGCCAATCATGATCCTCCACTAAATAATGTTGCAGATTCCAGTTCCTCATTTAAAGGCAGTCATATCAATGTGGGTCAAGGCTTGATTATTTAAAAACCTGGTCAGATCACGGAAGCAAGCCTGTTTCTAACCGAGTCATGCAATGTGGTATAAATAGCAAGCATTTTGTCACTACTAATGGAATGATTATTTTACACTCAAAAATCCTGTTTCACCATGGAAGATAAAGCACTGCCCAGCTCGAAAGTACAGAGAAATAGATTAATTTTATCAGCTAAATGAGATCTTGCTTTTGCAGGTATCTTCTTAAAAAATGTATACAAATTAAAAACAAATGATCATATTACCTTCCACGAAGTTGAGGAGGAACTAGTTCGACTCCCTTTGCATCTGAGGTTACATTTGGGACTGAAGAGACCCCTTTGTGATGCTTAATCTGCTGACGATGAGGAACAGACCCATTCGAGGCCCTCTTCCGCAATGCATTTTCTGCCATAGCAGCAGCAACTCTTGAGGAGTGATCACTGACATTAGCTTGATTGTTGAAGAAAGAAGGGGACGAAAACAGGAGTGAGGCATCTGGGAGTGCAACGGATGCAGATGGAACGTCGGAAGTAATTCCTGATTGTACATATGTTGAGGATACAGGACTTCTGCAAGATTGTTAAGGAAAAAGAGGAAGAAAAAGATGAGAGCGGGAACAAGCCATATACTATTTCATGCAATTAGAAAAGAAGGAACAATAAGCACTTATAAGACGGGCTTTGACATTCTAACTTGTTTCTTCTATGACGACTATTGAGTTGCAGTAATGAAGGGGATTGAAAAAAGGAAAACATAACAGCAGCTATTCACACCAAAAATGTGCTGCAAAAGAAATTCCAATGAAATTTGCACACACACATGATGCTCCCAGCCATCTTTCCCTCGTGTGGGTGTGTGACTCTGTGTGCCGGGGGGTGGGGGGTGGTAGGGATCCGTTCTATTTTTGAAAGAGGGGCATGATTTGGCATTAAAGTAGTCTTACCATTTCAAGAACCGTGAACTTATTTGCTAGGAAGTTTGCAATGGAAATTCTCTTGAATCCTTCATCGCAAGCAATCATCTGTGAAGGAATATTTGGTCTCATGTTGTGTACGCTTGTTTGAATCATTCTAGAGCTTCTTTTTTTCTTTTTTTTCTTACTTCAGGAAGCACCTTCATGGTTTAGACGAATTTTTATTGAGCGTAGACAAGGAAGATTCATCCACTTTACAAATATTGGTAAAAATAATAATAATCCATACATCCATGCCAACAATAATAATAAGAAACATTTCGATGTCTTTTGCCATTTAACACACACATAGACAAAGACATCTATTTAAAGATGACAAAAAATCTTGAATAAAACTAATTGGCACAGTTGATAAATCCCCAGTTATTCATGGCCATGAGGTATATAGTTAGAATAAACTAAAAAAGAGAAAGTTGAACTCTTCATTACAAAAATGGTCACTGCTCTGATACTGAGGTGGAAATTTTAAATACATCACCCATGGTAGCTGAAATCATTAGAATTCATTGACTTTTTTACAAAATGTAGGATCAAACGTTTTAATCCACAATTTCCATCATTTTAAACAAAAAATCCGACTGTATTGCAATGCTTGGCTCCATCTACGTTGCTAAAATTTTCCACTCCCACTCTGAGGTCCGCCGTCCTCAAATTGTTCTCGTTTTCCTTATCTGCTGCATTTCAATTTGCTACAAGAGTCGGCTGTTCTGCAATGACCAAACAGAACCCACCTCAGCTATTTCTGGAAAATCACCACCTCTACGATGAAGTCATGCAATAGCTCAACAGCCCTAGTACTAATGCGGACAACCTCTGCCATTGTAAATACCGAAACAGAATTCTTTGGAAAGCCACTTGAACAAGAGCCCTAACATAGATGATCTTCATGGGTTACTATCCAACCTAATGCCAACCATTTTGACTACCCAAGTTACAACTGACCAAGCACGCTGGCTTATCATATAGAACATTTTAACAATCAATAGCCACAGAGGGCTGCTTCATTCCACATGAACTTTTCAGACAAAGTTTGACCTCGACAGCACTCGTTGCTGATCATGGGATATTGAAGCTTGAACTGAAGCCACTTTATAACACGTGAATAATGGATCGAATTATCTAGAAGAAGAACCAAGCTAGGAATAATGAGGCTGACAATGCAAAATTACAAGCACTCACTGGGAAAGGGGGTTTCTGAGGATGAGGAGAATAATGCACATAGCTTCAATGAGTCAGTTCAGGATCAAACATGCACGGATCCTATCATACGCTGCACAAGTATTGGGAATATTAAAGCCTAAGCAAAGAAATTACGGTGCAGTGCCAGCTAAAATTAATTCAAATTTTCGCATGTTGAGAGTCCTTCTGGAGTCATGCAGAGCTGGAGTATGTGGATGTCCAGTTGACGTATTCTGGAAGAACTGCACATGAAACGGGGTGGAGGAAGAAAGAAGAAGGGGAAGTTTAATGCTCTCTCTATAAACTTGAGGAGGCTTGGCTCCCCCGAAGTAGCCAAAAATCTTCGTCTCTTCCTGGTTCTGAATTCCTTCCACGTAAAGTCTCCCCCATTTCGTTACCTAGCGCGGCATTAAAATCTACCCCATTTGGAACAAATTTAGAGCTAGAATTACAAATTAAAGCATTATTCCAACCAAACCCTCCATATCTTTCAAGGGTACCGATCGGTAACGGCACTGAACCATACGAGGGCCTCGATGCATGACTGGCGCTCAGACAACACGATAGGGGCACTCGCCTCTTTGGGAGATCGGGTCCCGGCGGCGGTGGCTCCTGCGGGGCCGCCGTAGGTCGTGGAGGTCCGGCCCTCGGCAGGGGCTTCGCCACAGCAGTGCCCTCCGCTGGCGGCGGCTGCGGCGGCGGTGTCTCTTCCGAGAGGCGTCCAGCGGCTTCGCCGTCCTCGTTCTCCTCGTCGGAGGAAGAGGACTCGTAATCCACCAGAGACATCTTCCCCCGCCCGTCCCCTCTCCTCTTCGCCCTCGCTTCGCCAACCTTCGGACTCCCTCTCTCCGCTTCGGCCGCGAGACGCGACTGAGACTGACAGCCTCATTACATACGCCCGGTCCCGCCCGGTCCGACCCGGTCCGGCCGTTTCCAACATGAAGCGGGATGGACCGGACCCATATCACTGACATTTTATCATTTTTCTCTCACAAATCTCAGGCCTGTCTACATTGAAGAATACCCACAATGGGCTTATATATTCTTTATTTTCTTCTTAATAAATTATATTAATTAAATCCATAAAGCTTCTTATAGACACCAATTTTCAGATTATTTCAAAATTTATTATTCTATGTTACCTAATTAATACTCTGAAAAAAAGGTTGAGAAGCACTCCGATCTCACTATGAATCGTGATGGGTTAAATCAAATATTATATTATGTTGGTAAAAAATTTAAACCTTGATCAAGAATCACCATTTCAAGATTATATATATTTTTTAGATTTAATAAAAAGGGTTATAAATTAAGTTTAGAAGAAAAAGATACACCCAAAAAAAATTGATTAAAGAATTCAGGCCAACCTCTACTCATATATAAGTCAAGTCAAACGGAGTCAAACCAATTACTATATAGTCAACTCGTGGGTCCACATAATTTATCTCACATATAGAAAAGACGCATACCCGAAAAAGAAAATACGCTAGCTTGATCACCTAAAATGAAGATGAAGAGTAGGATATCCATTCCATGATTTGCGGAGGATTCCTTCATTCCAAACAAGCTCCCCTGTTCGCAAGAACACTGTAAGTGAGATGAAGAGGACTCTCCACTTCTATTTTTACCCAGGCTTCCTATGGGCCCAACCCTTTTATAGTAAATACATAAATGAGCCTTTTTGAAGCAGAAGAAAACCCACAATGGCCATTTTTGTCTTCCGATAGCAGTCAACGCTGAAGAAAGAAGCAGAATAACTGAATCGTAGATCAGAATGCTCTAAATATAGCCGGCAGAAATCAAAAGTATCTAGCAGCAGCAGCTAACTCTGTTCAACCAAATCTACAGCTTTGACTAAGATCCCAGCTTTGAATCTGCCTCCTGGAGAGCTCGCACAAGGTGGGCTATCCTGTACTGAAGCTTGGCATTCTCTGATGTCAATTTCTCAATTTCCTTTGACGCCTAAACCATACCCACAAGGGATTCAGATGGGCTCCATGAATTAAGGTAGCGGCCAAAGAAAATGCAGTATTGAACTGAAGAGCCAACCTTCTCTCTCTCAGCCGCAAGCTCCTGTTGAGCAATCTCTACTTTCGAGTGGAAGTCTTTGACCAAACTGGACAGTTCCTTCTCACTGGCAGTACGATCACCTACACAAGATAAGGTGGAATCTATAAGATGACGGTTCTATGAACTATATAACTTGGATAAAAATGGGGGGGGGAAAGCTCTTACTCGAAACCACTGCCTCCAGCCGAGCAAGACGCTCCTTCAGTTCCAAAAGGGGGAAAGTCAGCGGGCTGATGTGGGATAGAAGCGATGAGAGGGAGATATAAAGGATGGATGGTGTTCACTAGGGGAATGATTGACGTGGCCCAGCCTTCGAACAATGCTTTTGATTGTTTTCCTTACATTTCTACGGCTTTTCTAAATCTCGTTGACAAAGGCTGAAACCATAAGGTCTGATTTTGTCGAAGATACAACATTTTGACCCATCATTGAGAAAGCTGCACCCATAACTAGAAAACTGTCGATCAAACTATAGCAGACCCTCATAAGTATAGTTGAAGAGAAATATCCTGCGGAAATCAGGGTGTAGCTAATGATCAGAGCATATGGCGGCTGCTTGTCTTCTAGTCATCCACTCTCTTATGCAGCAAGCGATACTACTTGAAGAATTTGAAGAGAATTTGAAGAGAAAACAACTGGATCAGAAAAAAAAAATTACAATTTTTATATGAAGATTTTGCGATTCATGAAACAAAAAGGGAATTTCAAGAGAGGATTCCACCGTCAGAACCCTTCTAAGATTCCAGCCTAAAGATCAAGAAATAAGCTTGTTCTCTGTTAAGAAAATTAGACCCTCGCCCCCTTGCTCAAGAGGACATAGAATCACAGATTCCATACGTTTGGATCATACAGCACACTATTCTACCAAAAATTATTTTATTTCTTAATCTAAATAGCTTTGGTTCCCTGGAACTTTTGTCTTCCCTGTGAAGACACTTCCACCAAGGTGCCAAATTGCTACTTTCTCTAAAATGAGGGTTTAGGGACCTCTGAAAAGTGGTCAACGGACTAATGGTTTCACGGTTCTCCCTATAAATCGCCGACTACGAAGGGCTTATGAGGCATATGCTTCTTCAAATAAAACCCATTGTTGTGAGTCATTCATCCCAAGAAATTTCATCCATTCACGTATTTCCTTCCTATCCAGGAAACCTGGCCTCGTCTCGTTGCAGGTGATCATCTGGCCTGCGAGTTCTTCTCTCCCGAGAGCGCAGAGATGACGGTCACCATGGCATCCCCAGCAGCACCTTCAACAGGCCACACAGAACAATCGCCTTCCTCGCTGACTCTTTTCCGTCGTGGGGAGGAAAGAAGCACAACAGAGGAAGGGGGGAGGTGAGGGGAAAGGAAGGGAGCGCTAACGGACCTCAGCTTCCGCCGCCCTCTGCGAGAAAGCCTTCAGCGTCTCATCCAGGTCGCCGGCCGCAACGTCCGCCATCCCTGCAAGTGGTCGCCGGAACGAAGAAGAGGGGAGTGGGGAGGTTTGAGGGTTTAGAATGCCGGCTTATGCAAATAGCTGCCGCAAACGCCAGCTCCAGCTTACGTGCCCCTCCTTCTACCAATGAGGGGGAGCCTTGTGCATACGTCACTGTCCACGTGGCATACTCCATCCAATCGTAGTGTATCTCCTCCTCTACCTCTCTCCAGGCTTGATTCTAGGCCGAGACGAAAAAAGCAAGGAATCTCTGGGGTTTGGTGTACAAGGGTTGCCACGTGTCATCGTAATTGCCACGTACTCATCGGAGAAGCCGCAGCACCTTATCGCCATGATTGGCCCGAACGGACTGTCCAGCATGGTCGTACGTGGGATCGACTGGGAACGGAGAGGGAGTGCCGGTGTGTGCTCAGTGTGGAGGCCGGAATGGCGGGGGCTTCCTTTCATTTCCCGCACCGCCAGTTCTTCGCCGCCTCGTTGACGGGAAGCGGCAGCGGCAGCGGTGGTGGCGGAAGAGGGGGAGGCGCGGCGCCTCCTCTGCCGGAGAAGCTACAGGACAAGAAGGTGCTCATCTTGGGAGGGACGGGGAGGATTGGGAGCTCAACTGCAAGAGCCCTCACCGAAATCTACCCCCCCCTCCGCCTTCATATCGCTGGCCGGAACAGGTGAGTATCCGGGTCCTTTCCTCGTCGAGCGCCCCTCCGTTGTGTAGTACACTCGGAGTGGAGGTTAGAATGAGGGCCCTTCACGGCGCTTAGACGGTTGCACTGAATTATGAGGAAATAATTATGATCTAAAAAATGTAGTAAGTTTTTGGAACAGTCGTGCATTGTGTGCACAGATATCTCTCAGTAAATAATATAAGCTAGGTCTGAATTCGGTCCTTTTCGCGTTCTGTAAACATAATGCTCTTATGTTTGCTCAAAATGTATTATTACAATGTTCTCAGTGGAAATCATCCGCTGTCCACTTTTTTTATCTGCTTCCTGTCTTATCTTTTTCTAAATCAGTTCGCCAGGAATTGAAACAATCAACAAAGAGAAGGTCAAGCTCCATGAGTGGATACATACGGATAATTTGCAAAGCATGATGGCTATGGTGCGAGAATTTAGAGACAAGAATTGATGAAAAGTTTTGTAATTGTAATTGCACAGGTGTCTAAATTTTGATCAGTTCATCCCAGTAGAACAGAATATTTCTTTAATCCTTTAAGGAAACATGAACTACTAATTTTATCTTCTTTTCTGTTCATTTATTTTTTGAGTTGATTCAAAAAACTTAGTTGATATCGACTATATAAAAAAAACTTACTTGTCCAACACTAGTTGGCATCTCCAAGAAGGTTATTCCATCTCTCTATTGCTTTACTTGGATGCATAATTTATCCTTGCATAAACTTAAACAATAACCAATGTTAAAATTTCAAGATAGAAAGAAAACCGGAATCTACAAATTAAATGTTGCCTAAGCCGAAATGTGGATACCACGGTCCTCTTAAATATTGTAAACACTCTTCCTTTCTATGGCACACGTTGATGGTCGTATCTGCAAAACCTAAGGGTGGATGTGTTTGTGCAAGGAGTATGCATATTCTAGGCAATTTAGCCCCCGGCCATTTATTCCTTCACTTTTTGTCTTTTATGGAAAAACTAAAATGCATATGTTTCTTGGACAGGGAAAAGGCAAGTTCTGTACTCTCTACGCTTGGTGAAAATGCAAAGTTTGTTGAGGTTGACATTGACAATAAAAAGTCATTGGAGGCAGCTCTTGATGGTGAATTAAACTGTCTGAATGATTATTGTTTTCAGCAATATTATTATGCGTTGAGAATCTCAGATTTTTTTTTAGGCATGGGGATGGAATAATAGATAATACCAGAGCAAATTAATTCGTACATTAATGAGAATTGGAGACCGTTGAAGGTAGGAAATTGATTCTTGTACATGCTTTATTCAATGGCCTTCAACTTCTTCTGAATGACATGAAATTTAGGAGACATATTTTTAAAACTAGTTTGTACTTCATTTGAAGAAATGAAAGGATATACTGCTGAGGAGACCATAAAATGCTGAAAAATTACTGAAATAATCCTTAAATATTTGTAACTACTATGAGGTGTATCGAAATACATATTGTCCTTTGTGAATACAAAGCATCTTTGCAAGACCAACGCCTTTTTTGGATTAGAATTAAGAAACAGGTTCAAGTTGATGGAATAACTCAGATCCATATGTTGTTCGAAAATAATTTTGGGTGTAAAAGGATGTAAACCCTGCCATGTTTCTTAAAAGAGTGATATTTTTTTATGCGTTGAAAAATAGCCCACCCCCCCAATTATCGCAACAAAAATTAGGTTTATCCTCTAATGATTTCTCCTTTAAAGTGAACAATTTTTTGGGAGACGATTATTAATTTTTTTATGCATAGTAGGAACTTTTTTTGGGAGATCACCATTAAGTTCCGACACTGATGGATTTTAGATTCTCAGAAGTAGAGTGCTAACCTTCCTTTCATTCCTGCGTTTTTTTTGCATTAGGTGTGGACTTGGTTGTTCATGCAGCAGGCCCTTTTCAACGGGCAGAGAATTGTAATGTATTGGATATTGCAATTTCAACTAAGGTGAATGTTTTACACTCCCGTTTTTCTTCTGCATTATTACTGATATTTACCTTAATAGTGGTCTAAAATATTTGTTAATAGCTTGAACTTAATAAGTAAAAAATCATTGATAAGGTTGAAAATAGAATTTATTGAGACATCTAAGTTAAGTCACGAAATTTCTGGTCAATTAATCCCCATGTATGCCTTTATGCCTGCTTTAGTCTCTAGATTTGATGGTACAGGTAAGTTGCGTGGACTTATAGATCCCATAAATGCTCACGTCTTTATTGAATATCATTTTCATATTTGTCACAATTAATAGATTTGAGTCTTCATGCAAACCCATCTTCCATGCATGGTTTCTGGGTTCACTAAGGGTCAGAAGCACACTGTCTGAAAGTTAAAGTTGTTAGCTGCTTACAATAAATCACCATCATCTCTGACTCAGTTTGTGGTAATTGATTATGCTTCTCAAATTTGTTGCATTAGACGGCATACGTCGATGTCTGTGATGATGCGGACTATGCATGGCGGGCAAAGTCCCTCCATGCCACAGCTGTAGCTGCTGATGTTCCAGCAATAACAACTGCTGGAATTTACCCTGGAGTGAGCAATGGTAAATTATCTATCACTCTTTCTTTCATTTTAGGTAAGTATTCTGAGGAGCATTTGCCAATCAATCTACTGCGATCTGTTTTCAATCTATATCCTTCCCTGTTAAACGGAGTTATATTCATTTTCTGTCTCACTTGAAGCACAGCCAGATCTAGGGTACCTAATTTTCGCAATTGTATGAGAGTGGCTAACTTTCGATTTGTGGCGCTACTATCTCCCTTAATACTTGTAAGTTGCCAGATCAACGCTAATCAGATAAAAATTTCGGTCGGAGGTCATAACAATTTAGATTTCAAAGATATTCAAGTTCCGAATCAGGATTTTATGAAGACCGAATTATCAGTTAGGCATGGAAAGATTTAAGACTTCAGGACTCGTGCCACTTTGGGATAAAACCAGTAAAGATATTGAAACGAGTGGTATAAACTGATTAAGAAAACAGTGGTCACAATGGCTTTCGTTTTCAGATCAGTGATGACACCAACATCAAATGAAGGCAATGAAACTGTAAACCAGTGGCCAATGGACATAACTGGTTAATGAATTTAGTCGGTTGACAGACAAGAAATTACTTTGGTGGCACAGTTATGATATCAGTGAGAAATACCTCTAGAAGTATACTTTGATCTCGTGCACCATACCGTGTTAGCCGGGTTTTGTCTCCCTTGTATAAATCATTCAATCTTATCGGTTATCTTACTGATTACTGGACTTTTGATGCCTATTCACATACAGTTATGGCAGCTGAGCTGGTTCGTGCTGCCAGAAGTGACAGACGCAGTGGAGAGCCTGCACGATTGAGGTATATTCAAGCTTTGATAGCTTCTGATTGTCTTACTCAGATCATGGAGAAAACATTTTCCTTCGGAGGTACAAGTTAATAAATAGAAAGGCAGATGTAAGAAAATGGGGATGGTAAAATCCTAACTTTTTCTCATAGCCTGGTTACAAGGTGAAGCAGATTTCTATACTGCTTCTGAGTAAATGTTTCTTATTTTTTCTTGTAAGTAATTCAGCGTACATGATATTAAGATATTATCTTCATGATATGTTAATATAAGAACATTTTCCTTTTTCAACTTTTTCCTTCGACTGAGTGTGACGTTTTAAACCTGGGTGATAAAAATAAAATATTTGACTCACCCAAAAGAGACTTGAGATTTGTAGAGAAAAATGATATGTAGACCAAAGGGTATTGGTCAGCTGCTTAGTCATTTTTAATTCTCATTTTGGCGATAAAAATTCGTGTGGGAAGTAACATGTTGTCAATGCTTTTGAATTAATTATAATTGCATTAGAGACGAATAAAAGGACATTTCGATGGTGAACATCTTGGAGTTTCTTCTGACACCAGATTGGGATATCTTTCATCTTGTCAGAAAGGCTTTCAAGGGAATAATACCTTATCTGCGATGCTTCTTTGGTCTATACTGAGGAGATGGGTCAGGAATTTTCTGCATTTATTTAGAAGTGTATCGCTGGTAGCATATATATGCTGTTCACTGAGAGGGGTCATATAAGCTTCTGTATTTGAACACATAATACATTTCCTGATAGAGCTCTTGATCAGAATTTGGGTAATGTTTCTCGCTGACAAAGGACTTGAAATGTTCTTAAGGTAGAGACTTGAGAATCCTAGTGAGTGCTTCATCGTGTGTGGAAGAGGAAAGGTTGAAGAAGATTTTTTTTTTGTTTGAAGGAGCATGTTTTCTCTTTTGAGTGATTCTTTAAGCTCAAAGCTGGATAGAGTGATAAAGTTATTAAATTTTACCTGCTATTTGTTTCATGAATGTGCAATTGGTAAATGTCTTAAAATCCAGCAATTTTGATTACTTGTACTGGTTCTGAAACTACGTTAAAAGTAAATAGGCTTCTGCAATAGTTTTGGGTAATTGTGGTAGCGAAGTGTCAATGATTAGGTCAAAACTAAGGGAAAATTGGAAAAGACCAAAAAAGAAATATTACAGCAGATTTCTTAGCGTATTCCGATGTTAGAAAGTTGGAATCTGTCATCTGTGATTCACAAAGAACTCATACCCATTATGGAACGTTTCTAAATAGCTTTTCCAGTGGTGGGTCAGACCCCAGAGTTTAATGCCGAGTTCCATTCCAATTGAACAAGAATAAGAAGAGTATCAACTAACTTTTTTGATTTGTGTTCTCCTTTTTATTACTCGGGCAGATACTTGCTGAATCTGAGCTTCTCTGAATGGGGTCTCAGTCAGATTTCAGAGCAGTCCCTAGATGGAAAGGGCTCGTTCCAACCCGGATCATCCAACTCAAAGAGAAATGAATTGATGTACTATTGTGTCCTTGGTCATAACTCATGCTAGATGACAACTCTTAGCTCAGATCGTCGATCCTCAGGAGAAAGTAGTGATGTCTGACATGGTCGAAGTAGTGGGAGATAATTGGGATGCCATCCATGGGTGCCTTATCAGAGTTGTTGAGCAATGGATTTACTCAAAATTGTCCAGGTCAGTGCTGATAATAGAACTTTCCACCACTCGAGCATTTCTGAAGAGGATCAAGCAACAATGCTCCTATTTATTTCAACTATTAAAGACTAATGAGATACAAATGGAGACTTTATTTTCCCAGTCTATTACACATCGGGCCAATGGTACAGTACATCATATGAAGGATGCAACATTTGTTAATCAACAAAACTCCATGGGCATTCCAAGGAAATTTTAATTTCAAATGATCACTGGCACAAATCTGGTGAGTTTCGAACATTATTCTCCGCAAAATATTCACACTCTCGCAATGCAGACGAACGCATTGTATGATCTTTGCAGTCACCCTCCATAGCACAAAACTGTCCCTTACTTTTAGCATGCGTTTCTGTGCCATAGCTCTGGTGGGAAGTCTTTCGTTGCTTAATTTCTTCTAAGCAAGTTTTGCTTTTCGGAAAACTTGTTCTTGTTCTCTGAACTTACCACAGATATCTATAATCCTTGATCTTTATACATTTGAGGTGGCATGAAAATTCCGCTGTTAAGTTGTAAAGTTGTAGGAATGCTAGCATCAAATACTTGATGAGAGGAAAAAGTGCCATTTATAATTATCTGGTTTAAATGAAATCCCGCAAAGTCGTTTGGAAAAGAGATATTAATTGTGGTTTTACACTATGGCAATTGACATGTTTTTCTGACTGCTGCATTTGGCATAGCAGCTCTAAATCTCGTGATCAACTTATCCTCTTGCTTGACTGCGATGTACTGTACTATCATATCAAGTCCTTTTTATGTCCCAACACTGAGGTAGTTCTTGAAAAAGCGAGCTTCTTAATGTGCAAGCTTATTATGCCAGTTTTTATAGTCTAGTAATACTTTGGAAGGGTTGCTGCTGCCTTCAATGTTCTGCTTCCCGTATTAGTTTTTTTTTTTTCTACTTTTAATTTGTAGCTTATTGCTGCTTAGTGTTGAATTAGTGGTTCCTGCAAATAGGTTTTTGAAACAAAGGCAACTTCCATGATACAATCTCTCTTTCAGATTCTTCTATTTTACTGCGGGAACCGGTGGTGCTGGCCCCACAATACTAGCCACAAGTTTTTTGCTTCTTGGAGAAGATGTCGAGGCTTATAATAAAGGTAAGTCTCACACGACTGATATTGGGTAATTTTGACTCTAAAGCGTACTGATATTTTCGAGTTATTTCAGCTGCTAATTTTGATCCTAATCAATTGATCAGGAGAAAAAATCAAGTTAAAGCCTTATACTGGAATGATGAATATTGACTTCGGAAAAGGCATTGGAAAGAGAGATGTTTACCTCTTGTAAGTTGCATAAAAAGATTGTAAAGGCATGATCAGCCAACTTGTATCCTTGAGAGAATCGGTGATTTTGACACAACACTTTTCAATACTCATGTGTTGCCACAGATTGATTATACTCTGTGGCCTGACCCCTTAATCTATAATCTTAAAAAAATCTTGGAATATGTCAATTTTTGAGAAAATAAATCCAAGAAAAGGAAAAAATAGTTCAATTTGTTGTACTTTAATCGCATTTCTCAATTCTCGGGCACTCTAGTTTGCGGCCCTCATTGTTTGCCAGGGAAATTTTCTTAAGGAGATATTTTCCATCGCTACATTCATCAAGCTGATTTTCTTAGCTATTTTATTCTTTCAGGAATTTACCTGAGGTAAGCAGCACCCATAAAGTATTGGGGGTACCCACCGTTAGTGCCCGGTTTGGCACGGCTCCCTTCTTCTGGAATTGGGGATTAATAGCTGTGGGAAATCTTCTCCCAGCGGTATGCCCTTCTTCTCCCAGAATTTTTTTTATGAGAGAATATGGTAGATATTTCACTCTACTTGGATGATGAAATGATAAGTATGTTTGAATTGTTTTTAGTGCAATCTAATGCTTGGGATTTTTTTTTTTTGATATTTCGAGGCTTAGAAAATAGCTTAAACCAGAGTAACTATCTACCTTATGCAACAGGAAACTAACCCTATTTATGGAGACCTAATTTATGTTATAAAACTAACCTTTTGACTCTAGTGTTATGAATTTATAAAATATGGAGATAGATAATCTAAGATGGACGGCTTGCATGGACTTAAACCTCATGGAAGTCATTTGAGATGACTCTGACGTGTATTTAAGAGGACCGATGGGATTACCTAATGAGAGATATTTTCTCCATTTTATGAGGTTCAGAGAAAGATGAGGATACCAAAATAACTGTCAAATTACGCATGGTAAGTGCAGAAATGATGTGTAATAGAGTGGAATGGCAGGAGAAAAATCCATACCCTGACAGTGTTGTTGACGTTTCCTTGAATATTCATTCACCACTACAGTTTTCTTCAATCAGCTCGAATGTTTTTCTGCTTTAACTTTCTAAAAGGAGATAAAATTTGAGTGTGCCTTATCATGTTCTCTGTTTTGAATTATTTGAGTGTGACTTTCTAAAAGGAGATAAATTTTTCAATAGATGTAATTCAAGAATTATTTTACTCACAGTCAACTGCTGCGAAAAATGTCTTGGAAATTCATTAATGTAAGTTCGTATTGGCTCATGGAGTGATCTAACGCGAGGAAAACTGCAGGAGTTTCTACAAGATAGAAGCAAAGTCCAGAAATTGGTGCAAATTTTCGATCCCATTGTGCGAGCAACTGACGCCCTTGTCGGAGAGCGCGTGTCAATGAGGGTCAGTAGCATATAAATTATTTTTATAATAATATTAAGCATAATTTCTTAAATTATATGGACAAGAAGGAAGATAAGCTGGACATGCACTGTCAATTATCCTGAGGAGAATTATCTGATTTTTTTTTTATTGTCAATAGGTGGATTTGGAGTGTTCAAACGGCCTCAGCACCTTGGGTATATTCAGCCACAGGAGACTATCTGTGTGAGTCATAGCATCCAAGAAACATCCTTATGCTGAATAAATTCCAAATTTCTGCATTAAATTACTTCATTATTTAAGCTTGCAGTTTCATTTATAATATTTTCATATATATTGTAATGATCAAGGTGCCTAAAGAGGAATAGATTCCCCCCCCCCAAAAAAGAAAAAAAAGCTCAATGAATTGGGTGCCACAGGTCTTCTTTCTCTCACTACATTTGAACAATTTTCTTTCTACCCTCTTATTTTCTCACCGCAGTTCAGTGGGGGTCTCTACGGCTGCATTTGCACTATCAGTCCTTGAGGGCAACTCACAACCTGGCGTCTGGTTTCCCGAAGAGGTAAGGCTTCTCCTGCACAGGATGTCCTACCCAACGTCCCTCTTTGATCTCCTGGCCATTGATCTTCCACAGGAAGGAGGAATCCCCATTGAGGCAAGAGAAGTGCTCCTCCGACGGGCCTCCCAGGGAACGATCAATTTTATGATGAACAAGTGAGAACTATGGCCTTTTAATCTCAGTTATATCCCATGAGAACTATGATCTTCTCAGATAGAGAGAGAAAAAAAAAAGAAAAAAAAAGAAGAGAGCTTTAGATCTGTCTGGCGGCGCTCTCATCTTCTTCCTCACTGAAACAGGCCGCCATGGATGGTGGAGACTGACCCGAAAGAGCTTGGTCTAGGTATATATGTGTGAAGAGCTGAACGGTTCTCTGATATTTCCCCAAATAGTAGCAGCGCCATGGCTGCTGCTTGAAAGCTCCCCTCACCACACAGGTACCTCCTCTTCTCAGAAACCACTGACTACTCTCCACCTCTTCCTGCCTTCCATTTTTGTTGGTCCTCGATGCTGGAATGCGGAAAGCATTTGAGATCATGAACCCAGATGCCATCTAATGTATATACCCTAAATAGAAAAGTTGGGCGGCCTTTTCCGTTCTGGTTGACTTTTTTTATATAAAAAAGACCAGAAATATATTTTACTTTGGTTGACTAGAAAAAAAATTCTGTGGGCCCGAGTCTGACACATTGAGTCATCGGGTGAAGATCTATATGCCTAAAGTACCCCGTTGACCTAGGTAAGTAAGTAAGTAAGCCATCACACATCATGCTTAAAATTCTCATGCTCACACATCATGCTTGATATAGATAGTAAGTAAGCCATCACTTGTCCTAGGTAATGACCGAAGATGTATAGGTAAGATCTATATGCCTAAAATTCTCATGCTCACACATCATGCTTGATATAGATAGTAAGTAAGCCATCACTTGTCCTAGGTAATGACCGAAGATGTATAGGCCGAGCTCTGCCTGAATTGGGGACATCATTGCTGTGTGAGTTTTGTGGAAGCTGGAGTACCATCACGTGCTCCGGGCGAAGAGCCGCGCGGCGGATGAGTACGTCCGTGATTTTGCCGACGTAAAGTCTTTTCTCACATCCAGTCCACGTGGCAGTGCTCTTAGTCAACGGGTGGCGGTTCCTTGGCCGCCAGCCCCGCTGCATCTACCGTTCGCCTCTCGAGGAACTTACGATGGAGGTGATGCCAAACGCTAGCGATGAGAGTCTGAGTCCAGGATTTTCGGGATGTAGAGAGAGAGAGAGAGAGAGAGAGAGGCTGATTTGTCCGTTGAACAAAATTTTTGGCGGCCGAACCGTTCCGTTCGATCCGGCCTTAGCCGAGATCTGGCGGTCGAACCGGGGGGGGGGGGGGGTGGCGGGTCGAGCCGGGGAGGCCACCGTCCCATGTTCGGCGTACGATACCGGGCGAACGCTATTGGTGCACGTTAGCATTCGTCCTTGAGATTGTTTCCATCTCGGCAACCCTTCTCTCCGTCGCCCCCTCTTTCTCTCTCATCCCTCTTCCGCCCCTCGGCTTCCTTCCCAGCCATGCCTTTTCCCGTCGTCATCATCCCCGACCTTTGCTTCCCCCGCTCCTCCTGTGACTGCCTCTCCGCTGCTTCGCGTCCCTATCCTTTCTCGGGCTCCACCGCTGCTGCGCCGTTGCTGCTCACGACTGCCTGCTGCCGGGTGGGAAGTGCTACGGTTGTGTTGTCCCCCATCTCCGCTAGGTTGGGATCCTGAAGAAAACCTAATCGCGCATGGAACAGAGGCGTAACCCGAAGAACGGCGTGTCTCACTCCAATCTCTTCAATCTTGAGGTAGGTGACGCGGTGGGCTCTGGGCTTTGGGAGTTTCTTCATACTAGCCTTTTCAATGAAGCTGCCACCATGCGTTCAAGTTGGGTTTCTCGACCATCTTCGTGTTTTATGTGTGCTTCTTGATCGATCACGGGTGTAGCAGCTCAGGCTCCGTGGTGTACGAGTCTTCTGTGACCGTGATTTTCATTTCTTTTTAAACGTTTGAACGCAATTAGGGTTTTTTTTGGTTTTGCTCGTGTAGATTTCCGATAAGCTCTTAAACTGTTGTTTCTCTCATTCCGTCCCGCGCTCAGTTTCAGGCGTTGCTTTTTGGGAAAGCTTGAGTTTGATTTTTAATATTGCGATTAATGATATTTTGTTGTGAATGTGAGAGTCCTCCTAGCTGCTAACTTGTTCTTTTGTTTTTGTCGTCGGTTTGGCGTTCGAGCGTAGCCTTTGGTGAACTTCCGTCTCCCTCAACGAGACGATTTTGACTTCTATGGAAATAGTAGCCAGGACGAAAGCAGAGATAGTCAAGGTAGGACATCTAATGGTGTCTTTTAAAACCTCGTTTTGACTAATGCTGACTTCTGGGTTTCTTTGTCCTTGAAGAGTGTTTTCTTTTCCTTTTCCTACACTTATGTGATTTCGGCTGAACAGTTCGGAAGCGGGTTCTATAATTTTCTATGTGATTGTAATGCAGATCAGGGAGCTATGTTAGAACATGGGAATGGAGTCGCAGCCAAGAGATCTTTAGATATGAGCCTAACAAGGAGGAGGAGAAGGCACAATGTTGAACTTGAATCTGGCTTAAGTCCCTCCATCAGGACAGATGTGGATAGTAACGAGGAGGAAGAGGATGGCTACGAGACTCGAATTTCAGAGGAACAATATCGTTCAATGCTTGGAGAGCATGTTCAAAAGTACAGGAGATTAAGATTTAAATCATCTTCTTATGGTGCTGCATCGACCCAGACTGCCGTGCCAGTTCCAAAGATTTTTTATGGCTCAAAAGTGCAGAAGTATGGGAACGATTCTGTGGCCCCTATCAAGGAGGAGAGTTCTTTATATGAAACGGAAAGGTCACCAGAATATTATGGTGGTGATTTTTCGTCAGAGTATGGTGGAGCCAGTAAGTTCTCGTCCTCCATGGAGTCTCCTTATTTAGACATTGGGGAGGGGATCACATATCGAATACCTCCAACCTATGATAGGCTTGTGACTTCTCTGAAATTGCCAAGCCTCTCTGATATTTGGATAGAGGAGTATTACCTGAAGAGTACATTGGATATGCATTCCGTTGCTTCAATGATGGCTGCTGATAGAAGATTTGGGTCTTTAAGCCGAGGAGGGATGGGTGAACCTCTACCTCAGTATGAGTCACTTCAGGCTAGGCTGAAAGTATTATCTGCTTGTGGTGCACTCCCAAAATTTAGTCTCGAAGTTTGTGATGCTGGATTGGATCCATACGGTGTTCCAGAAGGAGCTGCAGGCCGTATGCGGCGGTTGATTATGACTGAGTCTGGTACCTTACAGGTTTTTTTTGTGAAAGTCTTGGAAAAAGGTGAATCTTATGAGGTCAGTATTTATTTATTTCTTCATTCATGGCTGAGTTGATTATTACATGAAGAATTTTTTTTGTTGTTAAAGTGCAATATTGATAACAGATTATTGAACGTAGTCTTCCTAAAAAGCAAATCATGAAGAAGGATCCTTCAGTATTTGAGAGAGAAGAGATGGATAAGATTGGCAGGGTCTGGGTAAGCATTGCCCGGAGGGACATACCAAAACATCATCGGATATTCAATAATTTTCATAGGAAGCAATTAGCAGATGCAAAGCGGTGCTCTGAGAACTGCCAAAGAGAGGTGTGTTACGTGTCATCATTATTTCAACTTGGTATTGCAATTATTTATTTCCTGATTTTTTTTCTTCGAGCATCAATCTTTTTTTTTTTTTTTGACGATTGCTATCATGGCATCAGGTGAAATTGAAAGTTGCTAGGTCATTCAAATTAATGAGGGGCGCATCCGTTCGTACTAGGAAGCTTGCTAGAGACATGCTGGCATACTGGAAAAAAGCAGATAAAGAGCAGGTGAACGTTTTTTCTTTCAATTTTTCCTGGTGGACATTTTTAGAATGCCAAATTAGGCACGGTCACCGGAGATGTTGAACTCATCCTTTAAATTGATTTTCCGCTCCTGTAATTTAAGGCTTGCAGATAGTTGCCTGTTTGATTATTGCTTAATGTTTGGTACGTCGAATTATGGAATCGGTTGCTTATCTGGTTCGAATTGGACTTGACCAGTAGGATCATTGTGTCATATAACAAAAACTCTTTGGACTAAAGGGGTTGCCTATTATCTTATTGCTCCAAGGCCTTTCATAGAAGTCGACCATGTATTTTTTTGGTTTTACTTATTCTGCAATAGATGTAATCAATGGTTTTTTTCTATACGGCATCTGAGAAAGGTGAGTTGGATTTACGGTTGCAATTTTTTCTTTGTCTCTGAGGCTGATAAGTCTATTGCGGACAATCATTTTAGAGTAACTTTCTCCCTTTACAAACTTTTGCCACGTGACTTGGCCTATTCTAATAAATCGGTGATTCGAATTTCTAAACGTAATTCGGCTGATAACTTGGACTGTTAATTGGCCAACTTCTGTTGTCAGCAGTTTTGGTAAAAGGACAGAAAACATTTGTTGCATCTGTCAAAGCTATTTTAAAACTAGCCTGTGCCATAACATAGATATCTATCAATATGGTCAGACATCAAGTCTCTATGAATGCAACTGTTATTTTTCTTACAATGCATGAACTTAGTGTGCCATCCATATCCTTCAATTTGCTTTCCACTAGAAATTTGTTTCTCACGACAAAGAGAACTGGGCCGGGTAACTATTGGCAAGACAATCAGGAAACTAGTGATTTAGAGATTTTGTGCACTACCCATCTCTCTTGTCCTTGGCTGTTCAAAGTTCTCTTTTTCATTCCCATACAGATCACCGCAAAAGTACTAACATGTTGCATCGTGTCTCGGTGTGTTGAGAAGTGTAATAAATTCTCCTTCCCTGCAAATATATCAAGTCAAGCTATTTGTTGTTGTTTAGGCTGACGTTGAGCTTGCATTCTTATGTTAACTACTTTTACTATAATTTCTTCTGCATGTCTAACTATAACTCAGAGAATCAGCCAATTGCGAATATAGCTTGGTTATTTGACGAAAAACTTCCACAATGATCAGATAGGAACGAATAAAATTGCAGCTATTCAATGAATTTATTATGATTGTTCACTTTGACTCTATAACTATAGCCTTGCAGCCGTGTTTCATTTGTATTGGTTTCTAGGAAGGCCTCTTCACAGCATGCTAGTCATTCTGAAGCACTGGGTATGGGTACTCTATTTAGCAGATTTTCACTTTTCATATGTTTTCGTTTCATATATATATAACACCGTTATTTTCAGCAGTCTTTTCCATTCTACTCTTATTGCCGTAAGCTTGATGACGGGCATTTATTTTAATCTTAGGCTTATTGCCGATGTTCAATCTTATTTGAATGTGCTATTCGACCATACTTTGCAGGCAGAGTTGAGGAAGAAAGAGGAGAGAGAAGCACAGGAGGCTATGAGGCGTAATGAGGAACTTCGTGAAGCAAAGAGACAACAACAGAGGCTTAACTTTCTGTTGTCTCAAACTGAGCTTTACAGTCACTTCATGCAGAATAAACCAACTTCTCAGGCCTCTAGTACTTTAGAAGACTCCAGAGACCAGATGTTGACCTCTGAAGATGCTGAAACAATAGAAGATGACGATCCTGAAGCAGCTGAGCTAAAAAGGGAGGCTCTTAGAGCAGCACAACAGGCTGTCTCCAAGCAAAAGGAAATAACGAATGCATTTGATGGTGAATGCCTCAGGCTGCGTCAAAATGTTGAACCTGAAGGCCTAGGAAGCGACGTCTCAATCACAGGGTCTGGCAAAATGGATCTACTGCATCCGTAAGTTGAACTTTCTTCACAGAAATATGGCTAGGTCGTCTGCTGCATTAACCTTTTTGTCATCAAAAGTTGTCTTACTCGGATTATTATGCCTGTGGATCTGTTAAGTCTGTGATAAGCTATGCTATTAACTTTGTTGCTGTCCCTGATATCCAAGACTAGCAAAAAAAGCTGTATCTCAATGTTGTTATTATAGCTAAAACCTTTGCACCACCAACTGATGTATTTTCTTGTCCTGTTAGTTTCTTCGATTGTGTTTTTTTTCATATCTTTCTACTGAATTTGTTATTCAAAAAGAATTTTGGATATGCTTTTTTGTTGGGTTATATTTTGCTAGCATTCCTAAATATCGGGCACTTTACATCCTCCCCCATTATTTTTTTGATCTTTTTATTATTGGAATAACTTTTTCTCCAGTGCCAGGCTTGACGAGATTGTAGTTGATAAGACCCTTGTGGTCAGTCACCTAGCTCGATTCACTAACTTTGTTTTGCTTCCTTCTCATGCATCTTGTCAATGCTTCATTCGTTCTGAAAATGTGCTGATCTAACATTTGCAGTGAATCATAACATGCTAGGCTATACTGACTTATTCTTTAAGTATGATGGTATTGGCTGATAATGAATGGTCTGCAGTCTGTTAACTTGTGGTCACTACTTACGTTGGATAATGCATGTTTCCAGATGAAGGCAGAATGAAGAAAATGATTCAAGTTTCCTCGAAATAATAGTGTGAACTGCTTGTTTTTCGCATCAAAAATTGATATTGATTAACAAGCAAATAGATGACCCACTAGAGTAATTGGATTTTGATTATTTTCAGCTCGACAATGCCGATGATATCATCAGTGAAGACACCAAAAATGTTTAAAGGCACTCTTAAAGAGTATCAGTTAAAGGGCTTGCAGTGGCTAGTAAATTGCTATGAGCAGGTATGGTGTACTTTATTTATAATTAATCTTTTTCTGGTGATTTCGTTCATGTTTATTTAGTATTCAACTTTTGCGTTCAGGGTTTGAATGGAATCCTTGCTGATGAAATGGGTCTCGGAAAGACAATCCAGGCTATGGCATTTTTGGCTTATTTGGCTGAGGTGTGTCACCAATTGGACGAATAAATTATTTGTAGCCTTCTTCATGGGCGCTCAAGTCTGTTTTGTTAACATGTTATATATTTCGTGCATAACCTTCACAAAACTGTCAAATTTTGCTCGAGATAGTTTTGAATTGGTATTTCTCATAAAGAGGAACGAAAATTTGAAAATTAAAATTTTGGTCTATTCAGTAACTGGAACTTGGAAAATGACCGCTGTCCACTGTCACAGGGATGAGGATGGTCACTCGCACTTTCCTTTTTCATCATTACTTTTGCATGATATGTTAACAAAAACTTAAATTCAGCTGTATTCCTATTGTTTCAATGAGAAAATTATCTTCGCATATTTTAGTTGGAAAGTTAAAAATATTTGCATTTTAAGACTGGAATTTTTTTTCTCAGCTTGTTCATTTCTGATCACTTTCAGAACCTCTATTCTCGATAGAGTTTTCAAAATGGTTGCTTTGATTTGAAGCTACCTTTTTTGATGACTTTAATTTTTGCACACCTGATCTTGTCATTTATTAATGCTTTATACAGGAGAAAGGCTTATGGGGTCCCTTCCTAGTCGTCGCTCCCTCTTCTGTTTTGAACAACTGGAATGATGAAATAATGCGCTTCTGCCCTGACCTGAAGACACTTCCCTACTGGGGTGGGCTTCAAGAGAGGACAATCCTGAGAAAAAATATACACCCAAAACGTTTGTATAGAAGGTAAAAAATGCCCATGATTCTGATGCATTCCATTAACCAGCTTTCAGAGATCATGCTAACTAGCTTCCTTATCCTTCACTCTTTTCACTAAAGATCAATTATTGCTTTAACCTTTCCAGGGATTCTGGATTTCACATTCTCATAACTAGCTACCAGTTGATTGTATCTGATGAGAAGTACCTCAAGCGGGTGAAATGGCAGTACATGGTGCTTGATGAAGCCCAGGCAATAAAAAGTTCAATGAGGTATGAAGTCCCTTCCGTCGTCTCACATTATGATATTGTCAGTGTGACTTCTGGGATTTCTGAGATTTCTGCCAGATCCCATTCTAGACTTCTGGCAAAATCTTGAATGGGTGAGAAACATCTTTAGACTTCGTATGTAATCTAAACTTTATCATATGGTTTTTATGTATACCAAACATCAAAAAAGCTCGTATATGAATGAGGTGCAGTGTTATTTGGCGAAAAAACCCAATTGCCCAATGAAGTATATGACAGATTCTTATCCTTCTGTTGGATTAATTCTCAACATAACTTAACTACTTTTTGGTTATTGGAACGTTTTTCCAGGCACATTTTCTCCCCACTTATGCCTTTGTTGATTTGCAGTATACGGTGGAGGACGCTGCTGAGTTTTAACTGTAGAAATCGCTTGCTTCTAACTGGAACACCCATACAAAATAACATGGCTGAACTCTGGGCACTGCTGCATTTTATCATGCCCACCTTATTTGACAGCCATGATCAGTTCAATGAGTGGTTTTCAAAGGGGTATCCTCTCGATCTCATTGCTGCAAAAGTTTGTGCGAACTCTGATTCATTTCAGCCTTCTAAATTCTTTTATCTTTTTTATTTCTTGCTGTTTATTTTAGGATTGAGGGCCATGCAGAACGGGGAGGTACTCTAAATGAACATCAGCTCAATAGACTGGTAAGGACAACTCTATCATATAAAAAGTTGTTAAATCACTAGATTCACCTATGGTGTTTGCTTTTTCAGTTATTCCTTCTATAACATATTTACCAATTCAACTAAGAGGTCTGAGAGAACTTACGGTTTATCTTTGGCTGCAGCATACCATTTTAAAGCCATTTATGTTGCGAAGGGTAAAGAAGGATGTCATTACAGAAATGACCGGGAAAACAGAAGTTATTGTTCATTGTAAATTGAGTTCTCGGCAGCAGGCCTTTTACCAAGCTATTAAAAACAAAATTTCTCTTGCTGAGCTTTTTGACGGTAGCCGTGGCACACTTAATGAGAAAAAAATTCTTAACTTGATGAACATTGTCATTCAGTTAAGGAAGGTATGCAGTTGAGTTATGCATGGTTTATGATAAAGAAGAAATATTTTTGTTCATTTGCTGTAAATTATGCTTCTTTTCTCATGGTTTTCCTGTTATCAAACTATTTTAAATATTATTTTTTGGAATCTTCTGTTAAGCCCCAAATTTACTTTTATTGGCAGGTTTGTAATCATCCAGAGTTGTTTGAGCGAAATGAGGGATGCACGTCTTTTTATTTTGGGGAAATACCAAATTCTCTTCTGCCTCCTCCTTTTGGGGACTTGGAGGACATTCACTATGCAGGAGCTTGGAATCCTGTCTCGTATAAGGCAAGCCATGTTGTTGCTGATGTTTTTTTATATCATATCGAAGACTTATCACAAGTTTTGGGATGAGAAAGCAAGTTAAATGTTACCACCTGGGATATAAAGTTTTAGTTGTGTCTTTGTTTGGCTATATTGAAATGAATTTTATTTATTTCAGGTGCCAAAACTTGTCCATGAAGAAGTCATTCGACGCACTGAAATTCCCTTTGCAGAATCTTGTGGGGCTGTTCAGCAGGAATCTATTGAGAGACTTTTTGATATATTTTCGGAGAATAATGTTTTTCAGTCTGCGGTTCCCCAATCTAGAGACACAGATGCGTATGCAGAGAGTGGCACTTTTGGTTTTAGTCGCTTGATAGATCTCTCGCCTGCTGAGGTTTCTTTTATAGCAAAGGCCTCTATTCTTGAACGGTTGTTATTCTCTTTGTCAAGGTGGGACAGATCAGGTATAGATGAAGTACTGAACATGTTCTTGGAGTTGGAGGGTGATGTTGCTGAATATGCTGATATTGAAAAAGAGAAGGCGCAGGCTATTATGAGGATGCTACTACTGCCCACTAAGTGTGAATCTAGTTTACTTCGAAGAAAGCTTGCTACTGGCCCAGGATCTTCGCCATATGAGGCATTAGTCAACTCGCATCGAGAGAGATTTATGTCTAGTGCAAGGCTTCTGCATTTCACACATGCTTTCATCCCGAAAGCTAGGGCTCCACCTGTGAGTTTTTCCTTTTTTTAGTGGGTTGGCTTTCCATTACAGTCTCATGGTTTGTTTCCGTTGCCCAATGTTAATCTAGTTTAGTGTCCCTATGTTTCCATTACAATCACATAGTTGATTACTCTGTCACCTTGCTACGTATTTACGCCTTCTATTTTTGCAGGTTACTGCCTTGTGCTCTGATAGGAGCTTTGCCTATCAAATGGCTGAAGAATTGCATAATCCTTGGGTTAAACGGTTACTTGTTGGATTTGCTCGTACGTCTGAGTTTAATGGCCCAAGAATACCTATCACTCCTCATAACTTAATAGAGGAGATAGACTCAAAGCTTCCTGTTTCCCAGCCCATTCTCCAACTCACTCATGACATTTTTGGTTCTTCTCCCCCCATGCAAAGCTTTGACCCTGCCAAAATGCTCACGGTATAATATTTTTTCTCTCATATGGATCTAAAGTTTGTTGATTTATCGTTTGCTTCACTGAAGATTAAGCAGTCTTTTTATTTTTCATTTATTAATATGATTCTGGCCGTCTGCAGGATTCTGGGAAGCTTCAAACACTTGATATATTATTGAAGCGCCTTCGTGCTGAAAATCATCGTGTGCTTTTGTTTGCTCAAATGACAAAGATGCTGAACATCCTTGAGGTATTTTACGTTCTTGTACCATAAAAACCTGCATTCATCCTGTTTTACTCTTATGTATCTGAAGAGCACCGTTAGTCTCATCCAAATGTTCATGCAGACTTCCACATGATTTAAGGGAAGCCTAAGTTTTCTTTTGGTTTGCATAATAGAGACAGAGACGCCCTTCTTGCATTTTCTCGTATTAAATGTGTTTCATCTAAGCTTTAGATTGATTTTACCTCTTTTGCCCCATTTTGCATTATGAATGCTGAATCCTGAGTCGCTGAAACTAAGAAATGACTGAAGTAGGAGTCATAACCTTCTTTCCATGGGAATGCAAAAACATGGTTCAATGTTCAGTCATGTAACTTGATCAACAAGATGAAAGGTTTTGAATAAAATGATTTTGATATAGAAAATAGCTCCCATCGGACAGATTTGCTTTCATCTTAAGAGGGTGAAAAGATTATGGGGAGATGAACCATCATTTATGGATATGTTGGTTGCAAAGATGTTCTCAGTTAGGAATGGAAATGAAGGGATGAAATCTATTTCGGCCTAGAATATCCTGGATGGCTCGTGGATATTTCATGATGGGTCTTTTTCTTCCCCCTGAAAAATACTGAATGGTTATTTATCTGGAATTATTGGTCTTTCTTCTTTCGTGGGGCGTTCCTAGACAGGTAATATGGTCTTCTGAAGGAGTCCAGTTTTTTCGCCTTGTGTTGTTTGACCAAGCTGGAGAATGATCTTGCTGTAAGTTTCAGATTTTCTAGGATTTTCAGTGGTAGAAAGACGTCCATTTGAGGTTTTTTTGGTGTGGTGCCTGTCAATCTTGAACTGTAGCTCTCACCTGTCGCTTGTCAAATTTATGACTGGCCTTGCAGAAGGGCGTGATTGGTTACCTTAGCCGGGGTATTTGGTTAGGATTTGAGTTGGGAAATCGAGTTTCGGTGTAATGCATTTTAAAAATGACGCTGCCTCCAATCTACATACTACTATATGTTCATTTAAAAGGTTTGAGATTCACTACTTTTTTCTCTCTTGGTTCCTTCAGATGTCTCCTATAGTGGCTCCATTTTTTTACCGTCTTCAAGAGTTTTAAAGTTACGCCACCTTGAGTACTGATTTCAGCTACCTAGACGTTGATCATTGTTCTTTTTCACTGGCCAATATTTGTGACATAGACCTCATCCGAATCGTTTCATAGATTAGACCGCTTTATGTCTCGGTTGCACTTCACTTCACCTGATGTGTCCTTATTCCTTATTGGTCTCGATATGAAATGTGCCAACATTTTGAAAGTCAGAATCACTAGTAGCACATGCATTGCCAACGGTAATGCCCCTCTCATTTACAGCAGTGATTTGTATATTTTTTTCCTATATGCATGAGAAATCTATTGACATCGCAGTAAAAAAGGTACACAGCAAAGTTATAAGCATGCAGAGGATTGAAAGATGGTAGAGACAAATTAGTCAAGGAAACGTTCTTAAGAGAGAGCTCGTTGCCTAGATCAATGGCAATCACATGTTGGTGTACCATTTCTGTTTTGGTTACTTTATTAATAACGTACCCCTGGATATTATCACTCATCAAGCATTTCCCTTGGTGAATATTCTAAATGTCTCCTTCATCTTAGAATGAAATCCGTGGGTATTTTTTGCTGACCTTGGATTGATTCTTGGTAGATTGATCACAATGGTGATTTGTCAGTTTGATTGCAATGGTGTGTTAATGCATTTAATGTCCCTAGCTTTATATACCTTTCTCCCATGGTTTCTTTCTGACCCTTATTTCTGATTGCACGCAGGATTACATGAATTACAGGAAATATAGGTATCTTAGACTTGATGGATCTTCTACTATCATGGACCGCCGTGACATGGTTAGGGACTTCCAGCACAGGTTGGCATTTTTCACCTTTTTAAGTCTTTATTTTTATTTATTTCCTAGTTCATGTTTTTTCTGTTACAGTCAGGATGTAGCTCTAAATCCCTCATAGGTTTGACCATGCTATTTTTTGACTCTTCTCTCTCTCTCTCTCTCAGGAGTGACATTTTTGTTTTCTTGCTGAGCACGAGAGCTGGAGGTTTAGGTATAAATTTGACAGCTGCTGATACTGTGATCTTCTATGAGAGTGACTGGAATCCAACATTAGATTTACAGGCAATGGACAGGGCACATAGGTTGGGTCAGACAAAAGAGGTCAGTAAACCATCCTTAAATTTCGCTCTTTCCTCTAATACATGTTAGAATTAGCCAACCTGCGTTGTTAAAACTTCAAGGTAATTTATTAATTTGAGAGTGTTTTTCACGTGGGCTTATATGTGTCTAGGAAGTCTGCCTGAATGCTGATAGTCCTAAATGAGAAATTGTGTTTTTACTCACTCTTTTTGCTTTTCGATGTAAACATAATACCAAGTTGGCCAGTATTGGCAGGCAAGTTTTATTTTATTACCCCGTCTGTGATATTCAAAGACCACACTTTTAACGCAATTATAGTTCCTTTGAAACAATATGAAGTTTGATCATTCCAAACTGTTCGGCCTGTTTCTGAGTCTTCCTAAATTCTGGATTCATGGCCATTGGATCACTTGATGTGGAAGCCATGTAGATAATTTCTTACGCTTATCAGAGTAGTTATTCTTCATATGGTTACATTTAGAATTTGACCTTTTCTTATTCCCCAAATGATTACCGATATCTTTGCTTGAAGATCATCATGTGAAACTTTATTGCAAACTGAATTGACAGTTATATCGTTGATTTCAATGTATGTTGCACATATAGCGAATTATAAATCGTATATTTTATCTAATTGTGCAAATGAGTCCTTTGCTTAATCTCCTATGCTCACCATCATTGAAGGACGGACAAAACAATGTTGCCAACGGTAACTGATAGGCTCTTCTCTAAGCTTGTGATTTGCCTCCTCTGGTGGGAGCACCTGTCAAATTAGGGGAGAAGTTAAGATAGGAATGGTGGATTCCGCAACTGGTGTGGTCCATTCAACCAAGCAGCCAGTCAGATCTCTGGCCATCCGATTCTGGCCATCTAACAGAATGATCGTAAAAGGCTTAGAAAAACACTAGGACAACTCCTTTTTGGTTGTTTTCATGCTAAAAAGCTTAATCTGAGGTGAAATTTTCAAAAGTGAAATTATCCTCACTGGTTCTTATTGTACGAACAGCGAAAGCCTAATTTAACCATTTTTGATTTCAGGAGGAAAAGGACGTGTGTTCTTTTCCTTTCTTAGCTTCCAGCTGTACTAAACAGATTGGGTACCTGACATTCAATGAATCTTAAGGCGGCAAGTATCATTATTCCTAATTCAATATGCGCAGAGGGTGAGCAAGATTTTAAGCATCCTAGGAGTACGGCGAACTATATAAAAAGTTTAACTTTCTGTTAGACTAATCAACTGGATGTGGTAGTGGTCTTGTCCAAATGTTACATACTTTTTCTGAATCCGTCTGTATTGACCAAGTCAAACGCTCAAAATTCCTAGAAGAAGAAAAACTTGTTAAATACTGATAGTAGCAAATGATCTGGATCTGGATTGAGACCCCGAAGTGTAAAACTTATGCTCAAACTTGTGACGTTCTGAGTATGCCGCTCAGCATTGACTATGCGTGGACTTTTCTTTTAAATATGAGAATTTTCTGCCTTGTAGGCACACAAATCAGTGTAGTGTTTTTTAATGATTCGGATGCATGATTTGACACCTTTGGACTGAAAAGGGGAAGCTAGTTTTCATTGTAAAAAAGAGATCAACTTAAAGGAAACCCGTCGTATTTTCATGCAGAGGGTTGGCATTATTTCCTTTGTTTGTGGCTTATATATATAATCCTAGAAATTATGAAATTATTCGCTGTTAAAATCTGTTGAGATGATGTCTCATATTTTCTCCCCTCAAAACTGAATTGATCATAATGGTTCACCGTTCAGTGCGGGTTAGCCGCCTAGAAATAATTATTTTTTTAGCCCAGATTTACAGGTTATGCTGTTTTCTAGGTCACTGTGTACCGATTGATATGCAAGGAGACAGTTGAAGAGAAGATCCTTCAGAGAGCAAGCCAGAAGAGCACGGTGCAACAATTGGTCATGACAGGTGGCCACGTCCAAGGAGAGCTGATGGCGCCAGAAGATGTCGTCTCTTTACTTCTTGATGATGTTCAGTTGGAGCAGAAATTAAAAGATATCTCCCTTCATGTGAGTGGCCTACCCTCCTAAGTACCATCCATGTTGCTTTCTGACTTAAGCTTCTGCATTACCTCCCACAATATTTCTCTGCAGCCTGTAGTGAATCAAATTTTCTTCATGGCATGGATTTTTCTTCTTTCCTTTCCAGGCGAAAGATAGGCAGAAGAAGAAACGTGTGACCAAGGGAATCCGAGTGAATGAAGAGGGAGACGCCTCCTTAGAGGACTATGCCATCCCTGGAGCAGAGGATGGCGGTGGTGAGTCTGGACCTCCTGAACAGGCAACCGGCACAACTAATAGTAAAAAGGTATTGATCTATCCTCATCCGCCGTCATTTAGCTAGTCACATGGATTGTTTCGAGTTTTTGGCCAAATGGGATTTGGTTTTCATACCCCAGCAACTAAGTCTCTTTCAAGCCTTGACAATCTTTTTTGTTAACAACTGTTTGGTACAAAACTTTTCAGAGAAAATCAGGCCAGGGACCAAAGGCCAGGGACCAGCCAAGGCCCACTATTTCTGCAGATCCTGGTGTGGAATTGGATGAAGATCTCGACAGTGAGGATAAGTTGAAGAACCCTAAACGGGCCAAGAAGAGCATCAGCGGGGACCCTCAGCCTGCCATTAAGGTTCCTCCAGCTCCTGCAACTCTGGATGATGGCCGAGAAGCTGAGGATCAAGTTTTATCTTCTGGACCTGCCGAAGTTGGATGAGGATCCCAAAAGAAGGAATAGATTGTCATGCCAGTGCGATGAGGAGTGTCCACCCTGGATCCCTGCGAGCCCTACCTAGAGGCACCATTTTTGGCAATAAGGTGACTGAGAGGCCCCAATCCAGGATCCCATGCGGATTATTCATGGGCACGCCAGCGAAGCTGGTCCTGACAGAAGCTAAGACGTGAGGTGGAAGATCTTCTGTACAGTAACATGGATAATTCCACGGCTGATCATGGTGGGAGTGGGATATGTACAGGCAGGATGCAGAATTTCTTGGTTGGCATTAGGTTTATGTATTCTTCTTTGGCCTCTTTTTACTTCTTTGATAAACAGGATTTCCGGGCCCAGTTATTCACTTCAGCTGCGGCATTAAGGGCTCTGTGTATGGGATGCTAGATGAGATGGACGAGGCTCTTCTCCCTTGTTCCAGAGGAACGGAGGTGGTTTTGTTCCATTCGGCTTCTTTATGGAAACGTGTCCCAGATCTGAGGCACACAAGCTGCCTGTTCAAGCGGGTTGGAGGCTTTTTACCAATCTCCAGTTGGGATGTGGGTACCCCTAGCAGATGTTAATTATTAATCTCCAATTCAAGGGGGATCTTCCTGTTCTCCATCTGGGATCTCTAAATTTTGACTGAATTAAAAAAAAAAAAAAAGGGGGGGGACTTGGAAGTTCTTAAGATTCATCTTGAGGGTTAGCTTGTGATGCCATTTTTGTCAGCATTCCTTTGGCAATCAGTCAGTTCCGACCTACCAGGCCATGTGATCGGCAAACCTTGCAGCTGAACGATTTTCTTTTTCTTTCCATTAGTGCTTTCTAATTTTGAGCCCTGGAAAAAAACCAGTGAATAACAAAACAAGTTCTCATATGAACTCTCCGAGGCAAAGACTTTACCTAATTCGCCTATTAATAATGCCTTCTACTCAATAAAAGATTTTAGAATGATAAGAACTGGAACGATAACCAAGTTCTTCTGCCAGTAGCAGAAGGAAATATATCTACAGGATGTTTTCTTTGAAGCCATGGACGGAGCAACGTGTAAAATTCTTCTAACAGTTGTTATTTAAAATATGGGTACTTAATGAGGCAATAGAACTTTAACTTTCCTACAGATATGTTGATACTTCTATTTCCTGATATGTACCGGATGGTTGAAGTAGTTTAAATTTTCCAAGGATTTAATTCTTTTATTCCTGTAATGTGATTTCTTGGTCACCATTCATGGCTTGGAGAAGGATCTGACCTTCCAGCCTGTGAATCAGCCCATGTATTGGAGAATATTTAGGTTTTTTCCATAAAATACAAAGAGCATATATAAAAACTTGTTGAAAACTAATGTGTGATGGTACTTTGATGGGTTTAGATCCCTTTGATTCTGGATAGCATATAACTCTTCAGAAAACATGGAAAGTAAAAAAATAAGGAAAAATAATGTATGTGATCCTGAGAAGGGTGTTAGAACTCAATTCAGATGTTGGAACACTTGATGGTGCATGCTCAATAGTCTTGGAATGTTTCTCATGCCATATTGTTTCCTCAAGATGTCTTTCCATGTGTTGGGACATTCCTTGGATGCCCCCATCTATGAGAAATAGAGAGAAGTTGATTTTCAAATTGTTTGGTCCCGTAGAATCGTGAATCTAAGAGAGAGGAGAGATCATTTTCTAGCTTTGCCCCCCATATCATAGTAAATCTACAAAAAGATTCTTACGTGGGATCCTTGTTGTGTCTATGTTTTTTGTTATTAATAAGTAATCATGTAAATATAAAGTATAATAAAAAAATGATTTTAATATATTGATCCCTAAATCAAGATCTAAATCTATAGATCTAGTGTTTTTCCATTGTAGAGGCACGTGCTTTAGGCCTTAGATGATGAAAATTGATGTTTTCAATAACAAAATAATCGTGAAATTAACTAAAAAAATCACATGATTTTCAAAGAAAAAGTAGAGAAATCAGAGTGGGTGAATTCAGCAAGAAGAATGTCAACCCGTTTCAAGAAAGATAGACACATTTTGACCCATTTTTGGTCAACAAAGAAGAAAGTTTTTCAACTCATTAGTCAAATTAGACAAGACCAAATGATAGAGGAAAGATATTTATGACAACATTAGCATATCTCGACATGTGCAGATGATCTACAATAAGGATAATGTATATATAGTCATGTGGCATAAGATATCAAATAAGGTGGATGTATTTAGGCATGTGGTAAAATATCTCTAATAAATGTATCTTGACATGATAGAAGATCAAAGACATCATAATAGATAATCTAGCACAAGTTTTACAACACTACTAACCCTAGTAATCTTTGGTGGACTATATCTCAACAATTTGGCATCCAAAAGTTGAGACTTTGGAGGCTATGAGTAGCTCTTTTGGAAGAACTTTCAAGGAATGACTCAATGATATGAAATTTCATCCTAATCTTCAAAATCAACTCGAGAAAATTGTACTAAATGTTCAAATGTGCCCAAACTTCCTCCTAAAATTATTTACATCAATAAGTAGGCTAAAAACTCAGGATTTGAAGATTAATGTAAGTTCCTATAAATTTATTTACATCAAGACACATTGAGTGATTGTGACGGTAGTGTTGGGCATGAGTGTCACTTCTTTGCACATTTGATACTAATACAAACATGTGAGAGAGAAAGGGGAGAGAGGCAAGAGACAAGGGCACACTAGATATACATGGTATGGAGAATCATCCTACGTCCATATTTGCATAGGTTCTCATTCTTTCTTAAGGGGGGAAAGTCATCTTACAACACCTGCAGTACTCTAATAAGCTTTGACATTTCCCCATCTTTCTTATAATGCAGATCTAGGGAAAATATGTAGAGACAGGAGAATCATGCTCAGAAATTTGTTCTCCACATCCACATCTAAAATAGGTGTTTTCAAATGAGGAGATGGACTTATAAAATCTATAGTGTAATAGAGTTCATGATTCCATGAATTTCACATCTATATAATTAAGAGAAAATAGTGAAAACCAATGTTAAGAACCATTGGAAAATGAACATAGGCTTAGGAAAGACCAAAACATTATTAATTTTTGTGCCCGAACTAAAATTTAGTGTGTCAACCTAGTGAACTCAACTAGCATATTGACTTGCAGAATTTTATGTAGACCTAATGAAACTTGTGTTGAGTCACTTTAGTTGAAATTATAAAAATAATTCAAAATAAAAAAAAACTAAATGTACTATAAAATCAATCCCCACTCCTGATAAGGGAGGAAAAAATTATACCATAGAGCACATTAGCAAAAGATTAACCACCATAAATTGTAGATCCATGGCTAGCTCTTCAAGAAGTACATTTTCAGAAGGCTGCTCCCCATAAAGACCTCAACTTATTGGATTATAGTACACATTATGAAGATTTCTTTTCAAGCAATTTATTTGGCTGGATGGAATCTAACTGAATATGCCCATTACATTCTCTCTAAAGAGCTTATTGATACATATATTGATAGAGAAGAAATATTGTTGTCATTAAATGTAAAGGCTGTAAATATATTATTTATGTTTTTTATTTGAATGAATTTAATGTAATTTAATTTGTGAGATAGCAAAAAGAACATGGGACAAACTTGATGCCACCTACATAAATATACATTAACGATTTTGAAAGGAATATTTTGGAACAAAGGTATAAGCTTTTTACTATAGATAAAATTGAGTCTATTAAAAATATGTGGACTATATTTATTGACATATTTCATTAAAACGCCCAGGAAAACTTATTAAGAGACAGAATAAAATAAAAGTAATCAGATCATTAACCTCCATTTGGAAACCCAAGGTCAGTCTCATTGCCAAAACTAGAGATCTGAATAGAGTAACAATATATGAATTAGTTAGGTATGCACTAACCTCTAAATTAGGACTCTCTAGGGAGGATATAGAGGTGATAAAGAAAAAAAAAAGCCCAAATCAGTAAAAAGAATGAAACTAAGTCGAGTTTGAAGAATAATAAAAAGGTTGTTAAGAAATTCTTAAAAAGAAAGAGAAATGATAACAACAATATTTTTCATCATCCAAATACTTGACAACAACAATATTTACATATATGCAATTATAATAAACTTTTAAAACCTTGAAGCACATTTTACATTGTCCAATTTCTTTCTCTTTGAGATTGATGTTAGAAATATTAATCCTTTTCCAAATATTTCGTAGTACAATAGTAGATGAAATGATTGTGTTATCTATATAATCATTGAGTAATTGACATTAAAGAAAATATCAATCCTCCAATTTATTTATTGTTCACAAACATTACTAATGCTTCAAATGCACTCGGCTAGTTGTTTCACTATTTATGATGTTTCCCTTTAAGGTATAGGGTGATATCTAGTGCTAACCTTGCAACCTCTTCATTCATTTGATTTGAAATCAATAATAAAATTATATAGAATTAAATCTAGGTATGTATGGTTGATACTATAAAAATGAGGCTGGCAATTCTAATGGTTGTGGTGGTTATCTCACCAAGAGGGCCGTCAACTCCTTTTAATTCATTATGATATTTATTATAGAATAAGACATTTAGAATTAGTTGATTCAATAATACTTAAAAATTAGTCTGATTTCAGGGAAAATTAAATTATGCAATTGATTGTTCTGATTCCTCATCGAAATTGATTGTGCTATTAATGTGGCTCACCTTTCAGATGGCCGCATTTAATGGAGGGACGAGGAGAAGCTGTCGTCCATGAGAGAAAGAAACAATTTGTTCACGGACCAATTTTCTTAGAGTGGAATGGCCCATTTGTGGGCGGATTGGGTGAAACAGGAAGGGCTGGATTACGGGCGAACCAATTCAGGCGGATGGAGGAAACATCTCAGTTGACTGTTTCTTAAGGAAATGGCCCACGTGTGGCATGTTTACTGAAGTCATTGACGCGGGACACATTTCCCCAATTCATCCCAAGTGCTTATAAATGGGGGACCCCCTCTCCTCATTTGTGTATCCCATTAGAGAGAGTTTGGGAGTGAGTTCCATAGGAAGATCTCTTTTTGGGTTGGTGAGTGCTTTGAGTTTTTGGTAAGAGTTCTGTATTCTTTTGCCCGTGGATGTATGAAGTCGACCTCCAAATAACGAAAAATTTCTTGTCTCAATACTCTTGCTGCGAGTTGGTCCTTCTCCTCTCTTCTACTTCTCGTTATACTGATTATGTGAACATTATTTTGGAAGTCTATAGTAAGCTTTTGGTCCAACAGATTGGAAGGGAAGAGTTCAAGATCCTCTTAGAGGAGCAAGACTGTTCCCATCTAACCTCCAGACAACCTTTTCATTTCAAATGATACATTTTATGTTCCTATTGACACGAGCTGTTAACGTGTAAAAAAGTCCTTGTTTATGTCTATATCCATGACTTGGTCATCTAGGTGTGGGAACCTCACGATTTGGACAAAGTAAACCAAGTTAAAGGGGACGCCTTGCTGCCTTTGTGAGTTATCCTAATTAGCTGCCATTACCCACGAGGAGTTCTGCAAAAATGATGTAGAAGTAGTCATTGTTTTTTAACTGATTTTAACCTTAGTAAAGTGGGGTGGTAATGTTAAATTTTACTGCATCAAATTCAGACCTTTGTTGTCTTGAAAATTATCAGGACGATATTCTCCAAACTCGCTAGTAATAAATATGTTACCATCGTTAAATAGTAACAATCATGCATATAATATTTACGTGGAAAACCCTAGCCGAGGAAAAGGTAAAAGAGAAGAAAGTAGTGACTTTCGAAATGTGATTTCCATGTCTCATTACGCCTGGACACCTCTTCCCCTCCAAATGCACATCCTAACGCCAGAACTCCATTGTCTTTGGTCAACGGACTCTAACTGAGACCAGTTTTTAATACCTTCCCCAGAGACTTAGGGCACTATCTCTAAAACTCTGAACCCACCCCATGGATTAAGAGGCGCTGCTCTCTCGCCACCCACTATGAGCTCAACCCATGACTATCCCCCGATGACACCCATGTTGACTCTGAACATCTGCATACAATGTCTTGGCACAATCGGGAGAATAACCTTTCTGGATGAAAAATGTTAAATGCAGTTAATATTTTGAAATAACTCTCAATCACTCTTACAATGGATACTGCGAATTTGAACTGAGATCTGCAGAAATAATGGAAAAGATTAATGCAAGAAAATATGTCGTATACCAGCATGGGTATCTCGACTTCGAAATAGTCCAATAGGCGGACAAGATTCCTGTGGGTGAGCTGAGAAAGTATTGGCACCTCATAGGCAAACTGGTTTCCTCTTCTCTTATCAATTTTTTGATATTTCATGGTAACAACGACTCTATCTTGCTATATATATATCGTGGCTCTTTCATCACGAATGTGTCTCTTTTGAAACTCTCTAATGCTTCAGCTATATTCATATATCTATACACATAATGAAAAGTAGGGGTAAAGACTCAGAGAGAGAGGAAGAGAATAGGCTTATTTTATCAACCCCGCTGGGTTATTGCGGCCAGCATAATTTCCAGCCTAAACCTAAGCATAGATGTCTGGGCCAAAACCCCAATGGTCGGTATGGTCGGTGTGACTTTAATTCCATGGTGCCCGGAAAGCTGGGGAAGAGAGAGAGAGAAAGAGGTTGATCCAAAAGGTCCAACGGCGACGAATCGTCAACATAGAACTTCCTGTTAGATTTGCCTATTCTGCCGTCTAGATTGGCAGGAGGGCGCCGTTAGACAACAACCATGACACGGCAGCCGTGACCACATGGCTGAAGTAGCTCCAGATGCGGAAGTGTTCAGCGGTACAAGCCCGAGGAAGTCTGGCAGCCTCAAGAAGCTTTGCAGAAGATTTGCCAGAGTTTGAATTTACCTGCCGAGACTGTAACATGTGTAGGTACCGCCGGAGAACGAGCACCGTGAACAAGGACCACAGGTTTCCATGAGCATTGGACAGAAGAAGGTCGGAAATGATCATTCCACGCCATTCGCCATTGAGAGACTGCCAACTTACGTGTATCTCTCGCTCTCCTCTAACTTTTTTGTTCCTTGAGACTTTTAATGGTGGGAAAGACGTCACAGTCCGTTACAGGCAGATATGTTTCAAAACCGTGATTCCTGAAGACCGGATGTGCCGCGACGACCGACTGAAGGGCAAGATGACCAGCCGCTCCACGCAACCGTGAAGACTAGGACAGATAATCGTTGACTTCATAAAGTGCATAGTCGCGAAGACTCGCGCGTAGAACGTTAACTTGAACGGCAATGAATGGGTTTCCCTTCCCCATACTATAAATACGAAGGGAAGTCGAGATGGCGTAATGGAGATCCGAGGCCTTTCAGACTCTTAACTGCAAAGGTTTTCCTCGGGCGAGGACTGTTCGATTCCATGGCATCCTGCCCCCCACGACCATGGATGATGACCATTGCTGTAACAATACTTTCTGCTTTTCTAACGGCAGGCCCAGCAAGTATGCTCTCCTTCTTTCTAGTCTATCTCTCCTCTCCTCTCCTCTCCTCCGTCTCTTCCCCTCCCTCCCTCCCTCTCGCCCCCCACTATTTCATAAATATCTGTTTACATGCCTCTCGCCTCCCCTTCCTCGGCATCTGTTCACATGATCTTAGTTCTGATCATGGTCGCATTATTTACATCAGACGTATTAAATATTCAGCTAATCACTCATCGACATTGCTTAAGAGATCACGAAATGAGGCCTTTCCTTCCTTATTAGTAGACGTCTGGTATCAAATCTATAGATTTTGACGGAACAACAGCTCATATTTCCTCGTCTACATCTTTTTTCCCGCAGGAGCTAAAGTTGGCGTTTGCTATGGCATGCTGGGCGATAACCTGCCGCCTCCCGCTGAGGTGGTGGCGCTCTACAAGCAGAACAATATTGGCCGCGTGAGGATCTTCTTCCCCACCGACGACGTCCTTCAGGCCCTGCGGGGCTCCAATATCGACCTCATCCTGGACGTCCCAAGCGAACACTTGCAGCGTATTGCCTCCTCGTCTGTCGACGCCTCTAATTGGGTCCAGCGTAATGTCTTGGCTTACTGGCCGGACGTCAGGCTACGCTACATTGGCGTCGGAAATGAGCTCATCCCCAGAAGGACCGAGGCCCAGTAAGTCCTCCCCTCCATGCAGAACATCTACAACGCGCTCTCTTCTGCCGGCCTCGCGAATCAGATCAAGGTTTCGACGGTCGTCGACATGGGAATTCTCGGACAATCTTATCCCCCTTCGGCCGGCAAGTTCACCGCCAGCTCTAAGCGTTTCCTGACGCCCATCGTGGGATTCCTAACCCGCACCGGGGCGCCGCTGCTGGCCAATGTCTACCCGTACTTCTCTTACATCGGCAACCAGAGGGACATCTCGCTTGACTACGCCCTCTTCACCTCCCCGGGCACCGTCGTCACCGACGGGCGTTTCGTCTACCAGAACCTGTTCGACGCCATTCTCGATTCCGTCCAAGCTGCTCTCTAGGAGATCGGCGAGGGCGGCTTGAAAGTCGCCGTTACGGAGAGCGGCTGGCCGTCGGCGGGCGGCGACACCGCTACCATCCACAACGCCCGGACCTACAATCAGAACTTCATCCGCCACGCGCCGAAAGGGACGCCGAGGAGGCCGGGGAGGCCCATCGAGGCTTACATATTCGCGATGTTCAACGAGAACAAAAAGCTTCAGGGCACGGAGCAGAACTTCGGGCTGTTCTACCCCAATAAGCAGCCCGTCTACCCAATCAGCTTCTAGTGTCGATCATCCATCCAATAAAGCGTACTAATTCACGCATTTCTGAATAAGAAAACTTGAATTACCTCTTTGAAGAGGTCCTACCGGATGAATAACCCTTCGTGAATACGTTTTGATATATATCTTGGGAATCAAACGTGGAAGAACTGTCTGTAGTAGTTCTTCATCGTATGAATGAATGTAAAAGACGTTTGTGGCGAGAAAGATACTGCACTTTTACGGGCAAACAGACCGATATGATTGTTCTGGCCGTGGTCAGCGGAAGTCAATGGAACAGTGCCGGGCTCATGCGGTGGTAAAAAAAGAAAAACCTTAATTTCGACCGAAGCCCAATAGAAAAGTTCAGAAACTAGGCCATGGGAAAGAACTCCAAGGAACATATCCTACGGCAGCCAGACTGGATGGGGATTGATTTTATTACGCATTCATTGTCAAGCGATTGTAGTTGGATGGGGAGAAAATAGGTGATATTGCTCGGGGGCCGGTCCAACTCAAAATTCATTGGCATTTAATAGGATAGATCAATTTTATATTTCATGCACTGGTGTTGCGGCCAAATCCACCAGAAAAAGATATGATTTTCATAACAAGATTATCTGATGTATATATCATATTCGGGGGTAATCCATCCGGTACGCTCTCTAGATTGATCACATCTTGAGGTTGATCGGATAAGCCGGCTGCTTGTTGGGGTAAAACAGCCCAAAGTTCTCCTCCGTTCCCAGAACTTTCTTGTCCACGTTGAACATGGTGAATATGTAGTATGTCTAAATGGCCTTCCCCAGCCTCCTTGGCATCCCTCCGTCTTGTGGTGGATGAGGTTCTGCGTGGAGTTCTAGGCATTGTTGATAGAAGCTGCGGCACTGCCATCTGATGGCCACCCGCTCTTTGACACCACAACCTCCAAGCCACATATGCCAATTAATATGGAATGTGTTGATGAAAGACTAAAGTACCCTAGATCAACAGCTTAGTCTTGACTCTCACATTAAATCTATGAAATTTATGAGGGTTTAGTGTAGGATGGAGTATTCCTACAAAATTTTGAAAGAATTGGATCGACAAAATTAAGGAATCACTAGGATTAGGGCTCTCCATTGTCAATAGATCGATAGATTCAAATCAAGTAGGTCATTTCTATACTCTTACCACCTGCTAGTGATGAAAGTGGCCTATATAAGATCACACAATAGTGTTGCAAGATAATATACTAAAAATTAAATAGCTCCAAATTTGAAAAGAAAGAGAGTTTATAGATAACCCTTTCACTAGAAGAGATGACTGACATGTGAAGGAACATATGATGAAGTTGGACCCACTTTGTAGATAGTTGATGAAATGTTTATTATTGACTGAGTAGTTGATAGTCGACTAGATAGTTGATTATTGACAAGAGATAAATATTGACCATATAGTTGAACGTTGACATCACTAATTGGGCTAGGGTGAATGCATTCAAATGAGCGAGATACTAGTATTGACTAGGCAGTTCAAAATTGTTCAGACTAGCATGACGGGTTGATATGAGATGACAACTAGAGATGATTCAAATTGTAATAGCAGCTTGCTCGGACTTGGTGGTTGAGCTGGTTCAAAGATGACAATCTATTGGGAGATGAGTCATCACCTCTTGAGAGCGTACCAGTTGCGATGAAGAGCCTCTTTTTGTTGTATGAACTTGAGGATGAAATTCTCTAAGATGCACCCTACCTCTATCCAACTTATTTTCGTCGAGTGCAGTTGTTGGAGATCTACAAAGTCGCTATTTTTTTGTTCCATCAGGTGACAATTGAAGATGATTCAACGACTCGCTTCATTGATTTTTAGACTTCATAAGAAGATCTAGAGATTACTTACGTCCTCTTTATCCAAGAAGAGCTTTTGAGATTGTGGACATCGTTCGATAATCCTCCCAAACATAGAATTTTGACAATTACTGTCGTGAAACTAGAACTTTATTTTTTCTACTGTAAACTTAAATTTTACTTAATTTACTAATACTTTATGTGATTTTAAGTTTCAAAACTCTTCTTCATTAAATTATAATTCTTCTTGCTTTTACAGAACTTAATTTGATCAATTAAGTTGTTTGTAATCACTTACGTAAGAGTCACCAGGTGGAACTTTATTCTGCCCAATTTGCATTCGTCGTGCCATTAATGCCATCCTAATGTCCTCACCCTTATTTATCTTTTTCGTAAATTTTTAAATATAGTTTATATTCTTCATTTGGTCTAAAAATTATATAAAATATATTTTTTAAAGAAAATTCTAAAATATTATCTAATATTATCTTACATTTTTTTGATCTACTTAGAAATCTACTATTTTTAGAACCTTTTATTGAAATTATAATTAATTTAGTTCTTTTAAAATATTTATAAAATTTCCAAAATTAGTAGTTTTTAATTTATAATTTTTAAATTTACATGATTTACTATACAACAATTAGGTTAAGTCAATATTGGAAAGAAATTAATAACATATTAAATATCATGTATAAGAAATAGTTGACCAAAAAACTCTTTTCTGATAGCAACCTTTAAAGTGATTAAGGTGGAAACATTTATAGGTAGATTATCCTCAAATGCTTTTACTAAGACTACCCAAAATGAAGATCATAATTCGATATCTTATTGCAATCTATGTATATTAATTAAGTGCAAGTCCTTAGTATGAGTTGGTTCTTTTGAATCAATTAGTGGAGATTGATAAGAGTGTCAAATGATCTTCTTAACATTGTTTAGAGAGAAACAAATGTTAAGTCTCACATCTTGTGTGACATCTTTATCATATAGCCATGGCCTCCCTTGTATGAGACTACCTACATTGATTTGTAAGACCACACTTAATTTGATCTTCAAATGAATTAATCTTGACAAACACATGACTCCTTTTTTGAATTAAAATGGAAGACAAATCTAACTAGGATATCTTGTAAGGGTTTGAATGATCAACCTGAATAACCCCTAAGTGTCGTGCAATAATAGTGAAAATTACATTGATATAACTCCCACTATCTACTAGGATTTTACCAGCCTCTCCCCCGATCATGACAAAGGTATGATAGATAGAAGTTTGAAAAGTATCCTCCTCTCCTTTGGGCTAGGTTAGTATACATCTCATAACCCCGAAATGAATATCATCTAAGTGGTTAATTAATTGATCACTTTTTCTTGAGACATATCCTACAAGGTGTTCATCTTCTATGAAATTGTTGAGCAAGGTGAAAATCGACATTGTATTCATCTTCTTCTAATTGGTCAAATGCATCAATTGTATTTTCATCTAATACTGAGTTCATATTGTATTCTCCTACGTGAAGGGTATGAGTTGGGCATTTTTTAAGCGCAATATGCATATCCTTTAGATTTATATGACTTGTCCCTAGAGGCACTACTCTGAGGTAGCTCATTATTTACTATCTCCTTTCCTTTATCTTCTTATTTCTTAGACAATTTAATTTTAGGAATTTGGGACTGAACCATAGTAGGTGTGTAGGCTAAGGAGAATTGAGAGCTTTATGTTTGACTACCTACTTGGGTAATTCTACTTGAAGCATTCTGAATGTTTGATCATTCAATGGTGTTCCCCTAGGGTCATTGTGTGATGGGCTGAGATATAGATGTTTATTTAATAAGTTGAGATTTGTGATACCTCTCTACATCTTGAGCTAACAAATAGGCATGTTTGCATGCGTTAGCCTTGCAAAGAAAAAGTTTCTTTAGAATGTCCTCTTTTAATCTACTCCTAAGTCTTGATCAGGTCACCTCCATAACCTCATAAAAACTTCATCATATTGTGAAATATTTTCTAATATAGAATGATTCCTTAACATTATTTTTTGTCTCTAATCTAAGTGTTTAGATTTATAACTTGTTCTTCATTTCCACCATAATCTTGATTGGATTCTAATATCACCTTGCTCATTGTAAACAACATGAACAAATTTTTAATCTTTATAAATTGAATTCAAAATAATAATTAAAATTAAAATTTTGGTGAACTGAGGTTGTCCATAGGTATGATGGTCAATCTCAATCTGAATTTCTTTTGTTCTAAACAGTTTATTGAAATAAAAAAATGAAGAAAATAAAGAAAATAATCTTCTCCATGCTTTAAACCTTATAAATTGCATGAGCTGTAAATATTCATATTTTGATATTTTCCCACATTCAAAATTGATATATCACTCGAGACCTGCAATATATTTCAGAGAAAATCAAAAAAATAAAATCAATTTATATCACGTAAAACACATAGAATCAGGAAATATTAAACTGGAGAGAGAAAATAAAACTATCAATAAGAGACCATGTTGGCAGTAAAATGGGAAAACAATTTTGATTTGAATTCATATAATACTTGACTAACCTATGAAAATAAACTCAATCCAAAAATCTTAAACAAGTTAAAAATCATTAGAATCCTTAAAATATCAAGAATAAGAACTAAAAAAATGAAATAAATCAGTGAACTCATCCTATCTGCCACCTAGGAATAGAGTAACATTGTGGTAGAAAATAAAATGAAGAGCTTAAAAAGTGAAAAAAATATTGATTAAAATGCTTAATCCCGTCATCTGCCTGTCACCCAAATGAAAGATTAAGCTAGAAAAAAGATAAATTGAATCAAAATGGAAATAAATCTAATTAGCACTCACCGTCCATATCTCTACTCATCTGTCACCTAAAAACATAGTACAGGGAAATCATGTACAAAGTGAATTAAAG